TTCAGACAACCACACACAACTCCTGACTGTGGGTTAATGTGTTTGCTTAATTCATTCACTATGTGTATACACTCTGGTGAGTTCACACTTCAAGACAACCCTGTGTGCTTTTCACAGTGTGGGGTTTTTTGCATGGATGGGCTGACAGATGAGAGAGAGGTTTCTGTGCTAGCGTGGTTTTCACCCTCCTCTCAGTCTTCCCGCTGTTCTCGTAAATTCCATCAGCCACCGTGCTGAAATTCGATCCCACACTGGCCAGTTGGAGCAACTCCTGTAGCTGCCACTCCTCCTAGGGGACTCGGGTAGCTGTATATGAGGGCAATGGAATCCATAATGCTGGGTTTGGATAACTGGGGAAACGATGGTGAAGCATGGAAACCTTAGAACAGACCCTTTCTCCTTACCATGGTTCTGAAACCCAAAAATAATATGCTGGAATACTGTGAGAGGGTTTGGAGTACATGCTAGACCGCCCTGCACAAGAAACCATTGTGGCTTGTCATGTCACGGGAACCCATTCCTTGGTTGGATCCAGGACCTGCTTTCTGTGATAAGAAGACCTCCACTCACCTCATCCTTGGGGACCACAACTCACACCTTTGGTAGGTGTCTTCTGATTCTCCTGTAGAGGGTGCTGGAGAGGCTGCTGTGGGAAGAAGCAGGCAGGCAAAACCACTTCCAGCAGCACAGTGGATCCATTTTAAATCTGTTTCCAGCCATAAGTATTCATCAATAAAAATAAGCAATTGTACAAATAAGCAAACTGCAAATACAGACCAGCTTGCTTATTTTTATTGATGGAAATAACCTCCTAATAGATTGAACTAAGTGTTAGTTTTATTGTATGCATCTGTGTTAATTTTTGCTTTATTTAAATATAAATAGGAAATCGAGTGTGCAGCATCAAGCTTGGCCTCCAGGGAATCTCAGATCTCCTTAAAAAGAAAAGTAAGGTTCCAAACCATGAGGAGCATTTGGAAACATGAATGTGCATCTGGTGATGCCTTTGGGTACACACCTGTGCCCACCTTGCATCCTCATTGTGGCCATAGGATTATTCAAAGTTCCAGCTATGAGGTCCTGCAACCCTGGAATGGGGTTCTATAGACAAAGCTTCCATCCCGTCCCTGCTTGCAGCAGGTGTGGAAAGACCCCATAATGAGGCCTGGCAGAGAGATCAGTGCCTCTGCACCTCTCTGCGTGTCTAGGATGCAGGTAAACCTTTGAGTTCAGAGGCATAATGTGCATTGCGGCTGGTGCAATGGAACTGCCCCTTTAAAGAACTAAAAATGCACAATTTTTCCTGTCCCTGGTGAAAAAAGAGGAAAGAGAAGAGCTGGTCTCGCCTTTGCCGTCTTCATTTTGAATCTGGATTTGCTGGATCAAAAAAGCAATCTGGACTTGTGAAATTCATTCTGCTGAAGAGAGGATTCCCAGTTTATTTTTCTGACCAGTCTGTCACATGTCTGCAAATGGCTGAATGGCAAGCAGAAATTGAACAACCTCTAGTAGTGTGGAAAGGTTTACTGGTTCATTTTGCCTTTATTTATTTTTGCCTATATGAAAAGGACAGAGAAAGATTGTCAATCTTATTCAGTGACCTGTTTCTCCATATTGGGCTTCGTATTTCCTTCTGTTTACCAGGAGAATAAATATTTTAAGTTTATATAAATATATTATCTGCAGAGGGCAGAGTGCAGCTTTTTGAAATGCATGCAGCTCTTACCAGTCTTGACAGGAGTTCAATCCCACATTTTAGCTACTGGTTTTTGACCAGAAGTACTTTACTCATAAAGCAGGAATATCTCTGCACATGCAGCTCTTACACGGCCCTATCACACCTTTCCCACATGCAACTGTGTGGAAATGGTAGTTTCTGAACAGGGCCTCATTCATGCATGGAGCTGAGAAGCACGGTTTTTCCTTCTGCAGATGTAAAAAGAGGATGTTAGAACAGATCCAGTGCGGAATGCACTGCAGGCCTTCCAGTCTTAAATTGCTTTCCCATGCCAACGCTTTGGAATGGTTTATACATACAGTTTAACATTCTAGAGCTGTCATAAAGGCATGTGCTGCCTTCATAACCCAGCAGGCACACCCAGGCATATAGCTGGAAGAGAGCTCATTGAAATTGGGAGCATTGGGAGAACTGCTTTTCTCTCTGACTGGTGCAAGCACCGTTCACTACTTTGCTTGCCATAAAGGGTAGGGGCAGAAGGTAGATCTCAAGTTAGTGGTGGCTCTCTAGATAACTTGCAGTAGATCGCCACAGATTTCTGACTCCCAGTTGTTAAACGGGGCAACAGTGGTGTTTTCCCACCACCACCATCCTTAAATTAGGCTGCTTAAAATTCAGAAGCCTTGGATTAAAAAGGTATGGACTTTTATGCTAAAGGGTTATGTTCTTATACTGGAAACAAAGACTTTTGTGTGTAGCTCTTGGAGTTTTAGAAAACAAACACACAGGTAGACTGGACAAGCTTGAAAGATGCTTCACCATGCATTGCAAAAGGCCCTGTGCAAGAATGGGTGGAAGTGCTTCTATGTTTGGGGAGAGGAGGAATACTGTGCCCCCAGACAGCCTCAACCCACCCTTACACTTGGGTGAACCCCCTTAAAAAACAAAACCAGTGAGTGGCCATGGATTTGAAACAATTCTCACATACTTTGAGCAACCAGCATCAGCCGTCCCAGATAGATGTTCTGGCCTTTGACTCCCATCAGCCCCAGCCAGCATGGCAGGGACAAGAACATGAATTCTCTGTAGCCATTTTGAATTTGTGTGGAGTCATTTGTTTAAATCGATCAATCTCTCTCTCTCTCTCTCTCTCTCTCTCTCTCTCTCTCTCTCTCTCTCTGCTGAGGATTATGGTCTAAAATATCCACAAAGCACCGAGTGGGATTGTGCTAATTGTGGTGTAAATGGATGCAGATGGCAGATTCAGGGTGGACCAAGATAGGTGCTCTTCATTCCTGTGCCTTCAAATCAGCCATGGAAAGATGAACCCATGCACAGTACTTTTTGACATCTGTTAGATGGGTGAAAGCTCTGTGCAAGCAAATGAGGTGAGAGGCTTACACAAGGCAGTGCAGGGCAGGGTCTTAAACCAGAAAAAAATAAATCAGATCTTCAGAGATAAAATGCAGGTGAAGAGTCTGTTTGCATTGTTTCTTTTATTTTCCCCTCTCCCATTAGTAGAAATTCTGTACAGTTCAAAGTGAGGCAGAGGGAGGCACTGGCTTACAATACAGTCAATAATATTTCACATGTACAAAAAATTGTTCCATCTAACTACACAAAAGGACTACATTGGAATGGATATGCTGTAAACTGTCTGGAAGCAACACCAAGAAGGCCCTTCCTGCTTGGATTTAGCCTTGCCCACCAGCTGCAGAAAGGGCCTTGGTGCAGGGAGCGGGGGGGGGGGGGTCCCTTTGGCTTCTTGGGGAGATGGGAGGGAAGAGCGTTTGCCTCACAAACCCAAATGAAGGCTGCTGGCCAGTCTCCTGCTCCATCCCAATTAGCATTGTCATAATGTTCTTTGCTACCTGTCCCTAGGGACATTTCACCCCTGGCTTTTTTTTACACTTAGCACTCACAGTTCCATGCCGGAAAAGGAAAACACCTTGTTCTACAGCACATGGCAGTGTTTCATGTGTGCCTTGGCTAAACGAAGCAGGAAGACAAGATGCTTGACCCCGACCAGAAAATTAAAATGTGAACCAGCCACCCCTCACCTCAAGTTTGCAAGAATCACGATGCAACATCTCCGATGATGTGTGCATTTGGTTCACCTGAAGTGCCACTGTTCTCAGAGGAGCTCTGGATCATACGCCCGCCTCTGACACTGGCACAGAGCAGGGACCATTGCGCCCAGCATTCTGTGCTCAAGTGCAGCCAGCCAGATGTCTCCATGGAAGGAAGCCCACAAAAAGGGCACTGCGTTTGCACTGGACCTTGTCCCTGGCATCCAGGATTCAGAGAGGTGCTGAGAGCTACCGATGACATGGTGGTTCAAGCGTCAGGTTTAGAAGCCCTGAAACTCCCTTGGGTATTCCGGATTGCTAACTGGCCCGTCACTTCAGGCTACTTCACACTGGCCTTTTGACTTTAGAATAGGCAGGGAAGAGATGTTTGCATGCAGCTGTGGGTGCCTCAGAGGAAATGAGCTGTATCCTGCAGCTGCCTCTATGTAAGGAGTAGTGATGTGCTGTAGTAGCTAACACATTGGTTACTCAGCACTTGAGGAGCAGCTGCAAGTGGAAGGATCACAACATATCCCGTTTGAGATCATATATTCTGCGGTGGATCAAGGGTTGTCCATTCACAGTGCATATCTATCCAGCATTCAAAGGGGCTTAGTGAGGGCAGGCTGGCTGCCTGAAACACACACGTCATGCAGCATTCACAAAGTGACCTGTGTGAACAGGCTCTGTTGTCAGAACAAGTTGGGATCGTGAATAAAGTATTGATCTAAAAGTGAGGAGATCTAGATCCAAGTAATCAGACTTGAGGCTTATCCAGCCATTCAACTAGTCATGGACAGACAGGCAAAAAGATAGCATCAACCCAGCTTCCTCTCTAGCTCTGCAGGGGATTTTGGGGCACACTTTTGGTTTCTACAGGTACCTCCCTACTTTTCTACCACTCCCCCAAAACTGCCTAAGATTGAAACAGCACTGCTCGGGATGTTGAGTCGCTCTGAGTCTTTGCATTGCTCAAAATGCACTCCTTCCAAACCTGTTACTTAGAAATACATCAACCGAATTGGGTTCCCTCCACTCTCTCTCTCACACCCACACACGCTATTCATGACTCCCACTATCTTTTTGATATTTAACCTACCTCTTCTAAATAAGTGCTGCACAGTCCCTCTCCCTCAAGCCCACTGTTCCGCAGCTCGCTGCTCTTCCCCTGCCTTCAGCCTGCCAGGCCTTTCTGTGCAGGAAGGGCTCAGCCCCTTTTGCTCCTGCAAGGCACCCCCAAGGCAGCTCACTGCCTTTCACCCGTCCTCTTGCTGTGAGATGACTAAACATTCCTGCCCGCCAGAGGGCAAGGGAGGAGGGCGAAAACTCCAGGGCAGGAACTATCCCAGAGACCGCAACTTGGGATCAAGCCACCCCAACTGGCCAGGGCCATGGCAATCCTTATTGTGGCCAAGTTAAGCTGTTCTGCCCAGGGCCCTGTGATGCTGCCTTTGCAGGTACCCTGGCAGAATACCTCCTTTGGCCTGCATGGTCTCCTCCATGGCTCAAATGTGGTTGGCACAGGCAGCTTCGGGGCTTGCTTTCATTCTGGCAAGCCCGGAACTCAGCTTGGGTGGACTTTTTCACATGTGTGTGAGACAGATCCATCGCTATGCATGGCTTCCTGTAGAAATGCTTCACTTACAGCCCATTCCCAGAAGCATCATCGTAATTTATATTGCTGCAATTCCATGCCTAGCGAAAAGGGAAAAGTGCTAAATTTTTACGTAACACGCACAGATTAAACAAAGCTTCTGTCAATAGAAAAGGTGGCACCCCATGTGCCACAGGCATGTGGGACTAACCCCCTAAAGTCTGCTCTGACTAGTGGAACAGGAGTAACTTAAGACATGTTTCTTCCTCTGTTCCACCTAACCTATGTGTAACCAATGGGATTTGCAATGTGTACAAATTTGTGTTCCTTTGGATATGTGGAATTCTTCAGCACAGTTTCCCACACTTTGCAGAAACTGAAAATATACATGCTGGGCTAGTCCAGTGAGATCAGCATCAGAGGGCAGTATCCAACAGGCTGTGACTGCTAAAAGAAATTGTGTTGCACTAGTGTAACCTTCTGTAGCGCAACATCAATAATGTTTGCTGCTTGCCCCGATTTCCCTGAGATATCAGCATGCTGTTGGATGCTGCGCAGATTCTGAAGGAAAAACCTTTCATCATCAGCCTTCCTAACCTCATCCTGTGCAAACAACTGCACCATTACAGCCCTTTGTCTCATCCCCTATTGTAGACTTTGCCTACTGATTATGTCTTCCAAATCCCTGGAGTGCTTGAGTGATCCAAATGACATCAACTTGTCCAAGGCCATCTGACCGGACAAGGAATTTGGGCTTGCAACACACACACACACACACAATCACCTTGGTACTTGAATCCCATGGTTCTCTCTGACATTACAAAGCATCTGTATACTTCTGACCACCCGGGAAGCAGTGATTTTGCACCCCTGCTAGAGAGGGATGCACGCACGCACACACGATTCCCCCATGGCCCACTGCTCTGTTCCATGCACTCCTGCTCAGGTTTCGCTACTGAGCTTTGGCGTATCCTTGCCCCCATGCACTTTCCTGCTGCGTTTGCCAGGCCCAGGGAGAGCGGGCCTTTGTTCGCAAATCACATGCCATACGATGCAACTGGCCACACATGCTCCAACAGGCACAGGCACAAAAAGAGGGGGCAAGCCCTGCTGCTTTCCTTTGCTACGCAGCGTCTGTCTCACTCGCTGAACCGTTCAGACAAGGGCCTGCGTGACTTGCTGAGGTCAAGCGACAGATCAGGGCGGAGCACTCTTGAAAATCCTCAGCAGAAGCCCTTGTCTCTGCGGCTGCCCACCCCACAATGGCGACAACCACAGCCTTAACACTCCGAGAGCATTGCCTGCTGATTCTGAGGGAGCACTGAGCACACGGAGACATTATTTAGATTACTAACCCAGAAAAACTAACGAGCAACAAGGATCTGAACTTCCACTCAGCCTATAACACCGATACGATAGGGAAATCTATCACTTGTGTTTCCAGTTTTTGTTTTTTTTAGCATTATTGTGTAGCTAAAAGCATCTTTGGCAATAAGGTCTATAAAAGCTATTAGCCCACCAGAAGTACAAGTGTTAGTCTTAACTATTTAAGCCTGTCTTTTGACACTTGAACCAGCCCTGCCCAAAATTATCTGCTGGAGTATCATCTGGATGCAACAGTTATTTACAAACTGCATGAAAGGGCAGTAAGGAGTAATCGTATTTGCTGAGCAATCATGGATATGTATCTACAGAGAGCTTTTGAAAGGCCTCTGGCTGGCCACTGTTGAAAACAAAACACAGGCCCATGCTCTGATTCAGGAATGCACTGCTGCCCATCTGCAGCACTTCACAGAGGAGTGCTGCTCGTTCTCATCTCCTGAGTAGAAATGGCATTAATGTCAGGATGATGTTATCAGGAATATGCAAAAAAGATGTGAGGAACTGTTCTGCCTCTCCTTACTCCATTAATAGAGGAGCAGGAAGAGGAGGAGGTGGGAGGGGGTATGTACCTTTCCAAGCATGTTTAGCTCCACGTCTGCAACAAGGAAACAGCCGCAGAGCAGAGGCAGCTCGTTATTGGCTTTAACACATGTCCCATGATATAGACAATTATTTTCAAGAAAAGTAAGCAGCCTTTTGAATTAAGCAGATTATCCAACACTCTAAGGGCTCGGTCACATAGTCCCTCCAGTTATTGAGCAGGAGTGGTTGATATTAATGGAGAAGGTCCCAGTCCAATGGTAGCAAACACAGTTGAGGACAATGAGGTAAGGAAGACTCTTTGCAAGTAAAGAGTAGCAGCCTCCATTCTGCCCAGGCTTCAGGTGCCTGCATCTTTGATGCAAGTGATGTAAGTCACATTTCCATGTTGAAGTGGATGTGGGTGCTGGATTTGGGGGATTTTCTTTGAATACTGTGCTTCAAAACCTGAATGCTGTTTTTGCCCAAGAAGGTAATTTTGGAAGTTCCTTGGAATATTTAAAAGGTTTGACTTCAAATTTTATGAAAACTGTTTTTCAAACTTTCATATTCACTGGCAAGAAATAAAAGGCAAAATAAACCCAGCATACAATGACACAAAAGGAAGGAATGGAGGGAGGGAGGCCTAGAACCTGCTAGTTCTGTTGGTGAAAGAAGAATGTTCTGTTTTGCAGAGCCCCGAAATTCTCTACAATCTATTCAGCTTTGCTGTGCTGTGTCCTAAATCCCAATGGAAGGGCCGGGTCTCCTTCTAATGCTGCAGTCCTGTGCCCTCTTACTTGGGAGAAAGCATCTTTTACATTAGTAGCCCTTCATTCTGTGTAACCACAGGCAGATGAGCATGCACGTCCAACTGCTGGTCCGCCTTGTACTGCCTGCTCTGACTGGCAGCAGCTTTCCAAGGTCAGGGAGTGCTCCTTCCCAGTACTTTCACCTGAGATCCTTCTACACAAAGCACCTGGGGCTTGAGCCCGGGAGCAAATGCCTGCAAAGCATGTGGCCCAACAGTGCCGCTGAGCTCCCCTGAAGCAACAGGCGGGGTATGTTCCTCAGTAGCAGAGCTGAGGCTGCCTTTGGACAGGATGCAAACCCACTGGCATAAGCTGAGAAGAGTGCAAGACATACGCTGCAGAGCCACATTTTCCTGGGCCTCACGGGGGGCCCCCAGCAGACGCCATGGCATTTCTTTCACCTGATCTAGACACAAAAGGCCCCACAGCAGGAGACACTCCTGGCAGGACAAACTTGGCCGACAGCTGCAAGCAGCTCTGCCTTCCACAGGCATGACCGATCAGGACTTCCTGAGCCTCCCTTGACGGAGTGCTTGCGCCAATTCCTCCCATGTCCAGGTGACCAGGATGCCGCGTGTCCTTGGCAATCCTGATGATCTTTGCACAGGCTTAAGGGACCAAAGTCACACAGGAGCACTGTGCTGTGCAAATGCCCTTCTGTGAGGCTGAAGCCATAGTTCTTAGCCTGCAAATGAGACCCATCTATAACAGGGTCCGCACCTGGGTTGGGCTTGCAATGACATGTGCATTTAAACTTACACAGGATCAAAGAAAATGCCATAATATTCTGCTGGAACCAGTCCTTAATGGTCTCTTTAGGGGCTTATAGAAACCTCTTTAGCATAACCTCGTTCCAGAAAGTAGCTAAAAATTTGAAGGAGACAAGTAGCTTCCCTGAATTAAAACAAACATACAAACAATTGAAGAAACAGTTCTGCTTTCATTATCAAATGGCTTTATCCTAACAAGATCTGCAGCTCTAATACCTTATGGGCAAATAACTTTGGTCAAAAAACGCATCCATCCATCCATCCATGCGGGTTTCAGAGGAGACAAAGTCTGTCCCCTTGCTCTGATTGTCTTGAGAAGCACTGTGGCCAGAACTGCAGGCCTACAGTTGTCAGGTGTCAATGCAGCAATGGCTGCAAATGCTACAAGGACCAGAATGGTCTTAACCATGGTGCAACTGAAGCAGCAGATCTGTGGCGCCCTTAAAGGTGGAAGAGCAGAGAGCAAACCAACATGACTCTTGAGGTAATACCTACTGGAATGTTCTTCAGTGCAAGACTCCTGACTTCTTTCAATGAGACTTGCACTGGGAACTGTCTGGTGGGTTCTGTTCATGTTAATCAGCAGCAATCTCTGTCAGCCATCAGCAAACTCAAAATGGCTCCCCTCATGCTAATCCCTCACTTTTTGAAAAAGTTATTATTATTTGTTACCTGTCAGACAGCATCCAGCTCTATGGGGAAGAGTCTGATCAAAGTTTAGCTTTTTCACCTCAGGTAGCAAAGGTATCAAAAGTCTTGCTCTGGCCCCCATGAGGGACACAGCTGTACATGTCTTAGCCACTGGTGCTTGTACTCAGGACTTCATGGGAACATAACAAGCATATCAAATAGCCTTGTAAAGTGTTAATGGCAGTTGGTCCAATAAATGAGAAAAGATGTTTCTATAAAATACCACAACAAAGTCGAAACAGATTTTGGTCCTTTGGAAAATAATAGTACAAATAATCATAATAGTATAAAAAAAATCTTGGGCAATGTCAAAAGCAGCCTTTGACCTACCCAGGATCCTCCTTGTGATCATCAAGAACTGGGTCACCACAGTTGCTCCCTGGTGCGCCAACAACCGGGGTTACTTTGTGCAGTTGTGATATGAAACATTGGTCTGAAGGTTTTCCCTTTTGAAGAAAGGTTCCAGTGGTTTTTCAAAGGCCAGCTCAGCCTCGCGTTTAAACACTTTAATGCCAGCTGATGGCCTGATCTGAGAAGACCACAGCAGTATTGCAGAAGGCAGCTCCTGGAAAAGCACTGCAGGCCTGTAAGACCAGCGCCAGACACTAAAGTCTCCTACCAAAAATCACCCCCACCCCCAGTTGCAAAGTGTCAGGACTGAAACATGACGGTGTCCATCGTCTCCATCCGCTAAAGACAAGTTGCTGAGAGGTCAAAGTGCAATTCTGGTCCGGATGCTCAAAGGACTGAGGCTCTCGAAGGGGAAGTCAGCCATCTGCTGGCGGAAGGCACTACTCAAGAGCCAGAACAGTCTTGTCTTTTGGGGCTGACTCAGGAAGAGGCAGCAAAAGCAAGGGCTGATGGGAATTGTCATATATGTACAGATTAAAAAATACATCTTAAATAATAAGAGAATAACAATAATACTGTTGCAGTAAGGCACTTCCTAAAGGTCCCTTTGGTTCTTCCATTAGAAAATCTTCGGAAGGATGGAAGCTGGTTCTTTGGCAAAACAGAACTGGGCCTGAGCCATTGGAATGCAGCATCAGCCGGCTGAACAGCAGGACAGGCAGGGCTCTGCGGGAGAAAGGAACAGCCCGTGAGGGCGGGAGCAAAGCATCGCCGGGCAGTCAAATGCACAAGCCGTTGCTACTGAAGGCCGTCAGTACTCTGCAAGGTCACTTACACAAGGGCCCCTTGGGGTGGGAGGGAAACAGAAGGCAGAGCAATGGCTCTTGCCGCTGGGGGGACCTTAAAAAACCCACCACTTAGCTAACCTTCTCCACGTCACCCATTTGCAGCAAGACCTCGCTTTACAAAAGGCACACGGGAGGCACCTCTTCCCCCTGCCATTCATGTTCCTCGTGGCCGGCTAAAATGAAGGAGGGACTGCCCTCTTGCACCACCAGAGGGAGCCTGTGAGCAAGAAAGCAGCTGGGGCGGGCCAGCAGCAATCCCGCGACCAGCGTGCAAACATTCAGTCGGTATCTCCCACTTAAGCAAAAGCAGCAAAGCAGAGGTTAAAGTCTCCAGGGCTTCAGAGATTTGTTTCTTACCCCGCAGATGAACTGAGAGGGAACTAGAGGCGGATGGTTCTTGCTGCTATGGAGGGGATAAAAACAAAAATTAGGCCAAATTGGGGAGGTTCTTGCTGTTAGGGAGGAGATTAAAAACAAAAATTAGGCCAAACTGGGGAGGGGGCCTATGCCTCTCCCCAGTGGAATCTGTCTTCACCTGGCTGGCCTTGTCAGGATACACAGAATCTAGAGAAGCACTGCCGTGGGACTAGCTCACCCGATTGCTGGTGGGGTGGGGGGCAATTGCAGATGGCAGCACGGCACTCTTCTCGCCAAACCCCCCAGCGCCCAGCCTCTGACTTCCAGTTCAGCCCACGCGTTGTTAGCAATGAGAACCAGATGCGTTTAAGTGGTGCATTTGATTCTCCACGGTCCACATGCACCACGGCTTCACCAAGCTCCAGTCTGCCTTGTTTGGCCAAGTGCCTCAAAGAGGAGAGTACCGCCACTGCAGCTGCATGGAGATTCCCGAGGAAAACGGGGCCACGGGGCATGTCTCGCATGGCAGTGCTGGATGTCAGTGTGTGGACAAGCCCTGAATAGTTTGGGCTTATGCTGACTGCAGCCCTTTGAATGCAATCCACAAAAATTCAGAAAGCCACAAGGCTTCAGAAACGAGTTCGGTGCAGCATGCTATTTTTCTGTGTGCAAGGACACAGTGGGTAATCAATCAGGCACCCTCTCTCCTGCAACCTGAAATGGCAGAGCCAACGCAAAGCTGGGCGACACCTAGTCTGTGAGCCCCGTGCTTGCCCTGGCTTTAAGTGCCACAGAGGGCAGCACAGTATTTGCTGCAGTGGTGTCATTAAAACAATGCACTGCTTGCCACTGAATTTCAGTGGCAGACCACTAGAGTGGCCAAAAGGGATAAATTTAGCTATGAAGCAAGCTGTGGGATGAAAGTGTGGCCCCAGGGGCATTCTAGGGGCTTGAACTCGACCTCTGGAGTCCTGCTGCCCAGCGCTAGCCTAGGGAAAGCTTTACCATAAGAGATACCTGCCAGTAAATAGGTGCTTGGGCCCTGTGTTCTGGAGCAAAGTATCTGTGGCTTTCTTCATACAAATGGGACATGTCGTTTCCACCCCACCCAGCATTTGGACATCAGCAAGCCACATGACACCCCCAACCCCATAAACCAAGAGAAGATTTAGTAAGCTACTCTACTGCATTAGTGTGATGATAAGGCAGCCCCACCGACGAACCGCAGAACGAGGCATGCAAATCTGGACGGGGCTTCCGTGCCCACCTCATCATGCCAACCATGCCCCGAACGACACATGCGGGAGGTTCCTCTGATTCCATGCAGGGATTCTCAACCATGAGGAGGACGCGGATGTGAGCAGGCATTTGGGGGGGACTCAATGGCCCTCTTTTTAAAAAGCATTCCATTTTCTGCTTCCTTTGAAACGATCAGCATGTTTCTAACCCTCATGTTAGCAAAGAGAACCGTGAAATTGTACAACGATGAGATGCAGTTTGCTCCGCTGATCAGACAGAAATCCTCGTACCCCTTTTCAGAATTCTGCAAAAAGAAGGGATTCTGGCAGGTGTGGCTCGTCGCATAAAAGTGCGAAGAAGCTGCCCCTGCTGAAATTGCCCTGCTTTGACACAACTGCTGAGAGGCGCTGGAGCCCTGCCTTGCACTTCCGGCCACCCTAGTGGGAGCGGGCAGGCATCCTGGAAGGAACTGCTCACAGAGGCCTCCGGTGCCGTCCGGCTTCCTGAGGAACACTGCCAGGGCAGCAGAGTGGCCCTACGCCTGCGGAGACCGAGGGCGGCTCTCCAGAAGCGAGGAGAAGTTGAGAAGCCCTGAGCTCATGGGAGGAGACATAGCAAGGCAGGCAGGGGGGGAAGCCCAGGCTCCGTGGGGAGGAGGAACCGCATGCAGAAGGGGAGGCGACGTTCCACGGGTACCTTTGGCAGGGCGGGAGAGAGTGGAGCTAACAGTTAGGCTCGTCATGGTGGGATGGCTCGCAGAAAAAGCGAGACCCCCGCTTCGCTGTGCGGGCAGTGAAGGGGACGCTCTTCAACACTGTGGGTGGGGAGGGGAGCGGGATGGATAAGACAGACAGACACATCAGATTGCTTGAAATACGGTGGGTGGCTCATGATGAAGGTGTGTTCCCAGCTGTTGGCAACCTGGCACTCTCTGGATGTTTTGCCCTTTAATTCCCATCAGCTCCAGCCAGCACATTTAATGGTCGAGATTGCTAGGAGATGTCACTCAAAACATCTGGAGAGTACCCAGTTGAGGAAGGTGGGTGGAACTGCACTCAACATACATCCAAGGAATATAGGGCTAGTCCAGCCTTTCGCAGCATAGCACCGTTTGGATGTGCTTGACTACAGCTCCCAAAACCCCGCAGCCAGAATGGCTGGGGGATGCTTGAAGTCTGAGTCCCGCACGTTAGTGAAGGCTGGGGCCGCGCCTCCATAAATGACACATCAGATACTAGAACGCTGGGAGTCCTGCTGCTGTTCCTGGAGGAATGGCCGACCGCCCGGAATACAGTACGCAACAACTGTATGCAAAATGCCCCCATTCTCAAGGGGAAAATGACATATTCCTTCCTACTTGTGTTCCCACCCTGAATGAGGGGGTGGGTGGGTGGAAATCCATTCCTTCCCTCTCCTTCTGTCACAGTTCCTGCCTTTCCCTTTCTGCCCGCAGGGATGTGACTATCGATCTTTCCTCGCAGCAGTGGAAACACAGGCAATGCTGCTATCAGTGCCTTTTGAATGTGGCAGTCCAGTCTGCAAAGCAACAGATGATGACAGATGCCAGAAGACGGCTGGGTCCCATACCTTTCATGGGCTGGTGTGTGTGGGAATCTGCAACGGAGGCTTTCTCGTGCTGAGGTGGGAAAAGCTGCATTTGTGAAGATTCCCTCACCTATCCAACTGTTAAAGGCAGAGCTGGACAGAAAGTGGATCTTCAGATGCTTGGGTCTTCACCTTCTGGAAGCCCCTGCCAGCATGGCCAATGGTCAGGAATGCTGGGAGGTGGAGTCCAAAGAACCCAGATACTGACTTTTGGTCGCCCCTGTTTAAAGGTACCAAAGCCTTGGCCCTTTTTTGAAGATGGTCATGCTGCGATAACATTGAAGTTTAACTTTCTTTCTTTTTTTTGAATAAATTTTATTATTATTTTCTACAAACTAAAAAAAGAAACTAAAAAACATCAATCATCAGAAACATCAGACCTGCTGGGTCAGCCCCCCATTTATTTTTATAGCAATCCATAAATATATTCAAATCTACGCATAGTCCCGTTTCTCTAGCCAATGATAAAAAGAGTTCCAAGTCTGATAGAAGTACGTATCCTCTTTCTCCTTCAGAGACAAAGTCAGTCTGTCCATTTCAACACAATTCAGAATCTTTTTTAAAATCAGTTTGAATTTTAGCTTTCCATGGACTGACCCAGCGACAACCATTTTAAGGACTCTATTTGTCCCCTGGAGCAGCCTAAGTGTCTTCCTGCCAGACCTAGCTGGTTTGAAGCCTAATTCTCTGCAGCGGGATCAGGTTGTGCGGCATGAGACATTTCTGGCTAGAGAACAGAGGGACAACCAAGACTCTCTGGTCATTCCTGCAATATATGACTGAGCATCTCAGCCCTGCTGACGCATGGAGAATGGTGGTCATGTGGCCGGCAGGAAGGGAACAGCACTGCCGAGAGTGCCTAACGCTATTCCGCATGTTATCTCACATGCAGAAGGCTGTCCACAAATGGAACCTGATTTATGGAGTATGTCGATACGTGGAATTTGCATAGACTATGATGTCTTGTGGAGTCATAATCAAGGAACTGCCAACAATTCCACCCAAATGTCAAAAAGGCAAAGAATGCGGTCTTAATCACATAAATCAGCTTCCTGGGAATCACATCTTTCTCTTTCTCTATCCCTCTTTTAAAACAAACAACAACATTCTAGTCCTTATGAGTATACATACATGCTTGAAACAGGAATTAAATGGTGAGGTCTTTGGTATGCAGCTTCGTGAACATTAGACCAGAAAGAACCCACCATATAAGTTTCCCATCCCTACACCTCACTTTATATGTATTAATTTAGTTTATATAATTTATATTTATTTATACATAAATAAATATATATTTAAAATTATATTTATTGCTTTTTTGATGAAGGGGACGGAATGGACAAGCAAGTGCTGTAGGCACTTCAGTCCAATACCACTCCTTCAGAAGATGCAAGCTGACAGAGGCCTCATGCCATGGGGTGTGAGGAAATAAAATGAGTGGGGCAGGGGACACCCAAAAAGCCAGAGGCCTGGGGAAGGCAGGGCCCTTTGCTCAAGAGCACTGGCGGCACTGCAGCCCCTTCTCTGCTTTGGCTGCTCAGAGCCGGAATGGCCACAGCAAAAACGCGGATGCTCCCCTGGCGACGGGGCTTACCTGTGATGATATCCTCAATGGTCCCATCTTTGCCTTCGTAGACAGGCCGGTGGTCCTTGGCCTGGCGCCGCCTCAGCTCAGCGATCAGCTCCTGCTGCTGCCACTTATTGCGCTGTGGAGGCAACTGGAGGCTGGTCAGGGACTGGAGGAAGAACCGGAGCCCCCAGCCCAATCTAGCCACTCTACACGCCCCGCTGCGACCAGTGCTCCTACCTCAGGTAGGTGCACCCAGCTGGAATTCAGAGCCGGGGGCCTCTCTGCCAGGCGAGGGCTCACCCGGCCACACACACACTGACGCACTGCGAGGGCCTTCATGGGCCCCCCGTCAGGCCATTCATCCCTCTGTCCAAGCCAAGGCCATTCCCTGCACCGCACATCCTGGCCCCAGTGCCCTGCACTGGCTCCTACCTTCTCCAGCCGCTTGGCTTCCTGGGCCAGGGCTTGCTCCCTTTGGGCCTGCTCCTGCTTCTTGCGTAGCTCGTTCTCCTGCTCTGCATCCTGGAGGGGGAGAGAGAGAGCACAGCCGTGGACTGCAGTTGAGCATGCTTGGCTGGCATGAACCTGTCTGACACTGGGTCCATCTAGCCCAGCAGTTTCTATTCTGGCGATGTCTCTCAGGCCCCACGTAGGCAGAGGTCTTCTGCATCTCTGCTGTCTCAGGTGGTTTCCACTGGAGATCCAGGGAATGAACATGTCGCTCTCCTGCTAAGCCAAGCTCCCCCAACTTGGTACCCTCCAGGTGTGTTGGACAGCAACCCCCTACCATCCATCTTGGCTGGGAGTGAGGGGGTTATAGTCCAACATATCTGGAGAAGGCCAGACTGGGGAAGGCTGCACTGAACTATGGGCCTTCCCCACCATGTTATAGATCCCTCTGTTCCCCGCCAGTATGGCTGATGGCTGTCACCCGACACCTCTGGAAGGTGCCAGGATGGTGGGATAGCACATGAGAGCATTTGGTCGGGAGGACCGAGGAGATTCAGCTTCAGATACAAAGCTCAACTGGTAGGTTGCCTCGGGCAAGACACAGAGTTGGGCAGAGACTCCACAGCTTATACTGGCATACTTCCTGTGCTGAGACCAAGCATCCTCCACTGAAGGAAACCCAGGTTTTTCTTGAAACTGAGGACCTTTCTTGGGTCTTTTCTTGAAGACCCAGGAACTACCAGCCATTGCCAAACTGCTCATTCAGATGAGAAGTTTTGCCTAAATCAATGTCCCTCCAAGTTTTGACTTCTCTTCTTGCCTTTTCCGTCTTTCCAGTGACAGAGGGAACACTGTGGGCATAAGCTACCTCAGCTTTAGCACAGCTTTTGCCCCACGGCATTCTGATAAGCAAATTAGCAAAAAGTGGACTGGATAGAAAAACTATTAGGCGAGAGAACCGGGCATGTTCAGTCTTGAGAAGAGGAGGGACCTGTTGTCACTCTATAAGTACCTCAAAGGCTGTCACAAAGAGGAAGGATAAGATCTCATCTTGCTCATATCAGGGCACAGGACACAGATTAATCAACTCAAGTTGCGAAAACCCAGATCCAGGCCAGATATCAGGAAAAGTTTCCTCACTGTCAGAACAATATGACAATGAAACCAGCTGCCTAGAGAGGTGGTGGGCTCTCCCACACTAGAGACATTTAGAAAAAAACTGAGCAGCCATCTGAGTGGGATGGTGTAACGTGGTATCCTGCAACAGCAGGGGGCTGGACCTGGTGGCCTTCATGACCCCTTCCAACTCTACTCTTCTATGAATAATTGATCTCCCTTTGTGCAAATCTAGAAGTGCTTCCAGACAAAGCTCCGTCACCTTCCCTCATTCACGGAATTCTGCAGGAGGTATGAACAGCATTAGCATCTAACTCACTGACCCTCCCATGCTGTCTTGCCATGTCTTTCCTCTTTTTATTTACTGCAGAAAAACCATTAAGGGGAAAAAGAAGAATCGCTGCACAATGCCTTCGAAAATGTTGTGCTAAACCCCCTCCCTCTGTCTGCCAACAGCAATGACTGAAAGGCTCCCCATATGTAGCCTAAATCCAGCCCTGGTAAGTCCAGCCATTAAGAATTAAGCTCTCTCCTACCTGAGTGGACCCGCCCTGGGTTATGTCTCTTGGGTCATGCCCAAGTGTGACAGAACTTTGCAGACTGACTTTTAGAAAGGAGGGGAGGAAGGAAAGGGAAATCAACCAGGCCATATTGGGTTTGACAACACATCACTCTTGACAGGAAATGGATTATTTTGCAGCCCTTGGGCCTCTCCAGATGTGCTGGCCATGCTCCACCTATGTGGAACTCCGACTGTGCAGGTCAAGCAGGAAACAACATTGTGTGGTTTTTGGGGCCACCTGAAAATACCTTTATTTCAGGAGGTCTTCCTTGATCAGTCAACCATTTCTACTGACATTCTGTTTTAATGCAGTGGGTTTTTTTTTTCTTTTTAGTTTCTATCACGTTTTAAACTGTATGTCATCTTGATGGCTTTTCAGCACATGAGGTGGTATATAAATGTATTCCTGATCATAATGTATGGGTGTAAAAGCTGGACAGTGAAGAAAATTGATGCATTTGAAACATGGTGCTGGAGGAACCCTCGGCCACCAGAGGGATGAACAAGTGGAGCTTAGATCAAATCAAGGCAGAGCTTTCCCTGGAAGCAAAAATAACAACACTGAGGCCGCTGTACTTCAGGTGCACCATGAGAAGGCAGAACTCCCTGGAGATGACAATCAGGCCAGGGAAGGGCAAAGGCAGGCGAGAACGAAGACAACCAGCAACGAGGTGGATCAGTTCCATAAAGGGAGCCGCAGACTTGAGTTTGCAGGAGCGGAGCAGGGCTGTCCTGAACAGGACATTTTGGGGAGAGTGCATTCCCCAAAATGTCACCTTGAGTCAGAGATGACTTGTAATCATGTAACAATAACAAGAAATAAATCCCGTTAAGAATAAAATAATTATAGTAAATACACAAGTCCTGCATTCCTTCCAGCTTGCCACCAAAGGAAGCTGTGCCAGGCCTTAGCTCCCCACCACAAGGATGCTGCTCAGCCAGTCCCTTCCCTCCCACCAGGGAGGGCTGTACCATGCCAACACGCAAACCTTTATTTAGCCACCATTTAAATAATTAATATCAATAATTTTAATAATAATCTGACACAGTCACATTTTCTTTTTCCTTTTTTTCTTTAGTATGAACTGTTGCTTATGTTGTACTATTACTGAATGTTTTTAATTGCATTTGATACTACTGTTTTTACCTTTTGTAAGCCGTCGTGAGGCTTGTTGCAAAGGACGGGATAGAGATGTTTTAATTAAATTAAAAATTAAAATTAAAAATTAACCCTGGCCATGTGACAGCAGGCTATGGAAGCTGGATTGGCATTGCTTAGGGTTCCAAAGGCTCAGAGATGTGCCATGGGGGTGTGAGATGTCACTGTGGACAAGCAACGGAGTACCCAGGGATTCCCACTGGCCAGACCTATTCCCATGGAGATCTACTTCCTGCCAGGAGCAATGACAGGAAAACCTTCACGGTGCGGTGCAGGCAACTGGGCTCCAAGCTCATGGAGGGTCAGCCATGAGCTTCCCTTTCATGGCTTGCATAGAATCAGCAGCAGCTACCAGGGGCCTCCACCTCACATGCTTACCTTGTAGGATCGGATGAAGCGTGCAAAGACTGGGAAGAAAACGGAGGGGGGTGTTGTCTTGGGGCTCTCGCCAAAATAGCGCACGACGGTGTTGTAGGCCTCCTGCCAACAGGAAAGCAGCATGAGGGAAGACTGGCAGCAGCCCCTGGCTTGCCTCCATCTGAGGAGGCTGCCGGGCACAGCTGCCTGGTTCCTGGCTCAGGGTGAAAACTGCAATTCTTGCGTGAAATTACTTTGGACACACAGGCACAAGCCTTTCACATGGAATGCTGAGGTCAAATCTACTGCTAATCCTACTTAGAGTAAACCCACTGAAACAAATGGAATAGCAAACTTAAATCCCATTCATTTTATCAACTCTAGCAAGTTTGGATTTGGCCCTTGCTGTACATAACTACTTTGCACACAGTTTAACATGTTCCAAAGAAGTTAACACTGTGATGATTTAAAAGGCGTCCATTTCTGCACACAACCTAACTTCCAGAATGCAGGCGGACTCCCAACAGTGTTCTGCATATGAATGTAAAACAGGTTCCCCTTGCATGCACAATGTGCTGCACAAAGCGTTCTGTCGCATGGACTGGGCACTCAGAAAGGGGGAACGAGCCAGCTCTGGCGGCAGGTGCCGCATGAACACACAGCCGGTCAGGTGGCGCTAGTTCCAGATATGAACCTGGCCTGCAGTTTGTGCGCAAGAAACACAGAGTGCCGAAGGATACATCCTCTCCAGATAGGCATCGTGATGCTGGGTCATATAAGCAAGGGAGGCTTTGGTCACTAGCTGCAAAGGAGTTGGCCTCCAAGGTGTCTGGCTACTCCTCCTCCACACACCTCAGCGGTCTTGGCGTCTTTCTGCAGCCGGTCCAACTTCCCCTCATTGGCGCTGAGGAAGCTCCGCAGGATGCTATGCTCGTGCAGGCTGCACTCTCGCCGGATCAACTCCATCCCACGCCCCAGCTCCTTGACATCCAGCAGCACATTCTCCAGCGATACTGTAGAGCAAGTGGGGTACAGGATTGGTCCTGGGGCCAACTTGGGTCAGGGAATACCCACCCCACCTCGAGGCCAGCCCTGCTTCAAGCCAGTTAGGCTGCTGACGTTCAGGAATGCTGGAGAAAGCAGCCGTGGAGATGTGTGCAGAAGGGCGGTGGGCTCCCTCCATTCCGGTGCTCACACAGTGCTCGGAGGCAGCCTGATCTTTAACGTGAGGAGTGTCTGGCACCTGACTGGTTGCTGGAGTCCGAGTTCAAGTAAAAAAAACCAAGTAGAGCCAGCAAGTCTGGCGTCTACCCAGCCTTGCTCTGAGCACTCCAAACGGCTCTGATAGACACAGCTGCACCAGTATGTACGTAAAGTACCCCTCTGCTGCACCCACAGACACACCCCGGCACACTTGCTTCCACGCACCATGGATGAACAAGATTATGGGCAAATGAAGCCTGGAGTTCTCTCTGTCTCCACAGAAATGCTGCTGTCATAGGTCTGGAGGGGAAGGCTGGAGATAAAGCAAGGGACGGGTTCTGCAGTGAAGGAGATGTGGGTGCAGAGGGGCCAGGGGTGTCCAGACCCAGCCCCCTAAGTAGGCCTGCAGTGGGAGGGCCCTACCTGCAGCTGCCTTCTCCACAAAGTGCAGTTCTTGCCAGAAGGTGCTCAGCTCTGGGTACTTCTCCTTCACCATCATGGCAATGAAGTGCAGGAGTGTCAGTTTCCGGTCAGTTGACTTAGTGTCCAAGAGCTTTTAGGGAAGAGGTGGGGAAGAGCAGAAACACCAAGGCATCAGCACACCACTCTGTGCAGCTGTGTGCAAGTCACAGTGCAGGCAGGAAGCATCTATGCACATGAAAGTGGATGGTCACGCCTGTACAGGAATGCACACATGCTCAGCAATGAGAAGAATGCTCAGCTTGGCCCACATGTGCCGGCGTGCCATTTGCATCACGCAGGTGATCACACACACACACCAAGGGCACATGCCCCATGGTGACAGAGAAAGCTGTGGTTCAGGGGCCAAGATGAGAGTACTGAAAGAAGTCTAGTAAGAGTAAAAGCAGCTATGGGGCATACTGCAAGATGGCACAGACAAAAAAATCAATTTCAAAGAATGCCTGAACAAAGCATGTGGGAAAGGATACTGGCATCCCCCATTGAACCCACTGGCTTGGGATGTTGAGAACCGTGTTCCAAGACACCTGGAGCACAGCAGGTCAGGGAAGGTGCATATCTGAATACAAAGGTGCAGCTGCACATAGCTTCATCAGCTTGTTATGCTCCCCCTTTATGGCTTCTTCCTTACCAGGTCGAGACTCTGCAATTTGAAACCATAAACTGAGCCACGTTTGCTGCTGTTCATATAGTTGCCAAGGGCCAGGATTATCTGCAGAGAGAGAACATGTGTGTCTTACACCAGTAAATACTGAGGTACAAGAATCTGTGATTGATTTCAGTGCCCCTGTCTTGTCCATGTTCCTTGATTTGGTACTTCTCTGCACCTCTGATCTGCCAGGTCCTTTGGTTCGCTTCGTCCTGACAGAAAATGCACCATGCGAAGGTACTTGTTGCTTTTAGCTTTCCTTTACCCATGTTTAACCCTAGAATTTGAACATAGTTCACCAGCTAAGCTGAGTGGGTGGCCCCTCTCCCTGCAATGCCTTTCCTCATACCGTATCAGCAGAGGACCCACCTCCAGCATACGCTTGAGCTTCTGCGAAGACTTGACTGATGCTGAGGCGGCAATGATAGCGCTCAGTTGCTACAAGGGACAGAAAAGAAGTATTAGCCTTGGTTTAGCACCTAAGTACCTCCTGGTTCACTGTGAAGCAAGTGTGGAGAGCCTATTCTTGTTTGAGGGTTGCACTCCCTCAGGAGCAATCTGCTGCAGGCCCCGTGCCAGCATTGGCAGGGGCGAAGCCATCCGTGGGCAGAGAGACTGCCCCCTTTTTTTCCTTTTTCTGCCCAGCTTTTCTGAAACTACACAGTGGCTGCTGGTGGAGGGACAGATCTTTGTTGCTAGGGGGCTGATCACACACAGAGGGCTTTTGAAATCAGGGCACGGTTGCCCACTCTTGCTGTAAAATGAACAGAATCTTTTCACAGGAGAAGCGGGCGCTAGGAGCCCTCCACCGTGTGCAAATCCTGTGGGCACCTGTGGGCCCTGCTCACGGAGGGCCCTGCTCGTGTTCATGCAGCTAACGGAAGTGGACAGCATCCAGCAAAGCTTCTGTCAGAATAGATTTCTCAATCTCTAAGTTGTCATAAGTCTCCTTGGGTTATTTTGTTTGTTTTGCTACAATGATCTGACAGAGCTACTCTCTGGGAATTTTTTTTCATGGGTTTAGGTAAAAATTCATACTGAAGGGCCCATCAAGCTCAATGCAGGGGCCCGTCTTTTTCAATGCAGACTAGTCCCCGTGACTGCAGAGCAGGACAGTTTTGGAAGTGCTTTCTTTCCCAGTCTTTACTCAAACTGAAGATGGCTACATTTGTACCTGAGACTTTCTACAAGCAGAGCTATCTATGATCCCTCCCTGGATGTTGTTGGGCAGCATCAAACAGGAGTACTACTACTTGACAAACATCAAGGGGCACAGCATAGTGCCACTGCCGGACATTAAGAATGCAAAATATGTGACTCACCCTCTAATAAGATTGTTAGATAATCTGAAAGTTATGCAACGATGCAGCAATGTTTGCACTTGCTAGAAAAATATTCCTGACATGATTCCAAAGAATGCATTCGTATATTCTTAAAGGAGAACAGCAGTGACATTATTTATTTGTTTAATTTAAACTCTGGGAGGAATAGATAACATGGACAATTGTCACATGTCTAGCCTCTTGAGCAATTCAATGGAAAGGGGAAATCCTGAACTTTTGCAGCCCAATCCTATGTATGTTAACTCAGAAGCCAGCCCCACCAACACAATGGAGCTTTGCCTCCATCAGTGCATGGGGGTTACACCTGCCAGCTGCATTAATAGCTGGTGCCCTCTGGATTGTTCCCCTTTCCGAAAAACAGTTGGGAGGCTAAAAGGCCATAGAGGGGGCTTCTGGGCAAGCCTTTTGTGCTGGCCGCACCCTGCCTTGTTTGCAGCATGCCCTTGGGCAATCCAGAGATCTCTGCCATCCTCTATTTGTGCACCTCCCAGGTTTTCCCACTGCTTCTTCTGTCTTCTTCCTTACTGCAGAAACCCCACTAAAGTTAAAAAAAAGGCACAGTGGCTGCACAGAGCCTTCCCACTAAGAGCACTAGAAGCTCTCCCTCTGGAAGCACCCTGGGGGGCTCAGAGACCAGGCAGGAATCCCAAGTCCCAGATCCCTCACCCCTGGCCTAAAAACCCCCTGTTCCTTCTCAAGAGCTGAGGACCGAGCCACAGAGGTGAAGTAGCCCCATACCGGCATGAGCATCTGGATGTTTTCACTGAAGTTGCCCAGGAAAGCCATAATGGCCATGCGCTGCGTCAGGCGCTCAACCTTGCTGAAGTGGAGCATGAAGCGGTCCTCGTCTGACAGCTCTTCCAGCGGCTTCCGCTCCTTCTCATACTGCCTCAGCAGCTTGACCTCGTTCTCTGTTGGCAGGAAGCGCATGAGGCACTCCACAAAGTCCACTGGTAGTGTCTTCAGGTCAAACCTAAAACGTAACATCAGTCAAAAAAAAAGGAGGGAAGCAGTGTCAGAAGATGGAGAAACTGGCTGCTTAATTGCAGGGGGAGGGAGGAAAAGCGGATGCTCTTTGACCCTCAGCAGAGCCTTATAACATGAATGGAAAGCTCAGGGGCCGCCGAGGTTCCCCAGAAGGCCATGCCTCCTTTCCTCCAATGTCCAACTGTCTGGTGATTTTTTGGTGGTTTTCCACATTTTGAAAGGCCAAACTGCCTCTCTGAAGACTTAGTTACTTGCAGTAAGAGCTTTCAGCTAAAAGAGGTGGGTGTTTTGTCTCACCGCTTTTGCCCATCCCTAAAGTACAGGGCCCACGAACTTTTCCAAAGTGGAGTCCACCCCTGCTCTAACAGAAATCACCACGGGGCTGGAAGGTGCATGGGGTGCTCATGGGGCGGCACTCACGTGTGGATGGCTTTGCAGATCTCCTCCGTGCTCCGGCCTGCCTTGCGCAATGTGATGGCCAAGTTCTTGGCCCGGTTGGCCTCCAGCAGGGTGACCTTGCTGGCTGCTTTGTGGGACGCCTTGTTCTTATTGCACAGGAGGTCGATGGCAGGGCCCTGGGCTTTGGTCTTGAAGAGCTCTTCAAACTTGTCCAGGTCAAGGTCCTGCAAGAGGAAAGAAGACCACGGAGTTACCCCGCCTGATGCTGGACATAATAGTGCCAACAAGGCTGCACAACAACATTGCCTTTCGATGTTCTCAGCCAAAGGAAATCTGAACAAGGGCATTGTATGCCCTTGGTTACTTAAATCTGGGGAGGGGCAGCATTGCCTGGGTGGAGGAAAACCATGCCCAGCTCCCCGCCTACATGCAGTGGTGCACTTTGAGACTTTTCCATCCTGGACTTAATGCTCTTATGGAGTTTGCTTCTGTTGCTTTTATATGAGAGTAAGGACCATTTTCCTGTAGAAAAGGACAGTATATTCTAAAACAACAGCATTAAAGCATTGGAGCTAAAGCATTAAAAACAAAAGAATGAAAATTAAAGAATAAGTTAAAGAATGAAGAAGCATAAGTAACCAGGCTGTTCCCCTGCCAGGCTGTTACTATAAAGCAGAGTGTTGATACACTGGAGGGAAAGGAGCCTGCAGCAACCAGCAGCAACCCCAGGTGACCCACCTGGTCCAGGTGCTGATGTCGGGCTTGTTTGCCCCCACACACATGTGCATGGATGGGCACTTGCCCCCCTATCCAGACCTTGGCTGTGGGGCCCTGGACTCTAGCCCCAGGGGCCAGCCTGAGCCACACTGCAGCTCATGGTTTGTTGGGAGCATCAATGCGCAAGTCCCTCATCCACCACCCTGAATCTTCTAGAGGAATGGCGGGAAGCCTCCAGATTCAGAAGTGGCTAGTTAGCTCCAGGCAGTATCTGGAACTGAGCCACCGACTTGACTTTCCCGCTGTCTTGACCATGTGCCGCCTCGTGACCTTCACCGGCCTGACTGGGTTGCCAGTCACAATGGGGAGAACACCCCCAGCAGCGTCTCGACCAACTGGGCACCCTCCAGCCGTGTTGAACTTGAACTGCAACTCCCACGATCCACTGGCTAGGAATTGGTGTTGTAGCCTAAAACAACTGGCAGCGTAGACTTTAGACCTAGATTCAACCCTACATGCCTCCCAGGCGGAGATGCCCTCTTCTTTCCTGCTAATTGTCAGCAGTTCCCCCTTTCTCTGGAGGGCAGCTATCACCTCTTTTCCTCATTTCAGTGTTTCCCTGGCCCATTGTTCTCTTAGATCCCTGTGTTTTTGTCCCTTGCATTTGTCCCACATCTTTAACCACATTATTTTTTGACCAGTCTCTAGCAGGACACCCCAGGCACATTCCCATCATGGCAAACAGTTCCTGCCGAGCAAAAGTATTGCGAGCTTGCTCACAGTCCTCTGCCTACTTCAAACCCTTCCTTCAGCCTTCTCTCTTCTGGGCACAGTGTCCCTTAGCTCCTTATATTCTGCAACCTCTCCCCATTCCTATATGAGGTTTCAAAGCTAGCCAAACTGACAACTTTTCCTTCCCTACTACAAACTGTCTGAAGTTCCCTGAGCAACTGAACCTTCTGAGCTACTAGTTTGGCCAATCGGTGTTAGAGGTTTCACCACAAGAACTGCAGATAACCAAAATGACAGAAGGCAAACCAAAAAGTTGTATCCATAAGCCCCTGTAGCACATGCCTTGTCTCTGACTTGCCCCATTTGCTCACCTCCAAGATCTTTTCATCATCCAGTTCACTGAAGACAGTGCCACTGATCTGGTTGGGCTTCAGTGCTGTCCAGTTGAAGACTGGCAAGCGGAATTTGGTCTTGATGGGCTTCTTAATCCGGATTGCTTAAGAAACAAGGGAGAGGATAAAGTAGGATTTGACCATATAGGTGTGAAAGAGGCAGAGCCACATTTCTGCTTCTTCCCCCATAGGTCTTTGAAAGGAAAGGGATTTGGTTGGATTCTCTGACAATGCTCTGTTTCTTTTCAGTTCAGTTTTGCTGATTTCTCTTAAGCCTCAATTTGTCAAAACAGGGCCAGCTGTCGCTAAGTCCTTTCCCTTTGTCTTATGCAAGTGCATAAAGTGTGTCCACTCTTGACTACATGTGTTAGGCCACATGCCCCACTGACCATCATGGGGCTTTCTTCTGAGTAAGCATGCATAGGATTGTATTGCACCCCTTATATACAAGAAGAATCAACATGTATTTTTTTCAAAGAACTTGGAATCAGCTGTTTTTATCCTCACTCTAGTGGAATCTAGTGTGCTAAACGGGAACAAGCAGAGAAAATTCTGCAGCTGATTAAAAATAACACAAATGGTTCATATTTGCTTGATTTAGCCCCTTTTGCATAATGCACTCTGCTTTTGTTGAAATGTGCATAATTTACTTTGGTTTTACTAGTTATAGGGAGAAGCTATGCAGGACACTGAAGTGCTCAAGGGGAATCTTATTCAGAGATCTTTCCGGCTTTTGAGAGTTCTGCCAGAAACTTTGCATCTGCCAGTTTGTGGCATCTATATAGGCTAGAAACATAATTTTGTTTTTGCTCAGAATGAAAGCTAAAGTTCTCAGAAAGCTGAATTCTGTACCCTCTTGGCTTTTTCCATGAAATTGCAGCCCACAGCCCTATGTGTATACTATCCCCTAGCCCTGTACTGCTACCCACCCCCTCTGTATTGGTGGGAGGATGGGTGAAGCATACCTGATAAGCCCATAGTGAGGATCACAGAGGGGGATGTGCCAGGAAGTGGCGGGGCTGGTGGACACTTATCTGTGAAAGAAAAATGATGGATTCAGGCACCTCCTGCGCTGCTAAAGGGCTGGTTGGCTTCTTCACTTCGGAGGACAAGCATACCTGGTAGCGGAGGAGGGGGTGGGGGAAGAGGTGGCGGAGGAGGTGGAGGTGGAGGAGCAGCCTCCATGGGAGGCAGGACGGGGAGGCGGAGGTCATCCTCGGGGAGGTCGCTAAAGTTGATCTCCACCTCCGGAGGTGGCGGCAGCGGCAGGTGGTCGCTCCCAGCAGGGTGGGTGGTATAGTGACGCCGGAAAGCCTCTTCCTTCTCCTTGATGATTCTGCGCAGCGTGTGCACTTGGTTGCTGGCACTTTCATAGGTCTCCTGTTGCAGAAGACACAATAGATAAGGCCTTGGTCCATTTCATTTCTTGGAGGACATTCATTCTCTGTCCGTCTCCTACTGGACCTCAAGCTCAAAGCCCCGAAGGTCCCACTGTTTGTCCACCACCCACGGTGCCAGCTCCAGGCTGTGGGGACCTCTCCTTGGGCAAGGCACCCTCAATGGACCACCCTGTCTCCCTTCCACTGCCACCAGGCAGCACCTGCTCTTGATTGCCATCCTCTTCCTCAGTGTCACCTGTCTGGCAGGCAGAGAGCCAGAGAGCCAGTGGGCAGACAGTGAGTGCACAGGGCACATTTAGCTGCCTTGAGTTCATAAGCCCAGATGGCCACGTGTGTTGTCCAACTTGGGCGTGCTTCCCAGCAGGTGGCTTCTTGGCCCAGTCGCTCAGCTTAGAAGTCACCACACAAAGCCATGGCTTACACCAGGGTTTATAAGTCATCCTGGGCTTGAACACAACCACTGAACACAAGCAAACCTTTAAGTCGCAGGGGTGGCTACAGCCATTACAGGGTGACTTGTGAAGGGCAACAAAGAAGGCTTCCTGCTCTGCAAGAAGCTCTGAGCATGGGTGACGGATGCCCCAGTGTAGCCAAGTAGCACCTGGGGGCAGCTGTCGGAGGCTCCTCGCAGAACTGCCAGCCAAAATGCCCAGCTGCCTCAGAAGTGTGAGATGAGCGGCGTTCTGCTCAGCCTCTTCTATAGCAAGCCAAGCAGGACTCAGCTCCTCCCCCTGCTACCCAGCACTGCTGTCAATCCTGCCAAAGGTAGGTCATGTTCTTGCTGTTCCCACCTGCCATTTGGGGTTGCCTGCTCCAGTGAGGAAGGGGTTCCCCCTGCTTCCTGCCACCACCGCCAGCCCTTGCAGCCAGGCACAGCAGAAGGTGGCAGGCCAACTTGCGCACAGGCCGATGCAACAGCTGCTCCCTAGTTCCTGCACTCCGGTGGGAACACTCAAGAAGGAGGCGGAGCACCCTATCTACAGGGTGACCAATTATCCATCAGGTGTACTGGGCTGGGCAGCTTTCTCTGCAGTTTGGGTCATCATGTCATGCAAACCCTCCCAGAGGTATCTGCTCCTTCTGGAAGGAGGACCACCGCCTTTGTCTAAGCCAGAATGAGAGACAGGGAAGAAGCAGGTTGCAAGGAGCTGGAGGAGAAACGACCCCAAGGTCCCTTCTCAGTGGGCCCCTCCTCGGCTGTGGGTCCTCAGCAGGCGCTTGAGCACACTGAGATTTCATTTCAGACTGAAGCCGCCACTCAGTGTATTCTCAACTGTATCACTTCAGAGAGAAGCAGTCTGTTGCCCCTTTCAATTCTCCTCTATAGTATGAACAATAAAAATACTCTGCACATGGATAAACAGCACATCAGTGAAATAAATTTACAACTAGCCTGACAAATTAGCTTTCTATATGTAGAATTTTTTTCCCAGTGGAAGTAGGAATGCCTTCCACATGCAGCTTTAGATGGCACAGTCCAGAAAAGCTTTGCCTCTTTCTTCTGATGGATTTATTTATTAGATGTATATCCCATCTTTTTTCTTACAAAGGATTCAAAGCAGCTTTACATAATTCTCCTCTTCCTGCCCTCATTCTTATCCCCACAATAACAATCCTGTGTAGCAGGTTAGGCTGAGAGTGTGTGACCCAGTTGGTTCCATGGCTGAGCAGGGGACTAGAATCCAGGTTGTCTGAGTCCCAGTCCTGCACTCTTCACCACTACACCACACTGGCTCTCTCAAATGAATGTATAAACAGGTCCACATTCAGAGATCTGAAGAAAAATGAGCTCAGCCCTGGACCATTTTACAAAGTGGTTTCTCTGAAGAAAGAGTTTCAGTTTATCAGAGGAAAGTGTTCCATATCATGCAATAAAGGAATGGGGCCAAACTGCAGATGCTGGAAATCCACCCAGTTAGCTCCAACCAGGAATCACAGATGTCTCCTCCTTATGGCACTGTGATTGTAACGACATATCATCTTGACCCATTGTTATCAGCTGCCTCATAAAAATCCACAAGAAAACTTCAGAGAGGATGGTTATAACAGAGCCAGGTATCAGCACAAGAAGCTTATGGGGGATCCTGGAAGAATGTCGTGAATAATCATCTTTGCCGCAGAATAAGGCACAGAATTTGCTCCATCTTTGCCAGGAATGAGCCTTGATGGCATCCCTTCCTTTTATTGAGTTTTCAGGCCTCCTGCTTCAGGGATCCCTTTCCATGTTGACCAATGGGCAACGAGCCCATTAAATGTCTGCTGCAGAAACCCTACACACTCTAGAAATTTCTGGGGCCTTTGCTCAGGCTGTACTTGCACTTCGTGTGGAGCACGGCCTGGGACTTGGCTTGCTGTTGTCCTGTGCAAAGTGTGAGCACTCCCTGGCACAAACTGAGTGCTCAGCACCTGTGGCAGAAAGACCAGCACTGGTGGTCAAACTATCTTTCAGAGAAACCTGTCTATCATGACTGATAATTTCACTGAAAAGCTTCCAAGAAACTGACAGGATTTCCTAGAACATGATTTGAAAAGCAGTTTAAATCAAACGTCAGACCCATATCTTCCTGGAAAAGTCTCCACACCCCTTCCCCTTGTCCACACACCTTGACAATCTCCAGTTCCTTCTCCCGCTGTAGTAGTTGCTTCTCCAACTCTGCCACTCGCATTATATTCTCATTCTCTAGATCCAGCAGCTTTTCTGTCAACTGAAGAAATGACTTTTTTTAAAAAATAAAGGAAATAAAATAATAACTTGATTCCCTTGATTTCAATAACTTCCCTTGATTCCTGTTAGGATTTTCCTACCCAAATAACTGTTTGTTCAGAAAGCCCTATGTGGGGCAGACTCCTGAGAATCTCATGAATTGCTCTGTTCTTTCTTTGTTTTTGAACTAGTTGCTGACCCTTGTGGTTGTAGGGATATTTGAGGACAAGCTGCTTCACCTGACTATACCTTCACTTTCCATTCTTCACGCAATATGCAATCAATTTACAGAATGTACTGCCACGTGATAGTGATGAGGGTCATAGCTTTTGCCGGCTTCCAAAGGAGTTTGGGCGTTGTACAACAGCTATTTGCCAGGAGAGCGGAATGGAATCCCTATGTTTTAAAGCAGTATACCAAATTTGGGGGGCAGGGAACAGGGACAACATGACAGGACTCTTGCTTTCCTAATTTCTTGTGAGCTTTCTGGATACAGCTGGCTGACTGATGTTAGAAAGAGGACCTTGGACAAGCAGGAACTTGACCCTGATCCAGCCAGGGTCACGTTCCAGCTCTTCTTTTCTTCTTACAATGAACAGGAGAGGGGAGTTGTACACCTACATGTGATAAGTGCTCTTCTAACTCCTCCACTTTCTCCAGTGCCACATTCTTGGTCTCAGCATCCTCCAGCAGCCCACCCACATCAAACACGTTGTCCAGGTAAGCCTGGATCTGCACTTGCAGCTTCTCACTTTCTGTGTGCCTCGACTTCTGAGGAGAAAACAGAAAGCCCAGCATGAGGAAGAGAATAGCACGGAGCAGAGGAAGAAACCTGTGAGTTAAGGGAATTTTTCCTAAAAGCAAGGGTACTGATAGCACTGAGTCATCCCCAAAACTCCCCCAAGCCAAAACAGGACTATTTTTGTGGTTTAAGAAAGGCTGCAGCCCACGGGAACTTTCTCACACTCTTGGTTCATCTGAGAGTACATAACTAGAAGCCCAGGAAGGAGCCCCAGGGATAAAGCAAGTACACCACTAACCCAGCCAAGCCAGTATGTGATCAAATGTCAAGAACCCTTCTGGGGGAAACAGGACTCATCTTTGGCATATGTTTAAACTGGCTCATATGCTGTTTGCCATTACTGCCTCTTCACAGCACAGATTCCTAGGCATTACACTTTGGTAAAGTGCTGTGCATCCTGCTAGAGACCCCAAGTTCCCCTTCATAGAACTACAACTCCAAGGGATCCCTGAAAAAAGAGGGAAACCCTTTTAAACTAAATTGCATGTGAGTGTATATATTCTGTTTGAGATATCTTGAACCAGCACCCCTTCTGATTCAACAGCTTTCAACACCTCCCTCACCATCTGCCCCCTGAAAGCAGTCTCCTTGGAAGGGTGTTTTCTTCTATTTAGTTAGTTAGCAAAAATGGCAGCTCTTTCTGCTGAGGGCACTTCAGTTTTCCTGTTCCTTAACGTACTTCTGACTGTTCTACTCTAGAAGCCTTGCTTCTAGATTGCTTCTCTGTCTGCTTTCACCATGGCCTTAGCTTTGAAAACCAAACTCCCCTCCTGCCCCTCAATTCTGTGTTGGATGCTGTTTAGAAACTGAGACTAAAAACAAACTACATGCCAGGATTTCAACCCAGCTCTTGTAAGCCAGTTCTAAGGTTTAACATTCAATCATTCAAGGCTCTTTAATAATCAGAAGCCTAATAGCATTATTCAAAAAATAATATAGACTATTTCAACATAAAACATTTATTTGAAGCTTGAAGTTATTTAGGCCTTTTAAAAACATCCAGGGAAGTTCATTTTCATGTGTCCCTAATCCGTTCTGCACATTAATTTGTTTCTGGTGCTACAACAGTGATTTTTCAGAGTTATGCAGAGGGGATTAATTTTTTTAAAGTCAAAAATGCTGGCCCCAGCGTACCACACTTCTGGATGCCAAAATGGGGACTGCAATGGGCTTGACTGCTGCCTTTTACAATGTACAAAAAGGGGTGGGGAGCCATGGTGAATCCAAAAGGGCTCCTGAGGGCAGGGAGTGGAGAAGAGCTCATACCTCCAAAGGTATATTCCAGGATACCTGTGGGAGGACCAAGGGGGTGAGATAAAGGGGGGTAGCTACCCATGGTGCATGTACCCAAGACCCATCATGGGGCCTCGGGCAATTCACCCACACTGGCTGGCTTGTGCTGTAGTGTGGGTTGGTGTGTCATTCGACTGCCCTTTAACTAACAGTAGCTCTCTTTGTCTGGGGTGACAATAAATATGCCTGATACCTTGGCAGAACTAACAGAAACCAAGCTGTAGATCAACAACTCTAATAAAGAGGAAAGGTGGAGATAGACAATGACTGTTTTGAAAGAGAGTTGGAAGTGACTTGAGAGAGGCATCACTTCCAGTGGGACACTCACACATTTCTCTCAGCCAGGGGCTGCGTCAGATCAAACAGGCTTGGTAAGTTTTTGAAACAATACAAATGTCTAAAAATTCAACCAGAAGCCCCAGGAGGATAGGTAGAAAACCATTTGTTACTAAACTGCCTTCAAGTCTTGGGAAAATGCCTGCTCTTTTTTGTCTCTCCAGCTGATGACACAGTACTGAAGAGGAATATGTAGACCTGATGCTCATAGGTTGAGGGAAATTTCTCTCAGCAGGGGAAATTTGATCAGCAGGGAAGGAGGAACATTTTGTTTTGCTTTTAAGAGCCATTTCTCAGGGAACAACAAGCAGGCATTTTACCAGTTCCAAGCTACTTCCTGTATTTTCATCTGCCTCTAATGTGGGCTGTGGTCCACCAAAGATTATGCCACAAGACATGTATTTGTCTTTAATATAGGACACCTCATTGTTCTTGAAGGAACGAACAATGATACTCTTGTAATTTCACAGAAGCTCTGAAAAGTATTCCAAAGGAAGGCTGTTCTTCAGCCACAATGTGCTTTATTTCTATTCTCTCACCCCCTTCTTCTCCTAGGCATACACACACGTATATACACACACACACATATATCGTGCCTGGACATTATTCACCTCAGGTAGAGAGACACCTCCACTAAGACCATGAGCAGGTGTGATTTTGTGTTAATCTTTGACGAGGTTCCTATTGTGTGTACTTTGGGCTGGACTGCATTTTAGCACATAAAACATGCTTCAATAACTATAGTATGAAAGTTTTACTTCCAGTATAAAAGTTTTCTTCCAGTATAGGAAACTTCTATATGTGTGGAAGAAAATGTAGTGAAGATTCTGGCTGGGTCTGCACAACATGTTAAATCCTTTGGGAATCTTCGCTATGCCCTGTGGAGAAAATTCCACTCTGCCTGACAGGCACTGCCATGGCAGGGGCTATGTGCCCCTCCTCGCCCCCCTGCTCAGTCCTCCTATAGTATCCTAGGGGACACGGCAGGGGCACTGAGATGTCCCCAAACCACAACGAACCATTTAGCGCTGGTCACGGGTTGACTGTTTAAAAAAGCGCCTCTGTGTCATCCAGACTCAGATAGATGAGAGTAGTACAGGGTCACACGAATGCCCCCTGCCCCCACCAAAATATCAGAGGGTTCCGCTACAAAGGGTGCTTACCACACATCCCAGAATTTACATAAATCTGAAAAATGAACTGCAGTGGGGCACAGGGTTGCAGTTTGGCATGGATGCAGCATCCATGCCAAATTGCAGCTTCATAGCCAAAACGGATGTGGAAGCGTGCTTTGAAGCAGCATGAGGGTCTGCAGCACTGGGGTCTTTAGAGGGTGCTCAGGTGACCCGGGACAGCCCTTGTTTTCCCAAGTGTGAATGACATGGAGGCACAAGGCCACCATAAAACAGCCCTAAAACCCTTTACAAAGTGTTTTTGAGGATATTCCCCTCAATTCTCTTCACCTTCCAAGCAGGATGGGGGGGGGGGTGCTAAGAAGCCCCCAGTTTTGTAATTCACCCTGAGTGGATAGCACTTGAAGAAGCCGCAAGGCCTGAGGGAAACCCCTCAGTGGGAGTGTGAAGCTTTGAAGAGATAAGCCTGTCTCCCTGCACAGCGGTTCCCCCAGATGTTGAACCCTTTTCCAGCTGTCCCCAAGCACAGCTATGGCACTGTGGGGTGCCTGGGAAAAGCAGCTGCTCTCTATCCTCTTGGCTAGAGTAGCAAGCGTTCCTGTTGTGCTTGCCAAGTGGCCCTCTGTTTTCTCAAACTGACCATGGTTTATTGTGTTGCCACAGTTAAGTTTATTAAATCGTACCACAAGCCATGGCTAGCTGGGTTGATTTACAAACTTGTAAACTGCCCTGAGGGAACAGTTCTAGTTCAGACTACATGCTAAACCATCATACTTTAGAAACTACCATGGCTTAATGTGTTGTGAGAACCAAGTTACTAACAGGGTTAGCACAGTTATGACTTGTTGTAGAGTTTCACGATAAGTGATCTCAGTCACCTGCCCATTATGAAAATCAATCCCTGGTAGTTTAGCTAAATAAGCAGCTTAGGACAGGTAAGCACAGGGAAGAAAATGAAGACACTGTAGTTTATTTTCCTGTCCTGTGCATGCCCATTTTGAGCCACTTAACTAGCATAGCAAAGCATAGCATAGCATTGCATGCTAAAGTATTGCCTGTGTTCACATATTGAGTGGCTTTGCACAATCCCAGGGAGAAAATAAAACTTTGTGGATTGTTTTCCCTTTGACAGTGCAGTTCATGATCCAATATACAACCCAGATTTTACTGAGCACTGAAAAAACTATCCACACTGTTGAACCCTATCCTCAAAAGAGCTCCAGCACCATGGATAGCTCTTTTTAAATTCAGAGTGAAACCTGGAGTGGGTACATAGCCCTGTAGACATTGGAGTCATCAGCCTCATTCCCTCTGGGATTGCGAAAACCTACCCAGTATGTGAACACTCTAACACACTCACATCATACCCACATTTCTTCCAGAGGACCAAGGCACACTGTTCACACCTCAGTGGAGTTTTGCCCTGAGGGTTCTGCACTTCTTCAGGAACACTTTATTCCTAAAACCTTATTCCAGGAGTAGATCATCTGGAGCCCTCTAGACATTCTGGATGAAAAGTCTCATCTTGCCTTACCACTGGCCACGATTAAACAAGATACAGACATCAAAAGAGCAGAGTCAGCAGCACAAACAACCCGAACAGCAGGGCCAGTTGCATAACCCCATCCCTTCCCCAGCACATGGAGACAGGTCGGCTGCTTATACTTCACCCAGAGAAAAGGGAGGACAAAGCAAGACACAGCTTTACATAAAATGTGCGCATGCTAGTTCATATGCATAGATGCAAATTTAGAAAGACCTGAAGTAATTTATAAAGGAATTCAATGCATCTCACAATACCAGGGAAGTCTGAGCAACCTGAGTGCCTTTGGATCTGGCTTCCAGACACTCGCTGTGGCTGGAAAATACCACAGCCCATTCTCCCCCGGTTAAGGACGTTAGCTTTAAGCCAGTCTTGGGCAAACCAGCCCTTTAAATACAGGATGTCTTCAAACAGAGGCCTGTCCTCTGTAAATGGCACCATAATGGAGAACGGGTCTAAGTTCTACCAGCTAATCTAGGCTAGTTTGGGAAAAGGAGGAGCATTACCTGTAAGAATTCTTCCAGACCTAGTTTGGTGAACTCGTATTGCAAATGCACCCGGAAGTTCATGTCCTCAACAGAGTGTACCACAATGTTGATGAACTGCATACAGGCTACCTGCAAAAGAGAAGGGTGGGGAGGTGGTTGGGATTCTGATGCACAGCCACCATCTGCCTTTCTCCTGTGGCTTCACCTAGACCTTCTTCAGATACACAGCCAGATTTTTAAAAGCCTCTGAACAAGCACATAACTCTTGGAAACATAACAGCTGAGTGTCTGACTCCCACCTTCTTTCCAGCTGCTGAGAGGATGACGGAATGACCCAGATCTACAAAGGCAACAACAGAGGGCATAACACTGCTGGTGAACGGATGACGGCTCTCCAGGTAGGCCGTAAGAAGAGACCATAGGCCAAACCTAGCACACAGGCTGCTTTCAGGCTGAGGGTTCTAAACACTACCCACCTGAAAGTATTGTGCATCTATTACATCTTTTCTTCCTTATGGGATTTTCAAAAAGAAGAAAAGCCACAAGCTGAAGAACAAATGGAAGTCAAGGAAGTTGGAATGCCATTACATTAATGACTGAGGCAGGGTGAATGCAAGATAAAAGCCTTATCTGGAAACACCCGTGGCCAGGCTGCTGAAAGTATGGAATATAAGTAGCTGGACAACTGGCAGGAGAGCAGTCATAGTCTTTGATTATCTACTGAGTAATGGGAAAAGAGCAAAAAGGAGGAGGGGGAGGGGGCAGGGGAGGTAGTGGCAGCAACTTTCCAAACTGTACTGCCAACACTGAGTGGCAGCAAGTGCTCTTCAGGATGTCAGGTGGGATCCTTCCCTAGCCCCACCTGGCAATGCTTGAGACTGAACCCAGGATCGTCTGAATGCTAATTAGGTGCTCTACATACTGCCTCTTCCCTGGATTCACCTACCCCATAGCAGAAACAGGTACCCAACAGTCTGTTATCCATGTTCATACTCCACCAAGCCAACCACAGTTTAAGTGAAGATGCTTACAGGTTGCAGTGGGAAGGACTCCTCCCACCTAATCTCTGGAGAGTAGACACTACAGAGCAAGAAGTGTCTGCTCTCCTGAGATTTAGACGCACAACAATCTTTCTCAGCTGTACCTGTTGAGGCCAGGGATTCAATCTGGGACCTTTGGAATGCAAAGCATAAGCTCTGCCACTGAGCTACAGGCCTTTTCAGCAGGCTGCTCCAGTGATCAAAGCATTAATGTCTGCATCTCAGTCAGGAATGCTATCAATGGAATGCCATTCAATGACACACTTATCATCTCAGGTTCAAGAGGCACAGTATGTACGACAATCCATCCCTCTGCTTCCTCCTCGCATTGGCCCAAGGGAACTGTTGGCATAAACAAAGCTGAGAGAAATGCAGGGTCATGTTTTTGCACAATGCAGACACCAGGATTTGTGCCTTACCATGAAGTCAATATTGCTGTCCTCATTGCGGAAATATTCCATCAGTTTCTCAAAGCGGTGTTGCTCTTTGCAAACCTGAAAAGCAGTGTGCGTGACAGGGTCTTAAGAGTGCTTCACTTTTGGCAAGCCAGCCAAACGCAGCCTGTTCCTGGACTGTTGTCTTTGCAAACCTCTGAAGAAGTGCTCCTCCACACAGCTATTCATTCCATGCACATTCCTACGGGTCAGCCTTCTCCAAGCTCTGTGACTCTCCAGATATTTTGGACTGCAACTCCCAGTATGATGTGTGAAGATGATGGGAGCTGGAAGTCCAAAACATGGCGGGGGGGTACCATGTTGGGAAAGACTGTTATAGCCATTCCTTTGCCTGGTCACACATCCAGGAGAGGCAGGGTTCTTATCCGCAGTATGTGCAGGAAGAAAAAGTCTCTCTCCTTGAACCCATGCACAAAAAGCCCAGGCTCACTCTTTCCTTTGTGACAGCATACCCTCATGCCCACCTATTTGCATTTATTTTGCCTTCGCATGAATGCTCAAGATAGCCAATCACAATAAAACCTTTATAAATATCCAGCAGGGCATCAGGCATCAAAACAAATCCCAGTTTCTCATTTAAGGGAGCAGATCAGATAGTATTACAAGCCGGAGAGAGCTGGGGTGCTTCCAGAAAAAGTGCCCCTGGTACTATCAGCCCAGACACTCTGCACAGCTATCCCATCTTTCCTCTTTTAAAAGGTAACAGTAGCAAACACAGGAGGACTAGACAAGTCTGGACCACCCTCTCCCTAAAATTCCATGAATGAGGCAGGACGATTGCAAGCCTCATTTGGAAGCACCCTGGGATAAACTTTACCTGGGACTTAAAAGATGTTAATGAAAATCCTGGGCTCATAGGCCTGAGATACGGTATGCCATAACTTGGGCATCACCACCAAAACGGCCTCTATTTGGTAGCCACACCTCTAACCTCAGAAAGTGAGGCTACAGATGGCCTTCATCACAAGTGAAGGACCGAAGGGGTCACAGCACATGAAGACAGGAAGAGGTGGATCTGCAAGCCTCACTGTGGCAGGAAGCGAGACATGAGTGGCAGCCTGGTTCTTCTGCACTATGCAGGTACCTACTCCATGGCTTAACAAGTTACTGGTGATACTGTGCCAAACTGCATGGCTGTACTGTGTTGGTGACATGAACTCATATTTTGGATTTGACTTTGGGTGCACCTACCCAGAAAGTGGGCAACTGCTGCTCCATCCACCCACATCACAAAACTTTCCTCCCATCTTTCTCCCTCCACTTATACATCAACCTCCACTCATCCCATGTGCCTCCATGCATTGACCCCCAGTCCTTTTCTTCACCTTCTCTTCCTTGCCCGAGTTTGTCCCATTAAATAAGATATACTATTTTAATATAGGCATTACCTCTTTGAAGTTCTCAAAGGCAGCCAAAATGATCTCGTGGCCACCACGCACCAAGCAGACAGCAGCTAGCAGTTCTAGCACCAGAGCTTTAGTCCTGATGAGAGCAGGAAAGAGAAAAATAAAACATGACCTCAGCCAAAAAGTGCAATATCCAGGCCACACAGAATAGCAACACAAGTCATTTTCACCTTTCTCTCTCCAGCTATGGCATCTTCACACAAAAATCCTGTCAACTGTAGTTTTGCAAGAGTGTTCAGCATCCTTTGTCAGGAATTCCTAGTTCCATCACAGAACTAAAATTTCCAGGATTCCTCAGGTAGCAGAAGTCCAGGAACAAACAGTTTTGATCCAACTGTACCCATATCTTAGGGACTATCCAGTCAGGGCTCCATGAATTTATCTATGAAAGTTATGTAATCCACATTTCCATGGGACACACGTAAGCACACAGTCATCTTACCTGGGATTTTTATTGTTCAAACTGAGGGCAATCTCGTTCACAGCATGAGGATGTGACATGACCAAATTGAATCCGTACTGAAATGCAGAAAAGGAAATAAATGAATAGCAGTGTTTGAGTAAAAAGCAGCACTGAAGACTTTAGGGCAATTGATTTAGCAGCTGAGGCAGCTGTTCCGATTTGGCACGTAGCTTCAGTACTATAGCTCAGTGGTTTTCAACTGCTGGTCCATGGACTGGCACTGGTCCACTGGCATTTCCTGCCGGTCCATGAAAGAGCTGCTGTCATGCACATGCATAACAGCAGCATCTTGCTCGCCAGAACCAACATGGGGGCTAGCTGTGCACTCACTGCTGATTTCCCACCTCTTCCTTGACCGAGGAGCCTGGGGACGAGAGAGGTAGCTCAGCAAGAGACCGGGCCTCTTCCTTTCTCTGCTCTGTTTTCTACTGGGAAGGGAAATGCTGAGGCAGGATTGTGCTGAGAGGGTTTTCTCAGCCAGTATGTGCTGGTATGTATGGGGATTTGAGTGAGTGGGATTCATTGTATTTTATTATTTAACATTATGAATATTATTGTATTATGCAACTTTGTTTGATTTTATATTGCTCTGCTGTTAATATTGTATTTGAATTTGTATTTTTTATGAGCATAGTATTACATTTATATTGATTTTGTATTTTGCTATTGTCAATTTTTGATCAAGTATTCTTGAAAAGAAGCAACAGCAGATTTCACAGTAGCTTTATCTGAATTACATATTGATCTCTAAAAATTTCAGCTGTATTAGATTAAATTTAATTTCAGTATTTTATTCTTTTAATAGCATTTTTACTGCTCAGTTTCTGGTTATTTTAGAGAATGTTCTTTTCTTTTTTTGGTACTATATTTAAAAACTAATACACAAAGTACTACATTATGTATATGATGTTTTTATTTTTGCTTCAGCGGTCCCTGAAATAGTTTTCCTATTTTTTCCAGTTCCCAGCTGCAAAAAGGTTGAAAATCACTGCCACACCTTACCAGGAAACCTTACTTTTTTCAAATAAAGTATTAAACAAATATCGCTCACAACACAGAATAAGGTAGAGATTAAATACATTACAGTATAGAAAATAATGTAAAAATTGGGACTGAGGGAGGTAGCGAAAGAAAAGCAAAATAAAGGTTATTATAAGCACTGCATAAATACATCAACTTAAATAATAACGTGACTTGTTGGCTTTGCTAGGTTTGGCCAATACAGCTAATGAGAATGCTTTCAATTTAAATATTATATAATGTCTCTTCACATATATCTGAATATGTATCCATTTTGCCTCTCCTAGGGTACATTTTCTGATACAAAAATAATGGAGCAAGCTTTTTCTAGCCTTCATGGTTGATAAGAGAAGCTTTAAAATGCAATGGCGGGGCCTGCTGAAGGTTCTCAGGCGAGATACAGGCAGCCCGCCGACGCACCATATACCACTGGAACTTTCTTCCCTGCTCAGAAATAGCCTCAAGCCAGAGGACTGCAGTGGCGCTGCCTGAGCTGGCCGAGGGCTGGAAGGGAACTATTCAGCATGGAGTGATGTGTGTGGCATCTGATTTGGGGCTGGGAGTCCACTGAACTTCCTCAGCTGGGCTGCTCAGCCTCTGGCCTGCTTTCTCTCTGCCTCGAGTCCACCTCGCCCTAAGGATTTGCATGGGCATGCAGAAACAAGTTCAACCAAGCAAGTGTGTGCGCCCACAAACCCTCTGCTGCCTTGACTTGCAGGCTTTATGCACCTTGCACGAAGACACCATTAGCGTTCCTGAGCGTTCGCGGACTTGGTATCAGCTTAGCTCGCTTCCTGGCCAGGTCTGAGCACAGGGAAGAAGTACGGCAAGAGCAAGGGAGTGGATCTCCATATGCTCCTCACAGGCACCAGAACTGCTATATAAAATCACATCTTGGCTATGGCCTAGTGAGTCAAGCCGATGAAACATGATGCTGTGATGTAACTGAGAGCAGTGTCATTTACTTTGCATCATTTAAGATTATGCCCAGCCAAAATGTCTCTTTCCCATATCCTACTGATGAGTAATGAAAAGCGAGATGGGAATTTGAAATTCACCACTGCTGCTAGCATTACAGGAGCAGCTGACATTTTTGTCTCCAGACTTCCTGACAAAAAAGCATTGCTTCCGGGTGATCATCTTGGGGAGTGGGGAGCACTGGCATCATTGTCATAGTGAACAGCACAGAGAGGGAACGCTTGGGGTTTGTGAGGTCCTGCCCTCCACACATTCATTAACTGTCCCTGGTTGGAGGACCACCAGTAGCTGTAATGGCAGCAGCCACAATGGTATAAAGGAATTTACCAATGCATTCCTCTCTCCATCTTCAAATTGACCAGGTGTTCAGCCCTCCTTCTACCCTTCAGGGCCTCAAAAATTCACTTAAAGATGTATACACACACATATGCCTGCCTGCCTCTCTGCACTGGTTTAAATTGCTGTTCCTCAGTCTATGCTATCAAGGTTAATGATCACATATACACATTTGCTGTCAAGAGTCTGCCAGGGCGGAGTTCAGCTTTCCCACTCCTGAACTGCATGGTGCTGACTTACGGCCAACTGGCTTCTCTGATTCTAAGTACAGGCAGGCGGGGTAATAGTCATGCCAGCATTACCTGATAGTTCATGATGGCCCGCAAGCACAGGATACACACATGGACATCATCCTTCTGGCTAACTAGCCGTGAGTTCTTCAGGGCTTTCCTGCTGGGAAGGGTAGTGTATCTGGCAAAAAGAGAGCTCAACATTTAGAAATAAGTAGTGAAGCTGTGAAAAAGAAATTTGACTCCTGCTAACAATGAGATTAGCTGCAGCTCGGAGGAGGAAAGAAAAGTTGTAAGATTTGTCCGTGATGTGTGTTCCCCTTTGGCAAAAGAAAGAGCAAAAAGCTAGAGTATTCTGAATCTAAGGCTGCTTCCAGGCAGAGGACTCTAGTGCTAGCAATCAGAAAGGACTGTGCACTTACACCATCTTTCTCTTCTCAGCAGATTTCTTTGCAAGATGGAAAAAGCGGTAGGGAAAAACAGAAGGGTCACCAAGAAAAGACCTAATTGTCTGGACCCCCCATAAAATGTTGTGTTTGAGGAAGAGTGATGGCACCGTACAAGTTCTGTTTTGCCCATTTTAAAGTAATGTAGAAGAACCACAATTACTATCAGTTTTTTAGCTGTCAGAAACAAAATTAATTTCTACTCATTTCAGTTTTCATTTGCTGAAGTGAGGAAGAACAAAAGAAAAGCCATAAAATGTTATTAAAATATGAAGCAAAAGAGAGATTTGTTGTGGCAAATTATATAGATAGTTTGTCTCAAAATCTGGAACACTGCTTCAATGTCTGAAAGACAGAGAGAACCCAAGGGCAAAGAGAATTAGAGGTCAAGTGTAGAAAAGAGTCTTCAGCTCCTAGAAGTTACAGATATAGGGTTCAATTCATTTTTCAGGACACCTGATTCTACTCCTGTTGAAGCAAGTGATCTACAAGCCTTCCAGCCCATGATCCCCAACTTGATACCCTCCAACCATGCTGGTTGGGGTTAGTTGTAGATCAAAATCTCTGGAGTTGTAGTTCAACTTGGGGGTTGTAGTTCAAAATCTCTGGAGGCACCGGGTTGGGGAAAGTTGAGCCTTTGATCAAGACTGCAGGCTTATGAAATATAAACTCTATCCCTCCAGGATAATGGGACAAACAGGGGAGACATTGGATCCTTCACTGCTCTTAAATTAATCTAAAACAGAGATGTCATCATGCACTGTGCATACACAGCCACCTGTGCTAAGACCTCTTGACCTCAAGTACTCCCTGTTTGAGCAGGTAAGTCAGAAGAGAAACTAAGAAAAAGGAAGAAATGGACTTCATCCCATCTGGGGATATGGGCTGGTGCTATGCCACCTACATATCCCCTCCCCTTTTTTACCTGAGGCCCCACCTTCCTTTGCCTAAGTCTATCTCTCAGTCAAAAAGTTAAGAAAGCTGCATGAAAGAGGCATTATTTTGATGTATTTGCTTTCTCATTTCTAGTAATCAGATTTTGCAGGCCTTTGAAAACACTACAAAAGTCTGCAAAACTTGTTTGCCCATAGTTAATAGCAGAGTTAGTGAATGTAACACTACCAGCAATCCCTCTTTCAAACTTCCTTGACACTAGTAGGGTGGAATCATTTGTCGCCAGCCCTACATTCCCACTAGCCGCCTCAAGTGAAGAGCTGTTCCTCCAGGCCTACTGAGCAATGCAGTCTCCTCAATGGCATGAGTACTATTTACCATTTTCAAGAATCACCAGGCATCTCTATAAAGTTAAAGCAGAGTAAAGCATTTAGCCTTGCAACAGCCCTAAAATATAAAGCTACTTATCTTTCCATTTCGCAGCTGGCAAATAGAGGCTAGGAAAGCTTTTCCACAGTCAACCAGTGGGTACATGGTTAAGTTGGAATTTGAATCCATCTGTCCATTTCCAGAATTCAAACCCCTGAACTGTAGGGACTAAACTTGATGGTAATTGTGTACTTAAAAAAACCCCCTCTACTATATGTGCACAGGGCGCTGATTTGAGCTGGGACCACTGCATACAAGCTGGGGAAGTTCCACATCCTCCCAACAGCTCCCCCTTTAATTACCCCCCTCCATTGGTAGCAATGGAGTTTCCCCTCTTTTGTTTAGCTGCAGTGTGGAGCTTGGGGTAATTTAGGAGAGAGGCAATCGCTGGGGGAGATTTAACCTCTCCTACCTCTGTGAGGCTGTCCTGATTTGAATCAGAGTGGGAGGGGTTAAAACCCATACCTAGGTGAGGTTGTCCTGACCCAGACTGAGCCTCTGTGTGCCTACAGCAAAATTTCAAGAAAAGGTAGGCCCTGCTGGATGTCAGACATTTAATCCATCATCTAGTACAGCCCTCAGGTGCTGGTACTTGAATCGAGAATTCAAGCAGGGGGACCCACTGCGCTGCAAGTGGCCAGAATGTGAGGCTGCAGGTACCTGGTCATATTGGGTGATGCAGAGTGGAACTGGCTTCTACTTGGCAATAGGCTTCTAAAAGGTGGTGGTTTTGGTCTGACCCTTCAACCCAAGCCATTTGTCATTCAAGCACAGGCTGAGCTCTCCATCTTGCCTCCCTGCTTGCCTCAAGGCCACCAGCCTCAATATGGCCTGGAGGGTCTCTCACCTGCTTGCACATGAGCCTTTCTCAAGCCTGGGAGTGTACTGAGTTCATCACGTAGCACCCAGTGTAAAAATACTTACCCAAGTGACAAGGACAGAGAAAGAGAGAGAGCAGGAGACCCAGCAAAGACAGGCAGACAGAGCATGGCAAAAGACAAGGCCTGGCACAGCGAAGTGACATGGCCAGCTACCGCCAGAGGAACATCAAGGGGGAAGGATGGGAGTGGGGAGAAGAAGTCAGCACATGGCATCCCCTGGAGGGCAGAAAGCAGGAAGGTTTTATGGTTATGACCAACAGCATGGCAAAGGGCACACACCTGAGGGCACAGCAGGGCAAAAGTACATACCGGAGAGCAGACTGGCGTGCAGAGCGAGCAAGACTGTTGGCGTAGGGAGCAGACAGGGTGCTGGGGTGCTGCAGATCCTCTATGGACCTGCTCCAGGATTTCAGCTTCTCTAGTGCTCCATCCTCGCCACTTTCCAGACCCTCAAAATCAAACCTGGAGGGCAGACAGGGGACACACACCATACACACAGAGCAAAAGCTGCACAGAGAGGGCTTAAGCTCTGGATTCACAGGGGGAATTGGACAGGCCACAAGCCAGCAGCATGGCACACAACAAGGCACCAGGGCCAGGGGTGAGGGAGCACCCGAAACTCCTCTGCATAAGCAGGACCTGAGCACAAAGCAAATCAGGAAGAAGATGGTACAGGTGCTGGCCTGCACCAACACAAATGGCCAAGTCAGCCCTGCATCAGATGCACACCCACACATAACGGGCAGGACATTGCACTGTCCCACAGGCTAGTTTTATATTAGACACAATCTCCTGTGCATTCTGGCTTGCAGCCAGGGGTGTTTGCCAGAGTAGGGTGCCTGCATTACGGTGCATTCACACACACTGGCTTGATTGCTGGGATGTATCCTGGAAGGAACAGCTGAAGTCTCTGCACTGAAGCCTGATGTAGTCGCCAGGGAGTGATGGAGGGTTGGTAGCTGGGTTCCTTGTTAGAAGACTTTCCAGCAGACTGTTTAGTTCCATGTTGCTCTTTGCAATTCTGAACAGTTTTAAAGGAACTACACTGGGTTCTGGTCCATTTAAAAACTCAGTCCAAAGTGCTCATTCTAACTTTTAAAGCCCTAAATGACATGCGGCCAGTGTACCCATAAACTGCCTCATGCCAAGCAAGCTTCTCCCAACTTCTCAGAATTTCCATGGAGGCCTTTCTTAGGATCCTCCACTACCACCTTCAGAAGTTATGGTGGAGAGGCCAAGAGGGGAGTTTTCCAGTATTGCATACCACCCAGAGAACTTCAGTTTAAAAGTATGGTAAAAGTGCAATAAAATCAGGATTTTAATGCAGATTAATTTTTGTCTAATCGATTAGTTGATGACAAGCCAGATGAATAACCAGCTAAAACTTGTAACTGGAGGATAGCAATTGTTCCAATCTTACTTGAAAATCCACTGATATATCCAAGCTTGGGCAAGCAGTTTTCATTCCCAACACCCACAGAGATGCCCCGAACAGGTGAGCTGATAACTATCAAAAGAGCTGAAAAAGGGATGCTGTTCAGTTGCCAGCTAAAGGGCCCTTAGAAGTGAGCAAAGGCCCCGGGATGGAAAACGTTTCAAGCAGCCTCTAGATTCTTCTGTGTACCTGAGAATCTACATAAGCTCATGGCCCCTCGTGTGAAACCAAGCCCTGGGAAATAAACTCCTGAAAAGTTACTGTCAGCTCGATTCCATGTCACATTATTAGAGCTCCCTATGGCCTTGGCTATGGCCTCTTTTCCACAGCGCCAGTGCCGTCCCAGGCTCCTCAGTTCTCCTCATGTGTGAAATGGGATGAAGAGGCGGGGAGATCCAATGCAACAGGAAGGAAATGCAACACTTACATCACTGCACATTGTGCAAAGGAGAGATAATCCACCAGCACATCCAAGCCCTTGTTTTCATCATTGAGAAACTCGCGCACCCACCTGCAAAAGAAAGGTCCAAAATCAGTGATACTTTATTATTCAAAGATATCGTACATTCTTTTGTAGAAGATCGGTACATCATGTACAGTCCTTGTAAAAAAAACTATTTATTGAACTAATTCGTACCTTTCCTTTCAACCAAACATAGCACCCAAGGAGGGTTACAATCACTGATGAAACAAACAGGAAGCAAATACTTTAAAACACTGTCTGAAACAATTAAAAACATAACAACAGAGTAAAAGCAGTGTCCAGCTTAATGGAGTTGCTCACACACCAGAGACCTACAGTGAGGTAGCTGGGGGGGGGGGGGGGGGCTATTTCCATCTCCTTAATCCTTGCCTCCTTAAATGCTAAAGTGGGCATCCTGAAATACTGGGTTGAACCTCTTAAAGTCCTAAGCATGGGCTTCTGCTGAATAGCCTCCATGGCCAATATTTCTTCAGGTACCACATACACTTGCAGTAGCAACTGTACACATTGTTTTCATGCCCTTTGTTTCCCTGGCTGCTGCTTGCTCCCTGCTGCCATTTTACCATTCCTGCTTTTCCCTTGCTATCTTTGGCCTCACCTGCCCATTCTGCCATTTCCCCTGATTGGCTGCAGGAAGCCAAGTGACATCATCACCACCCCGGTCCTAAGCAATCACTGAGAACTCTACGGCTTGGGCTCACATGAATCAGTTGTATTTCCTCTGTTTGTATTTATGCTTATTTTTTGTTCCTCTGTTTCTGGTGCTTGTATTGTTTGATTAAACTTTTATCTTGTTTGGCTGTATTGCTTTATCTTACAGTACCATAAGTCATCTCTTGCATAGGCATTTTGCCTAGGAAAGCCAGATATAAATTGTTTATATAAACACGAGTGTTGATGAGGATGCCAAACCTTGGGTGGTGGTTTGGTTTGTAAGTGTTTGAGTGAGCTTGTGTACTGTAACAACAACAATGTCAATGAAAAAATAGTACTTCTCTCTATATATGACATTTTACAAAGAGGAAGGAAGCAGTCCTTTAGGCAACTGGATCAGAAGCTGTTTAAATACTTAAAGGCAAGTCCCAGCACTTTGAACAGTACCCAGAAACAAAATGGTAACAGATTGCAGTTGTGTAAGGATTGGTAAGATTTATTTCATATAACTGGACCCCACATTTTGTACTACCTGATGTTATTCTTACCACATTGCAGTAGTCTAACCTGGGGTTATAAGCATGTTTATGTGACAGCACAGTTTATTTACTTCTGAGTAAACCTGCATGGGATTGCTCTGTGAAACAGGATAGGAAATACTAGGCCTCCCTATTAATTAAGACACTCAAGACATCCATTGAGCAAACCTGCCCATTGCATGTGTACAGTTAACAAACTACTGGGGCTGCACTGAGGCTAACACACAGAAATAGCAAAGAAGTTGCTCCCTTCACTCTCCAGAAATCCTCATCAACAATCCTCCAGAAATTTCCTCATCAGTAAAAGCTCAGAATAATGTTGAAGGAAGACAATACAAAATTGGAAGGCACAAAATAGAAATGTAATGTAGTAAAAGAGTGGTGAGAACACAGCAGGAAAGAAAGTGCAGAAGAGATGGAGGTAATCCAGGAAAAGCTCTGCCTTTGAAATAGTTTTAAGGACTGCAGAAAGAATCCTATACAGCTTGGTAAGTCTAGAGATAGAGGACATTTTGCCCCAGAAAATGATGATGTTGTGAAAGAAGGAGCACTGCTTGGATATACTCATCCTGATTTCACCTGTAGGAAACAGGTTTTGTAGGTTTTTATATTGTTCCCCAAACCTGCAAAACCAGTTTGACTAAGTTTATGGAGCTGGGGAGGGTACAAAAAGTGTGTGTGCACTCTTGAAGACAGGCGGGAGTCTCTTCCAAGTCACTTTCAAATGATTGCCCAGTGATGCAGCCTTACAGAGACTTCAGGCTAGACAGAAGACATCAACAGCAACCTCACTGCGTAGAAGACCCATCAAGCTCAGCTCATTTAGATGATGCTATTCAGGCTGGAGGCCCTGTGCTTTGGAAGTGATGCAAACAAGCTGGATGGGACTTAGAGAAGAGAGAACAAGATAACTTCAGAGAAAAGCCAACTGCAGCCCACCCAATGCGTGTTGCAAGGAGATTGCCGCATCCCCAGCCGCCTGTAAATAAAACCCTTGGCGTGGCTTTATCTTTTGACGGCAGGGTAAGGAGGGTTTCACTCAGGGCCTCACAGCTCCCTGCACATCTGCTGGAGTTGCCTCTCCATCCTGCTGCCTTTGATGCAAGTAGGGAAACAGCATGGGGAATGAATCCAAGATATTCTGCAAAGATTCCAATCTGTGCCTGAAGAGACTCTGACTGAACCTGTAGTGTACCGTTGACTAAAGGAGTGAGGGTATGTCTATGCGTGCATTGCTTTGTGTGTGTGCACATGTGCGTAGGTGTGTCAACCCTGGAACAAGAGCATCATACGAGAGAGGTCGGGTACATCAACCAGGAGATTGCCTGTTCAGTATGTTTTATTTCCAGGAGCAATTATGGCCGAATGTGATTTTGTCCATCCGTCATTTGGACACTGGAAATGTGCATATGTTCATAGTCTCTTGCTTCCTCTCTCTGGGACAGGGGAGCAGTACGCCCGCCCATTTCCTGCCTGTCTGCACTCCAGCCTCCACCCCCAGTGTGTTTCCTGTCTGACTCCGGTGGCTGCTATTTTAGGGGCCTCAACACATTTGCTGAAAGGTTAAAAGGCATGGAGGTGGGAGCAGAAACCGCCTCACAGGCAAACCCAGTCCTAGATGCAGCTGGATACAGGAAGGGGGACTGTGGGCGTTTGTGAGTTTCCCTGCCTACAAGGATGCTGCACAGATTTTCTGTGCATGCTTCATATGCATTTCTGTGCAGAGGGATCTGCTGTATCCTCTGACAGTTGCTTGATTGCACAACACCTGCTTTGCATCAGATGGTCCAGAAGTGGAAAGATTCTAAGGAGGACGTCTTCTCACCCTGAGAACTGGAGTGCCACTGCCAGTCCGAGTAGATTCTACTAGGCTAAATGGACCAATTATCACCAGGTGACTGGTGATCCTCTTTTGCAGATAGCATGCCTCTATTTGAAGGAGTACATTGCCCAATTATAATTTAAAGATTTTTTTAAAAAAGAACTGTCACCCACCCACAGCACTTCACACCTGGGCAGCAGACCCAAGAGGTAGACATGCAAGGTAACTAGCTCACCGTATCCCATGCTGCAGTGAGATGTACTAGATTTTTGTTTCAATTATAATACTTTTTCCATGTTTGTACCTATAAATTAGCACATGCACATGTTATGCAAATCACTGTCCTCTTTTTTTGGGAACGCATTTCCCTTTTTGGTGACTAATCAGGAGCCACTGTCTGTACAAGGCAGCTCTATACTCAGTTAGAGGGTCAAATGTGCCTAAGCACATGCGAAAATATAGAATTCTGCACATGCACACTCATTTGTGTGTGTCAACAGATAAAACGGGAAGGATCCAAAGGTGGTGCTGCTGCTAAGCAAGATTATCACCATCACCATTCCAAGCTCAGCTCACACAGTCTAGTACTCTGTTATGAGCGCAGGAAATGGGAATGAGCGTGGCTAGCTGCAGGGAGAATGTAGTCCCAGTTGACTGTGATGTCTGCACACACCTATGGTAAGTACAGAAACATAATATATCAACTGCTTGAAAGGTGGCCACTACACCCATCACACTAGGTTATGGTTCTGGAATCCCCTTCCTTCCCCAAAGGATTTAGTTGAATGGGAAAGGCTGTTACTTATAGCAAAGAAAAAGAAATATTCAGAAAGACAGAGGGACTTTTCTCAAGGGTCGGAGGAGTGTTTGTAGAAGATTAGAACTGTTTGCATGCCAGCACACTGCCCTCTGACATTTCACAGATGAACATGGGATCTGTCTTGAATACTTACACACCTGTTCTCACCCGAAGGATCACTGCCTGAGTGCCTGCTCATCACCCTGCCCATCTTCAACCCCTAAAGTCCCAGTTGCGCAATACTAAAGCTACTTCTCTGCAATCAGCTGTGTTGCATACAGCTCAGACCACTTTGCTGCACTCTAAAAACAAACAAACAAATCCTTCAACATTCTGCAACAACCAGGCTATCTCAGATTCCACTCCAAAAAAGACAAATACCATGGCCCGTGAAAATTAGGCAAATCAAGCCATGGGATGCAAATTATATACCTTTATTCGCAGGATGTATTTTGTTGGTATTAGTTGTGGGCTGGGACAAAAGCCAGGAAGGGCACTGAAGTTCTGCTCCAGCCCTCCCCTACTGAGATGGGTTTCCTAGCTGGGGACAATGAGAGTCTTAATCCAACACATCTGCAAGTTGAGGTTGGAAAGGGTGCTGTATGTCATTATCACTGGACATCCTCTATCACCAAATCCAGTCCAACTTAATATACAGAATATGAATCTCCTGCTTCTGGGTGTGAAGGGAGGAAGGTGGTGCTGCACTTTGTCCTGTGGACTGCCCACTTCAAATGGTTATGGAAGCCCCCTTCTTAAAAGAGACAGTCCTCTCCTTTGGCAGGTGCTTTGCCAAGATAATGGGCATGGTCATGACTTTGCACCAAGAGTGCTGCTATCAGGGAGCAAATGTTGCCCTCTCCATTTCCTTAATATCAGCTTCCATTATGAAAAGACAACCCCTGCAAAGCTTTCACTAGTCATTCTAACCAGCATGCAAGAGAACAATGTGAACTGGTTTTTATATTAATTAACAATTACTATCACTGTGTACAATGAAATATCAGTGGTCATACCATGGGCTACGTACACAATGTTCCTCCCCCGCAATAAAATTAGTCAGTGACTAGCTGGGGAGAGGGAATGGCTTGCATTTTTTGTATAACAACTGACCTGGCCAGCTACCTGTCTGGATATGTTTTACTGAATAAATTCCTTATCCTTCTGGATCAGTAGGCCCCTTCTGCCTTCAGTTCATTATCTTCTATAATCCAAATGTTTAAAAGTCTGTGACTTTGTGCTACATAAGTATCTCTTTTAGGACCATTTGGGAGTGATAAAGTTAACCTTAGTTCAGGGCTTTGAAATAGTTAACCTATTTAAAATCTCTTCTAATATTATGACTCTTATGATTCCCCATCACAAATTATCTAGACCATTCCAGTCTGGGTTTCAACTTGGTTATGGGTCTGAATCAGCCTTGATTGACCTTAAAAATGACCTTTATCGGGAGAGGGACAAGGGGAGCATGACCCTGTTAATTCTGCTCAGTTTCTCATATGTTGTTGATCCTGGGCTCAGTGTCAGAGCCATTGACCAGAATGGTCCTGGCTTTACCTGCAGGGTTGATTTCAGGGAGTAGCACTGTGTGGATATTCCTTGACAATTGAGTAAGGAATTCAGCAGGGTAACATCTCGTTGTTCAATTTCTAATGAAGTCACTGGAGTGCTCAGCTGGGTATTTGGAGCCAAGGGCCATCAGTATACAGGTGACATACTCTCTCTTCCTGTGACACCTGAATCAGAAAAGGCTGTGCAAGTCCCAGATCAATGACTAGACTCAGTGGTGGGCTGGATGAGAGAAACCTGGCAAGTGGGTCATGAGTCCATGAGACGGACTGTACTGGATGGAACCACATGCCCTTTGAAAGTTGAAGTTCACAATCTGGAGATACTCCTAAATCCATCACTCCCACAGACGGCCTAATAGCTTATGGTGGCTTGGAGGGCTGTTCACCAGCTTTGACTAATGTGAATCCTCTGCTGCACAGGGACAGCTTGACCACAGTGGGACAGGTAGTGGTAACCTCAGGACTGGATCACTGCAACATGCTCTGCATGGGGCCACCCTTAAGGCTAGCCCTGAAGCCAGAGCAAGTGCAGCTGTTGTTGCAGGCTGTTCTTTTTCCGCATGCAGCTCCTTTGCTGAAGAAACTAACCTGGCTGCCTCCTCTTCATTTCCAGGCCAGGCTTCAGGGTTTGTTACTAGCATATAATGCCCTGAACAACTTGGCACCCGGATATCTAAGAGAGTGCCCACTCCTTTATCAGCTTTAGCAACCTGCCTGATCACTGGGGTGGCATGCTCCTGGTGGTCTTGCATGGCCCAGTGGCCCAACTGGAGCCCAGCCTGAGAAGGGCCTTGCATGGGGCAGCCCTCTTTCTGTGTCACTCCCTGCCCTGGAGGCCTGGGCAGACACCAACATTTTGTCATCTGCTGAAAATGCGTTTATTTCAAGAAGCCTTTCTTGATTGACCACCCACGTTTTTAATTGGCCTTATATATTTTTAAAGATACAATATGTCACTCTATTCTTACAGTTGTTTATGGTGCTTGATTCCTTTTATCAAGTGCTCCAGATATGACAGTTGATAATGGAAACACACACACAAACCCCTTCATCCAGTGTCCTACTGACATTCCCAAATATTTCTCCCTTCCACACAGCCTCCACCCCAGGATGTGGTATTCCATCCACCCCACCCCTTGTTCCCAAATTTTACATCCAGGTTGCTGTTCATTCATTGCTCAGGCTTCCCCTGAGGATTTTGCTGACTAAGCACCACTCCCTGTGCCAGCTCCAGCCATCCTGAGGAACTCCTGCCTGACAGTAACCGGAAACCAAGGACAGGAATGGTTCTGCTTCCTGTTCTTGTTGGTGTTTCCCTTCCATCTGGAGTCAGCACAGGTGGTGATAGGGACACGTTTTGCAGTTTACAACTGCAGTCACGTGACCCTTTCAGAGGACAGAGGCCTCTTGCACAGGCCGCAGCTACATTTGTGTGCCAAAGGGAACAATCAAGTCAGAGTCTCCCTGCTCAAGGGACAGGCTCTGAGGTGAAAAGCCTTTCTTCAGTTCATCTTCTCAAAAGAAGGACCTCTTCAGAGCCATCTGGCCTATTAGACTTCAAGCCAGGACAGATTCAAGTTCAGCTGTCTCCTCTCTGGAAATTACTCCCTCTCCCAGAGTGCTGGCAAGATTCCTTTACTCTTTCATGGCTTTGTTTGGACTGTCGATCAATGGAACGTTACCCATGGGCCATGATCTGCTTCTTTGCAGTTATTCTGAAGAGAACCTGAATGTCAGAAGTGCCTCGGTGGTTCAGATCAAAAGTCCATGTTGGCCAGTGTATGTCTGGACTTTCCTCCATACTTTCCTCCCAATGCCCCAAGCAAATCTACAAGCAGGGCTTGATGGCTAGCTGCATCCAGTGCTGCCTCCAGGCTTTTGAGCAAGACGCCAACTGGGTTTGCATAACATGCTAAGCAATGGTGGCTAATAAACCATGGTGGTTTAGCATGTGATCCAGACCTGGAATGGTTTCGTCAAGGTCGCTGAGAGGGGAAGAGAGAAAAGTCCTGCTCCTCTCACATTGCCCCTGGGATGCCTGTGAGAAGACTGAGGGGGGGAAGGGGGAGAGATGTGCTTGATTGTCTGTTGGGTGCACTAGGGTTGAAGTGGATTATAAATCATACTTTGTAGCTTGCTGCACAGCATGGCTTACTACGTGTGCAAACTTTCAACCAACCCCTCCCTCAGTAAATCAACCTTCTCACCAGCTTAGTCATTAGCTGCTTTTGTGCCTGTTCTTGGACTCACCACGGTTTCCTGGCAGAGAGCCAGGCAGGCAGGCGCATCTCCTACTCCTCTTCCTCACCCACCATTGTTTGGACCAGAATATGAAGTGGGCAAAGAAGAAAGTTACAATGATGACAGAGAGGAGCAGGTTCACAGGACCTTGTCACTGAAAACCTGCTGCCATGGGGGCCCTTGGCAGGTGCCTAACTGTGCCAATCCTGATGCCAGGTCTGGTTTTCAGTGAGTACCTAAAAGGTGCCTGGCACTGCGCTCTGATGCACTTCAGAGAGGAGAAAATTCCACTGAACAGCCCTGCTGAGAAGCCTGCTTCTGCGTCACTGACATACACAAACCCTAGGCTGTGGAATGGAGCATGGGGCTCCCACTGAAGATCATAATGTCCTGCAATGATCTACTCTTGTACTGTGGATACAATCAGAAAAGTCAGACCTGTCCTCATTATATCTCCAAAGCTAAGTAGGAAGAAGCTGATACACAAAAAAGCAGATGCTACAGAGAAAAGAACACAAAGAAAAAGGCAGGTGAACTGGCTGAGGTGTGCAAAGTCCCTTTCTCAGTCACCGGAGATCTGCTTCTTTAAACTGTTCATGTTCTCCAGAAATATCCTTCCCACAATGCAAGTGGCACGATCCATTCAAACTCAAGCACTTTAAAATCCCACTGTCTTAAAATGGAGAGATTTAAGCATTGCCCACTGAAACAAATGCTTGCCTTCCTGGATCACAACATGCAGTTTATGCATCAGGCGGCAATCTCTACTTCTGACTGTTTCTGCCCTAATGTCAGTCCGCCTCCAACATGGCCTTTCCTGATGGCATTTTGAAAATGCTTCTGGGCAGGAAAAAAATGGCCACTGGCACACATCAAGGCAGAGTGAGCAGAATCAGACAATGGTATTAAAGTGAGAAGTGTCCTGAGCCATCCTCAGATCACTGTTTGCAGGATCAAGAGTGAGGAAGAGGGTTCCTGGGACTTCTGCAGAGTTAATCATTTAATCATTTAACACTTAATCATTGAGCCCCCAGGAGAGAGGGTTGCTCAGCCCCCTGGCAGCAGAATGAAGTAGAGCGGGGTTGTTGTCACTCCCTGCAGTTCTTGTGGGCTCAGTAATCTCTCTTTTCTTGGCACTAAATAAAAGAAAGCAACCTCAAGATGCGAACATATGTTTGTATATACATGAATTGAGGATGTACAAAACAGATTAGAATCACCCTCTATATAATTTCCAAAGCTCAACAGGAGACCAGCCCATTAATCGTCAGCTCATTTTGAACAAAACACTTCATCATAAGCAGGTCATGTCTGGCTGAACACTTCAGCAAACTTCTCACCAGCCCAGTGTTGACTTCTCACTTAGGTGACAGTTCTGCAGTCCTGAGGAGAATCAGCTATTGGGGCCATTAAGGGGATCTTCACACACACACTACACTCCTGAAAAGGATTGCATCACTTTCTAAGTAGATTTTGTGTCAAGATCCTCTCTCCTTTTTATCACTCTGGCAAGGAATATTTGTTTCAATGTAATCTAATCTAGCAGGGATATGATTTATAGAACATTTATTGCTTTGCACTCCTCAGTTTGTTGAAATTGTGCATTCATATTGCCTTCTCCTATTTGGGGACCTCCAGGCGTTTTGCACTAAAACTCCTATCAGCTTCAGCTAGCAGGATTAATGGTCAGGGACAATGAGGGTTATAAGCTAAAACATCTGAAGAGTGCCAGGGTAGGAAGGTTGGGATGGCCTCTTGTCAAAGTTCGTAAATTATACAGATTGTGATTCTAGTTGTAAGTTATTATATCAATTCATGTGCAAATAGTGCATATATTTCTGAGGGCATTTTCTTTACTTTTGAGTTTCCTAATTAGGAAGTATCCATCCTCCCCTTTCTTTTCTTCTCAGCCTTTTCTCAGTTCCCCCATTGTTGCCTCTGGCAGTCTCTATTCACTTGGGAGTAAAATCAAAATGGCCTGCTGTTTGTACTTATTTATTATTACATTTGTACCCTGCCCCTTTTCCTTTTGCAAAGAAGCGTATGTGGTTTATGTGGTCCTCCTCTCTATTTTACCCACACATAAGCCCTGTGAGGTAGGTTAAGTTGAGAGTCAATGAGTTTCGAGTCATCCAATGAAGTCCATGGTCAAGAGGGCATTAGAATTGGGGTTTCCCAAGGCCCAGTCCAACACTGTTATAATGCAGAGGGGCCCACAATGGGTGTCATAAGTGAGACTGAGCACGAGGACACCGAGTAAAGAGTACAGGCCCACCTGCCTCTCCACTGCTGTCCCACTGTCTGCTCCTTACTTTAGCAGGCTAGAGACAACACGACCCCAAGTCTTGGGGAGCAATACATATAATGCACTGGAGGCTGCAGTGGTGCTTTCCCTGGCTTGAACACAGATCCAATGGACCTGTTGGCTTCTTCCAACTCTACTATCCTATGATTCTGTGCAGCACATTTGCCAGAAAGGTTGGCCACCAATGACTTACCCAATGTGGTTGGTCCTTAAAGAGATCTCCAGCTCCCTCAGCACTTTGGTAGATTCCTGCACTCTCCGACGGAACTTCTGTAAACATAATGGCCACACTTTACTGAGAGGGTTCAACCTACTTACCTTTCTCCTCCACAACCTAATCTGGATAGCTGGCATTTGGACTGACCAAAAAGTTAAAAGCAGTACTGTATTCTCTCCCACCTTTCTTCATCCTATCTGTAGAATTTTAAAATTCTTTTACTTGCATTATTGTTTATAAAAATAATATTACTGCCACCATTTAATATTGAATTTGGGAAGAATGAGCACAGGCAGTGGTACAACCAGGTAATTTTAGATCCTGGACTCAAGGAGTCTGTGTGCTCTCCTCTTAAATACCCATGTGTATCAGTTGTGGAGTACACCTCTAAAAATTTTCTTCACCCCTGAACCACCATTCCATACTTTACTACTGCTTCTACATTCCTAATATATTAAACAAAACTATTTACCAAGCCTCATTTAAAAAAATACTCTGAACAGTTTCATTCTAAACTCACTTGGAATCATAGCACCCTTAAGAGTACAGAGATAACAGGAAGGTTGCTTCTGTAGGTAACGTGGGGCAGCCTAGCTTGTGGGGCCCTGGATTTGGACCCAAGCCCTAGCTGCAGCACTAAGGCAGGATGTAATCTGCAGTGTTCATTAGAGTGATCTTCCTTCACTTGTGATTTGTTGAAACGCTGCATCCAAGTATCAACTATTCTATGAGGCATGTTACTGTTTGCTCACCATTCATTATCCATGTTTGTTTACGGGTTCTTCAGATGAAGTCATGACCCCCCCCCAGTTTTGCTCCTGTGTTTAATCAACACTTTTTTTTAAGAAGGGAAAGTGTGGCATTTCATTAAGAAAGCAAAAAAAAAAAAAAAATTCCTATTGCATATTTGTGCTATTCTGCTCTCCACACTGCCACCTAGAGGTTATATAGTGGGAAGCCATTAAAATCTCACAGATTGCTCAGATTCTGCAACAAAACCGAAACTAGATACAGCAGCTTAATAACTGATTAATGATTCTAAATCCTTTTTGGGCCTGGAGGAATTCACTCACATATTGCAGGGTTAATAGAGTGTTCTTGAAATACGAGGTGGGGAAATCATTGTTCTTTGGTAGCCACCTTTCAACTCTATGAATCATGTGCAATGTTCATTATATCAAAATATATGATTCTGAGGATCTTACCTTCCGGGTGACTCCTGGGTCAAGAAAGCTTTTCAATTTCTGGATATATGTGTGAGGTGGATTCTTCACCTGGAATCTTTCCTATTGCATGTTGGGGAGAAAGAGGAAAGAAAGGGTAGGAAGAGAGAATGATGGCTTTGAGCAAGGCTTTGAGAACACAATGAGCTGAGCCTGGCCTGGTCACTACAGCTTAAAGGCCCTCATTCTTGATTTATTAACACACAACCTGGTGCCTCCCAGATGATTGGATTACAACTCTCATCAGCCTCAGTCAGGGAGTATGGGAGTTATGGTCTAAAATAGCTGTTATGCACTGGTTTGTCTATCCTGATGTAATAAAAGTCTAAGTCCATGCATGTTTAGACAGAAAAAAGTCCTACAATTCCCAGCATTCCTCAGCCAGAAGTGCTGGTTTGAGAATGCTGGGAGTTGTAGGACTTTTTTTTCCATCTAAACATGCATCACATTGTGCCATGAATCACTCCGTGTGTGAAAGACAGCCCTGACTTGTGCTAAAGGCATGTCTGCCTGGTGACTTCTTCCTAGTAATCTGAATACCAGATGCTCCTTTATGTCTGTATCTCTAATAAGCTTGAAAGGAAAGCCATTTCCAGTTTCTACTCCACCCAGATACATTCTGCTCTGGCTCTCCCGTGGCCTTTTTTCTCTGCTCAAATGCAAGACAGACTTGCATTTCAAGACTGCGGTTTGGGGCACTTGGGAGAAAGCCCTATCTGACAGAGGGGCTTACTCCTAAGTAAATACGTACAGAATTAGAAAGTTTTAAACCCTCACATTTTCTCCCCTTGTTTTTTGACACACTTGCACCCAAGTATACCCATGGGGTGTGGGGAGATCCACAGATGTCCCAGTTAGACAGCTGAACCCACAGATGGGGGGAATTTGTTCCATAAGCATTCCACAGGCACATCATGGTTTGAAGCAGTCTGCTTTTTTATTGTATTATTCAATTTCTATTCCACAAGTCTGTAGTCCAACAGGACTCTATGAACACTTATGGCACCTTTGCTGGCCTGTGGTAGCTCCAGTCAGTTGAATGCCAAGTAGGCCTGTAGCTGCAAGAGACAAGGGACTCCCCACCCCCGCCACGAAAAAAAATCTTCTCTGCCCCCCCCTTTTTTTTAAATCAAGGGAATGATTAAAAACAGCTTGCAACTTCATCTTTAAAAGACCACAGGCCATATGAACTGCTCCCCAACTTTTTCAGAGGCCCCCAGAACTTCTAACAAGGCTGTGGCTCTGGTTTAGGACTCAACCACCTTTTTAATTTCCTACCATGTCAATGAAATAGCATTGCTTAGGGACCCGTGGGGAATTCAAATGGTGGCTCCTGAATCATGCTTTTATTTTGAAAGCAGGACACCTCAGTAACTGGCCCTGCAGGGGCTCCAGCAGCTGCTTAAGGAAGCCACATGGTGATGCTGAGCTGGTCCCACCTCTCTTCATAGGGTTGTTCCTATCCTATTACACCCTCAGGGTGCCTTCTGGGTGCCTCTTTTGGCCCAAGGGCCATATTCCGCTTCAGAGAAGCTCTGAGAGGCTGCATTCAAGTGGTCCGCCAAGCTTGAAGGCAAAAGAAGTCAGGCCAAAAAACCAAAAATAGCAACCTATTTTTGTTTATTGCTATTGCTGACAGAACCTAAGCCTTAAGAGAGGCATTTCAATGGTTTAGAGTGGGGAAAAAACCCCGCACAACAGCCAGGAAACCACCAAATGACCGGCATCTGGAGAAAGAGGAATACGACCATGTGGAGAACTTCAAACAGCCAGATTGGGTCCCCAGGTTGAGCTTCTGCATCTCTGCAGTAGAAGGAATCTGCCATTCTGATCACTACCAGCATGGTCCAAAGATTTTTTCAAAACTTTGCATGTATAATTCAAGTTAAAGAACTTTTCCAGAGAGAGCCCATTAACTGACCCACATAAGGGTCAGGAATTCGAGTTACATGGTAGTGTTCAGAGTAACACAGATATCATTCCTATAAAGCCAAGGAATTCAGCAGCCAAGCATAAACAATGCATTAGGATAACGGGAAATCGCCTGCTTTTTCAGAGGAAGTCAAGGAACTGTAGATCAAGGCAACTTATTGTTGCTTCTGGCAGCCCCATGGTACAATCTGCTGCTTTCATGATGAAAGGGATCCCTTCCCCATGTCAGCCCCTTCCTTACCTGGTCACAAATGAGGTCCCACTTCTTCTCGTTGTCATACTGTCGCAGGAGACGGGCCTTGTCGGGAGGCAGGTTCATAGAGCTCTGAGGAGAGAAAGAGTCAGACAGGGTTAGAGGATGACATTTTTGGTTTGCTTTTGCACAGTACCCTCTGGAATGTGTGACTGGATGATGGGAAGGGTTGAGAGAAAAAGCAGTAGGAAACCAGACTGCTGAAGAGCACAGCAATGTGCTGACTGGATGATGGGAAGGGTTGGCAGCCTCTTCAGATGGGTCTGGTTTGGTCAGGTCAACATTAAGAATTTACTGACTTGTCTAATGTCCAGAATTTTAATCAAAAACTTATATTCTGTAGGAACACAATGTGGGATTTAGCCAGCGACCTTCAACCTCTTCAGCCAAAGAACTGGCCTACCTCCACACTGTAACTTAGGATCCTCTTTTACGGTACATGTCCTCTACATATGTCCTCAAGTTGTCTGCCCCCTAGCTACATCTGTTGCCAGCTTAGGCTTTGGCCATGGCGTCCTCAAACAGCTGGTAGGGTCCATCACAGCTACTTTCTTTGGACGCCTCATTTAGAAAATGCCTGGGAGCCACCTTTTTAATTTCCCACAATGCTTGGAGGGACACTGTCCAGTGCATTATAGGAAACGTAAGTGGCAGCTCCTAGTAACCCAGGGCTGATCTACCCACCATTCCAGCAGGATTCACTGCAGCCACCGCCAGGTCTCCCTGAGGCAGAAGGGATCCGCCAGAGGGCTCTTTGCTGAGGATTCAGTCAGTCTCTTGCCAAACCCCAAAGCAGGGGGCAGGCAGTGAGCACTGAGGGCAAGGTAACTGCGATGGAATATGCACCAGCATTCCATTTGCTGCCGCAGGGACAGGCCCAGCCGCAGTACAGGGAGAACTCAATGTACTTTCCGCATTGGGCTGTACTACCTTCAATCGCTTCTAGACAACACATGCCAGAAAAATGGTTGGTGCTCTAGAAAGCTTCCCCCATACCTACTAACTCTGGCTAGGCCCAGCCCATGGAACTGGCCTATGTAGGAGGGCAGCTGATTTTTTCCAGACCCAAGGCTCGTTCAATGCTAAGGGAGCTGTGTCAAAAACACAAGCTCTGGCCAGTCCAGGTTTTTATAAAGCTGCCACCAGACAGTAAAAGTTTCAAACATGCACATTAATCCACAGCTGTAAAACACTAAGAGGCTGAAAAGTGCAGGAAAATGTCAAGAGCAACATACAGTCCCCCTTCATTTCCAGGCATTTATTTTTTATTTTTGTATTTATTTTGAGTGAGGAAGAAATAAGGGCAATTATTTATTGTATATTTTAAAAACATATAATATGACACTCTTTGGCCATAGAAGCAGCACGCCATGCCTGCAATGTCCTCTTCCCTAAGCCAAGGAAACATTCATTTGCAAGATGTGAAAAATAAATAAATATATCTAAATATAAAACCAAATATGACTCATTGCACTACACTCACAAACATGCGGTGGTCATCACATGCCCTCAGCCACCAGAACACTACTGTTCCAGACCTTCCCTCTAAAAATGAACACAAGGAGCAACTTCTGCGTATGTGTAATAAAACCACAAAGAGCTAAAGCCCAAAACAGAGCTTTGTGCTACAGAACAGGACCTGGCTTTGGAGCTGCATGAGCAGCTCACTGGATTTCTGCTTAAAGGAGAAAGCAGCATGATACTGTCAAAGAACTGTACTGGGGGGAAAAACACAGAGAGACCCCTTCGCAGCATTTTCTGTATTGCTCCCTGTGCACAGCTGTTATAGATATCGGTTAGTCTGGAAAAGAATTCATTACCTGTATGCTACAGGAGAACTCGTGTGTATGTATGTATATATGCACATGCACATGCACATGCACATACACCTACACATATACCAAGGATGAGTAAACCAGAGCTTTGCCTGGAAGCAAACATGACGAAACTGAGCCTGTGATACTTTGGGCATCATGAGAAGGCAAAACTCCCTGGGGAAAACCATCATGCTAGACAGAAAAAGAAAAGGAAGACCAACAGGAGATGGAGGAACTCCATAAAGGAAGCCACAGCCTTGAATTTACAACAGCTAAATGGGGCTGTCATGAATAGGTCATTCTGGAAAGCTTTCATTCATAGGCTCGCCATAAGTTTGAGATGACTCAAGGCCACATAACAATAAGAAGTCCAAATCACCCCTCTGGAGTAGTGACTGTATGCCACGCCTCTGTAGGGTTCTGTTCTGCCCATTTCCTTCTAAACCAGCCTCCTCAGTAGTTAATTCTGCTAAGTCTGATGGATCCTCATGCAGAAATGCACCAAAATTGCTTCCTCTCAAGGAAGCCTGCCAGTTGTCCCCCTGCATTAGTCATCTTCCAGGCTCAGAACAGACATGCAGAAACACCAAAGATTGGCTTCTCTTAGGACAGGTAATTTGCGGCTTGGCAATAGAGCACTTGGTTGGCATATGGCAGCTCCCAGGGTTAGTCTGCAGGTAGAGCTAAGAACATCCCTCATCCAAAACCCTGGAGAACTGCAGCCTCTCAGTACAGTAGACAATACAGAGGAAGAGGAACCAATGTGCCGACTCTGTGCTCAACAACTTCCCTTTTTCCTGCTCTTTCTCTTAAAATTGGAGTTAGATTTCACCTTACACCAAAAAAGGCTGCCTTTTCATGTGCAAAGTAAAGCATTTCCCATTTTAACCCAAAGAAAAAGGGTGCTAAGCCAGCTCCAACTGGAAAGTCCTGGAACAGGGTTTTCTTTTCCCAGGGCTGCTGCTCTCTACGAATGTTCCACATACGTGTGCATCATATGGGTGCCAGCCGTTTCAGCCAAACTCTGCATCTTGGCACTGCTATTCACAAAGGGAAAGCAGAAAGCTGAACAAATAACACTTCAATCAGCAGTGCCAATTAGTTTCATGAGTGTATTCTCAGTGGATGTGGCACCAATTTAAATTGTTCTTACTCCAAAGAGGGAACTTCAGCCTCTTTCCTCACTCACCATGTATACTTGTCTGTAAAATATGCCTGCAGAATATGTGGCTTTATTCCAGGCCTCTGCAGTCCAGCTGAACAAGCTGACAGCCTCAAAGACCTTTCCTGCCTTCATGGGCTTTCTACCAACCCCGCATTACAGTAAATTCCACAAAGGTCAAAATTACATGTGCAGTGAATACAAGCCATCTGCACTATGGCTTCTGGGTGCAATTTATGTCACAGCATGTACCAAGTCCAGACTGATGTTGGAGCCAAATCTTCCAACACCATTTCCAGATTTAACAGTTGCAATGCATGCAATAGCATGTATACTACTTTCCAGAGTCAGTCAGGGGGATCCTGGGCTGTGGGGCCCTGGACTTTGGTCCCAAGGTCCAGTCCCAGCTCCTCCACCACTGAGGCAGTCAGGTTGGTCAAATCCAGGCACCTGGAACACAGCACTTTTCTAGAACATCTCTGGGGCATTCCAAATGCCAGTGACTCCCTAGTATTGCTTTACCCGTTACAGTGTTTAAAGATTGCTTTGCCTTTTGTTAGGTGAACCGATCATGTGTTAGTTCTAATTCAGGCTTCCCTCTGCCTCCACTTCCCTTGTCTTGTATCAAAAGGCAAAGGAAGAACAAGAAAGCTTTTGCAGAATGCATATGGGAATCACCAGATGGAATATGCCCTGGAGTCCATTCCACTTTGTTTCCTCCATCCAACAGAGAGGGATAGTATATATGAGATGCTTTCAAAGGGTGCCAGAGGCCCCCAGGCAGAGAAAAATCTGTCCCTGCAAATGTCTCACCTTAATCCCTCATAATCAGAGGCAGGCTTTGGCTTCAAAGCAGGAAGGTCTGTATCTTTTCCCCTTCATACACACAAACATGCCCTGCTCCTGAGTCTGGCAAACCTGGGGGCACCTACTGACACAATACTCGGTTGTTAGAAACAACTGTCCTTCGCCACCATGATTTCCTTGTGACAAAGAGTTCCACAATTCAGCTTTCCTTAAGTGAAGTGCAGGCACAGGCTCTGGAGGTACCACAACTCAGCCTCCTTTTCCTGGGCTCCATTGGCAGATGCTCCAAGTGGAGATGGCTGGCTGTGAGTGAGTACTGAGGGATAATGCAGGCTGCCATTAGCACTGATTATCCCAGTGTTGCAACGCAACTATCCAGACTGCGTAAGGAAACGGTTTCTGATTACGCAGCAAAATAAAACATTAAAAAGTTATGTCATGTTATCATGGGTTTAACTAATGTAGTCCTTCGATGCCTGGAGCTTGGTTCTATTTAAAAAAATAAGAGTATGTGTATCTGAAAATACTTTCAATCTTGCTTTCTAACAGATTTCTCTGCTACTCTTTCTGTCTTCTTCCATAATATTACCTGTTCCCCATTACAAATACACTCCTAGCATCAGTTCAAACCAGGAATCACTAAGGTCCAGAGCCCTTTTCCAGTTCTATGACACAGTGCAAGCTAAGAAAAAATGAGATTGTCTCTGAGCAGATGCAGAGTTTTTTTCACTCATGGTGTACCTGGAATGTGAGAGAATGGGTTCAGGAGCTTACTTCCAGTGAAGCTTTTCTTGACAACTGTTGGGCTGGATCCAGCTTTGTAGTTGCAGCTGCAGAATGGCTACAGCTGGGAAAAAGAGAATACTGCATTCTCCTCCCCACTGCAGCCCCACAGTCCCTTCTTCAGGCACAATGACTGAGCTGGATCCAACCAATTCTTTTAGAAGTTAAACACAGTGAAGACACAGAAATGCACACACACCCTACACATGCACACGCCACACACACCCCACCTTCGTACCATTCAAACATTTCCTGATCCCATTCATGCACAATGGTTTTCTTGCATCATTCACAAATTCGTCCATCCTCCCCACCATTTTTTACACTACACACACGCACTTATTCTTTTCCACCATTCCCACATCCGTGCGTTCCATTGTCCCCTCTACACAACACACACCCAGGATTGATTCAGAGCAAGCCAGCTCCACTTACACAAGGCAGGCTACCTGCCAGATTAAGAAGTATGCAGACTCTGACTCAACTGCACTCCAACCCCTTGGAAATGTAAGGAGGACGAAGCTGCAACAAAGTCCCTTTTGTTCGGGCGAGGAAGGAATTAGAAGTGACGAGAATGGCCACGAGACGGCAAAGAGCCCACACTGCATTCCTCCAGAGTGCTGCCAGAGAGCCCTTCTGGTCTGCAGCTGCCAGTGGCCACCTCCTTCCCTACGTCTTCCCGCACTGGTCACAGAGGAGGCAGTGGGTCCACAGTCAGGGGTTCAAACTCAGGTGTGCCGAAAGGCCCAACACCCCTCCTAGCCAAAACCCAGACAGAACTCCCATAATTTTAAACCAAAAGTGCCAGTGCCAAACCGTTAGTTTTACCACTCTGGCGCATTAAAGTCTGAAAAGAAGAAAAAAGATCCCCCTCCCACGCACACACATTTGCAGCTCTGGCGTGCACGTGCCCTGGTCTGAACCATTTATCGTCCTCCTGTGCCCACCCAGCATTGGCCTGTGCTGTCAATTTAGTGGGGATTAGGAGGACAAAATGAAGTTCTGCAAGCCCCCACAGCCACTGAGGAGTTAACCCTCTCACCAAGAGATTGCTCCCCCCCCCCCACCCCCGGAAATAGTTGAATGATTGATCAGCGGGGAATGACAGAGGAGTGGCATGAAGGCATCCATAAAGAATCTGATCAGGCAGCCCTACCCAACTTCGTGCCTTCTAGATACTTTGGCCTAGAAGTCCCACTGGCTTTGCTGATGGGAGCTGTAGTACAAACATCCTCGAGGGCACCAAGGTGGAAAAGGCTCTGATAAGGTCTTCTGGCTTGGTGTTTTTCACCCATGGTCTAAAGGTCCTTCCTGAGAGAGGGCTTCTAGTGCAACCAGTCAAAAGGCTCTGAGCAACTACTCTGTTTTTTTAATAGATCATCAGAAGAGTTCCTGAGAAAATACAGGAAGGTTATGAGAGGGAGATGAACCCTCCTAATATCCCATAAGTATTATACAAGGGCCTCATGGAAACCTCATCGGGAAGCACCTCAATAGGCAAGGTAACAAAGACTGTGGGACAGAAACAGTTTCATTTGGTCAGCAGCAACTGACCCGATTAAGAAACGACAACCATTGGGAACCTCTGTGGTGTGGTTAGAAAGTTGGACACGGAAAAGTCCAGCTCTACTGCCCTCTCGGCTATGAAGCTCGAGGGGTGACTGAGCCCGTTACTGACTCTTAGCCTGACGTACCTCACAGGGTTGTTGTGAGGATAAAATGGAGAGGAGCCAGGGGATTATGTATCAGCTTTGGGTTCCTGGCAAGAGGGGGAAAATACAGAAAAAAATGTAATAATAACTAGACACTTTGTCTTATACATTGTGCGGGGGAGAAACGATCTACTTTGGTTCAATTACGTAAGCTGCTTTGAGATCCTTGAAAGGAAAAAGGTGAGATATAAATATACATAAATAATAATACTGAACACATTCTCTGGCTGCGGTTTCTCAGGTAGCCAAATTGGTCTGATCCCTGCACAACAGGGAGACATCATCAGGTCTGGGTGAACCACAAGGGTAACCGGACGCTGATAGGGAGACAAAACAGCCTGAAGAACACTTAGCAAGCTGAGTTGCCCCTGAATACTGATTGTTGGATTAGAAAAAATGGAAAAGTGGACAGCAGTGGAGGAGATAAGAATGGAACGACGAATCTTAGGGAATGATTGGTACCCTAAACAAAAGCAATCTATGCTGGAATATTTTGTTGCAGATTCCACTTGTAGAATGAGAGCAGTAAATGTTATCAGACAGGAGAGGGGAAGCCCTTTCCAAAAGATCTTTATGGATCCTGAGATGAAGTGAGGAACCATGGAGTAGGGTTGCCACTTATACATTTCCCCAAAGGAGGACAGTGATTTGCATAACATTTACAGTAATTTGCAAATGTACAGTTGCAAATTTAGAAATAATTACAATAATTTAAATAGAAATAATACATCTGACCATAGTGGAGAAGACTGTAACCACATGACCAACAAGCCTCCTTGGTCATTTTTCTCCATGTGCTGTGGTTGGCTGGCACAGATGCTCCTTGCCTTTTTACGGTTCTACATCTTTCAGCAAAGTCTGGAGTGAGCAGCCCTTCAGTCAGACAACTGCCCTCTGGCAGGCCTTCAGAGATAATCTGGAGAAGGACGCAAGGCTACCTTACCATGGACTGCAGAATGCGCTGAAGTGGTTTGGACAGTACGGATTTAAGGATTTTAACATTGCCTTTAATGTTCTAGTTTATTTTATTGAAAGCCAACTAGATTTGAGACAGAGGTGTGTGTGTGTGTGTGTGTGTGTGTGTGTGTGTGTGAGAGAGAGAGAGAGAGAGAGAGAGAGAGAGAGAGAGAGAGAGAGAGAGCTAAAAATGAATGCATTATATATAAATATACAGCATGCAATGTGATCGCTTTTGCTTCTCTTTTTGGAAATATGGAAGTGGCAACCCTGCTCCGTGGCTCCTCCCTTCACCCCCAACATTTTCTTCACCCCTTTCACTGTGCCTCACACATGCAGTTTCTGCAAAGAGTTTGCTTACTTCTTCTGTTCTTTCTTTTCTTAATTGATTGTCTGTGGAAAGAAAAAAAGACTGACGAAGCTGTGGGGAAACATGGAAGGATTCAATTTTTTTTATTGGTTTTTATGGGTTTTCATTGTTCACTGCCCAGAAAGTCCTATATAGGACTATTGGTGCAGTCTATAAATTTAATAAATAAATAAATAGTATTATTCTGTCATTTGCACACATACACACACAGAGTGTAAAGTTGTGCAGGGGAAGCTTGCCAATTGCACATTTAAAGTCTTGCTGGGAAGCACCCCTGGTTTCTATTGTCCTGGACAATGCATACAAAGCTGCTGAACATGTGGACGCCTTTTAATTTTATTATATTGTGAATATGTAATTAATTCACTATGATTTGAACACATTGGAGTAGTAAGATTCTGGTTTCTCCTGTTTCACATTAAGTTACGATGCATCCCCCACCCCCTGCAGTGCATTCCTAGGCCCTCTCACCACACATTTCTTGGCTAAAGGCCTCCATTGAAAATGGGATTTAGCAAGACATGGAGACAAGGAGTTGTAACATGGTTGCTGCTGGTAATGATGAGGATCTCCTGACAGTTCTACTGAGCACTGTGTATCTGCCTGTCATGAGGAAATCTGCATGGAGAGCTAAAATCTGCAGGGCTTTTGCTGCACTCAAAATGGCCCAGAGAGACACACAGAAAAGACTGACTGATTAATAGCATGCTCTTATAAATGTCTACTTAGAAAGAAGGTAAGCAATCTGAAAGAGACTTACCTTGGAGTAAGTCTTAACGAATTCAGTGGAGCTTACCTCTGAGTAGCCACATGCATAAGATTGAGGTGCTAGGAAACTTCATCAATAACTACTTTTTTAATTTCTTTTTAGTATGGTGCACATCCAGAAATCATTTGGTCCTAAAGCGGGATGAGTTCATTAGTCTCATCCCTTTGAATATTGCTATCTCCCTGTTACTTTCTTGCCCCATCCAAATCGCAAGAGTTCCCAGCTGTTCCTACCCCCCAGTAGAATTCCAACCTCTGTGAGCACATCTGGAATAATGAGGGTTTTGTGGGCACTCTCACAAAAAAATGGTTGTCCTGGAATGCATAGACAGTCACAAAGCACTCCATTCCCAGAAGGCAAACTGGTGAGAGCAGGCAAGAATTAATTTAACCAAGCACCTAGTCATAAGACAGAGGCAGGGTCTGAGCTACAAAACCAATCTTTTGAATCCAGCTAAAGATGGCACTGAAGGCCAGCTCTTCCCTTTGCAGCATGTCGGCCTCCCAGGGAAAAAACAAATTAATCTTTTTAAAGCTTTCCGAGGGTGCAGGGTGCTTGGCAGACATCGGGTGAGTTACTGGGAGGCACCGTGGTGCCAGCAGGCAGCATGCAAGTGATCAGATTTGCTGGAACTCAGAACTTCTTCATAGGTGGGACCCCTGCCAAAATGGCTTGCTGTTGCAAACTAATGAAACCAGTAGGATTCATGGGTGCTCCAAGGGATGCACGGAGCTGGCAGTGCTGTGGCACTTCTGTTCAGTCCTTGGAACAGGAGATGGCCAAGGCATTTGACATGGTAACTCCTAGGTGCCCTTTGCTAGGGTTCAGGACTCAGTTTCCTTGGCTTTCTACATGGATGGTAGTTGGACTGCAAGTCCCATCAACCCAGCCTGCTGTTTATGCCAACTAGGGCTGATGAGCAGTATAGTCCAAAAAGTTCTGGCCAGCATATGAACTTGACCATCATTTCTCACCTTCTTCAAGGGCCATGTTACATCTCCCACCATCATGAGAGGTTAAGTGGCTAGACAAAAGGGATCAGAGCCTTTTCTATGGTAGTACCCTAATTTTAGAACCAGCTTCATAGGGCAGACAGATTAGCCCTGTCTTTGCCTAGCATTAGGTAGGCCATAAATACTGCTTTCTTTAAGCTGTTCTTTGTCAGGTTTTAAATTGTCTTAAATTTTAAATGTTTCAAATATAGTTTGTTCCGATTTTAGATTAGTTTTTAAATGTGTGTATCAACACAGAGACCCTTTTGCACAAGCTTATTTTAATTAATACATGAAATGCCTTTAATGACAGTATGTGTTATTCCTCCTAGTCAAGAGAAATGAAATAGGAGATAGTAGTAGTTATTATAAACAGCCTAACCGAGCCCTCATCTAAGGAAAGTATGCCATTAAGGACACAGAGACAGTGCATTGACCCAGCCCCTGCTGAATTCTTACTGACAGAGACGGATGAGATGGGCCCCAAAAAAACAAGCTTCCCACATCTGACCAGAGGCAAGCGAAAGATTATTTTATTTATTTATTTATTTATTTATTTATTAAAACATTTTTATGCCGCCCCATTCGCCGAAGCCTCGGGGCGGCTTACAACATAGATAAAAACAAGTTAAAATCCATATAAAATAATCTTAATTAAAACTCACATTATAAAATAAGCCGCCCTGGCCAGATAAAATTCAATTGTATTTAGCATTTAAAATGTTGCTTAAATAAAAAGGTCTTAGCCTGGCGCCGAAAAACAAATAACGACGGCGCCAGGCGGACCTCTCTGGGGAGCGCATTCCATAACTTAGGCGCCACCGCTGAGAAAGCCCTTCTCCGAGTAACCACCCTCCTAATTTCTCTCACGGAGGGCTCCCGGAGAAGGGCCTCTCCCGCCGATCTCAGGGGGCGACTGGGCAAATATGGATGTAAGCGCTCCTTCAGGTAACCAGGACCCAAGCCGTTTAGGGCTTTATAGGTCATTACCAACACCTTGAATTGGGCCCGGACTTCAATGGGGAGCCAGTGAAGCTGACGGAGAACTGGCGTCATGTGAACATAACGTCCAGTCCCCGTCAGCAGCCTGGCAGCTCTATTCTGAACCAATTGAAGTATCCGGACCGTCTTCAAGGGTAGCCCCACGTAGAGCGCGTTACAGAAGTCAAGACGGGAAGTCACCAGCGCATGAGTCACTGTTGCAAGGCAGTCGTACTCCAGGTAGGGGCGCAGCTGATGAATCAGCCGAAGCTGGAGGAAAGCGCTCCTCGCCGCTGTTGTCACCTGAGCTTCAAGTGAAAGCTCCGGGTCGAGGAGCACTCCCAAGCTGCGGACCTTGTCCCTAGGAGGGAGTGCAACCCCATTCAGGACAAGGTTCAGGTCACCTTCTCTGAAGCCCGAACCGCCAACCAACAGGACCTCCGTCTTGTCTGGATTGAGCTTCAGTTTATTGGCCCTCATCCAGCCCATTACCTCGGCCAGGCACCGGTTCAGTACAGCCACTGCCTCACCTGGATTGGTGGAAAACGAGAGGTAGAGCTGGGTATCATCAGCATACTGATGGGTCCGCAGCCCACACCTCCTGATGACCTCTCCCAGCGGTTTCATGTAGATATTGAACAGTAAAGGGGACAAAATGGAACCCTGCGGTACCCCATGGCAAAGCTGCCATGGCGCAGAGCCATAGTCCCCCAACACCACCTTCTGGAATCGGTCGTTGAGATAGGAGCGGAACCACCGCAAAGCGGTGCCTCCGACCCCCAATCCCGCCAGCCTATCCAGAAGGATACCATGGTCGATGGTATCGAAAGCCGCTGAGAGGTCCAGGAGAACCAACAGGGACGCACTCCCCCTGTCCTTCTCCCTGCACAGGTCATCGTACAGGGCGACCAAGGCAGATTCAGTACCGTACCCGGGTCTGAAGCCGGACTGAAATGGGTCCAGATAATCAGTTTCATCCAAGAGTGCTTGGAGTTGTCCCGCCACCACTCGCTCTAACACCTTGCCCAGAAACGGGATGTTGGCCACTGGTCTATAGTTAGCGGCCATCCCTGGATCCAGTGACGCCTTCTTCAGGACCGGTCGGACTACCGCCTCCTTTAAAGGGGCAGGCACCCGACCCTCCCTCAGAGAAGCGTTAACCACTTCCAAGATCCAGGTTCCAATCCCGTGCTTGGAATCCTTTATTAACCAAGACGGGCAAGGGTCCAGAAGGCAAGTGGTAGGACGTACTCGTCCAAGCACCTTGTCCACATCATCGGGCCGCAATAACTGAAATTCATCCAATAATTCTGGACCAGACGGCAGCGTTGGTGTCTCCCTTAAAACCTCTGAATCAATAGTGGAATCCAGCTCGTGACGAATCTGAGCGATTTTCTCCCTAAAATGCTCGGCAAAGTCGTCACAGCGGGCCTTTGAGGGTGGAATCAGCTCTTCCTTTGGCCCTGGGTGAACCAGGCCTTGCACCACTCGAAAGAGCTCCGCCGGACGGCATTGTGAGGAGGCAATGGAAGCGGAGAAGTGTCTCTTTTTCGCCGCCCTCACCGCCACAGCATAGGCCCGATAGTGGGCTCTTAAGTGTGTTCGGTCAGATTCATCACGTGATTTCCTCCACCTACGCTCTAGCCGTCTCCCAACCTGCTTCATTGCCCTCAATTCTGGAGTGTACCAAGGGGAAGAGCGGGCTCTGCCCGGTGGGAGAGGACGCTTAGGAGCGATCGTGTCTGCAGCCCTGGTCATCTCCCCATTCCACAATTCAACCAGAGCCTCGACAGGAGCACCCGTCTTGTCAGCCGGAAACTCCCCCAGAGCCTTCAGGAATCCTTCCGGATCCATCCGGCTCCGGGGGCGGACCCACACAATCGGGTCTGCACCCTTACAGAGGGAGATGTCGCTCTCGAGCACAAACCTCACTAGGAAGTGATCTGACCATGACAGGGGAGTCAAGCATAAATTCCTCACCCTCAGACCACCCTCTTCCTGCCCCGTCGAGAAAACCAGGTCCAGAGTGTGTCCACGTTCATGGGTCGGGCCGGTGACATGTTGAGACAGCCCCATGGCCGTCATGGAAGCCATGAAGTCCTGAGCCGCCCCGGTCAAACTAGCCTCGGCATGGATATTGAAGTTTATGAACAATGGATATTGAAGATTATGAACAAAAGAGGGCTCGGACTTCTCCCTGAACTAATGGAGCATTGCTGCCAGTGATGGCTGGTGCCCACTAAGGCCATGGGGTGAAGCCAAAAGGCCAACAGAGGCAGCCCAGATTTTTCAGTCTGCAGCAGCTAGGAACCCATGCCACAGAGAAAGGAAAGTGAGATCTATGAACTTGAGTGCAAAGATCATGAATGCAAAACCAAACAAATGCATTCCTTTGTATCTGCGCTGTTCTGTTCCAGCAACAACTCCCACTGCACAGAGAATCAACTGCCTTCAAGAGTTTTAATTTTGTAAAACTGCAAGGGGTGAATCCATATACCCTCTCATCATTTCCATACAGAAAACCAGTCTTTGGAACTTATCAGCAAATCCTGAGAGCACTCCAAATCCACCTGTTTCCATGTTGCTGCAAAAATAACAGCTAACAATGCAATCCTAGACCACTTTTCTGGAAATAAGACTCAGTGAACCTAGTGACACTTACTTCTGAATAGACATGTACGGGATTGTGCTGTAAGACACTGAGCTATGAACTAGGAAGTCCTCCAGTTGCAGGAGCTGCAAATGTTCCCATTCAGGGTGGCAGCTACTCATGCCCTTTAGGATATTCCATGCCATGCCCCTTTTCTTTCCATCCCCTCCCAAATGGCATGTTCAGTCATTATTGTGCTGTTTTGAGTATTCCATCCCATTCAGCATTCTCTTCTTTTTGTATTTCTGCAAACCAGAAGATTCTCTTGTGTACATAGTACAAAAAAGAGCAGGTCTCCTGTGGTGCAGAAGGAGAAATTTCAGAGTCATTATGCATTATTCTTGCACTAGTAGTACAGTACATAACTTTTTCCAAGCTGGTACCCTCTATTTGTTCTGGCTAACAAGGATGATGGGAACTGTTGCCTAAAAAAGTCTGGAGAGAACCTGGTTGGGAACAGCTGAAATAACACTACCAGTAGATCACAGATGAGTTTGTCATAAGGATTACTGAGACATCATATGAAACATTCAGAATATAAATATTAAGTATTTTCTAAAATATTATTATTCCTAGATTACCAGCTGCCTACTTGGCATGACCAAGCCATACTTCCAAGGGTCCTGGCTGGAATCTGCAAGGATGGGAGGACAGTGAGGGCCTTTAGCAGACAGAACGAAAATGAGCTCTAAAAACGAGACCATCTGGCCTTGGACACACACCTGTGGAAACTGCTACTGAGCTGAAGGAAAACAATGAAGTCTGTCTCCCCTGTTTGGGACCTCTAGAAGCCATATCCAATCCATCTGGACAAGCAGCTGACCCTTAACCCAGTAGGAAATGTAAGAAACTCTTCCACTTTGGGTAGCCAATGACATCTCCAATTTATCTTCCAACCCCCTTCCCAATTCCCTTAGAATGCAAAGCTGCTCTCAATAGAATACATCTTGAGTAACCCAGTAGATTTGGTGCTTGGAGCAAGGACTCCAGTGAGAGAGCTTCTCCAGGTCAACTAAAGGGAAGTGGGAATACCCGAGTCCTTAATGTGTACCAGCTTCTAGAGGAGTCTTCCAAATGTAGGGGTCCTATTGGATGACATATCTCCTCATCTCCAGACAGCATGGCCTGTTAGTTTGATGGGCATTGTTGTCTAAGATATCTAGAGGGGACCATGTTAGGGAAAGCTGCTTTATCAGATCCAAACTAAGTCAGTTCCCATCAGGGCCTATCATCCCCATTTAGCATGGCCAATGGTCAGGGATGATGGGAATCATAGTCCAACATCTGGGAACCATATGTTTGGAAAGGCTGTTGGAGTCTATATTTAGAGTCTCCTTTGTAGAGTGTTAAGAAAGTGATGTGACCAGGTAATACTTTATCCAGCAGAAACACAGGAAGCTGGACTGATCCTGAGTCAGACCCTTGGTCTACCCAGCCCACGTATTGCTGACACCAACTAGCATCAATGGATTTCTAGAGTAAAGATGCTAAGGATTAAACCTTGAACCTTCTGCATAGACATCAGATACTCCAACACTGAGCTCTGGCCCTCCCCATTCTGGGAAATGTTCCCCAATCTGAGTTCCTGCTTACTAATCTTCAAAAATCAAAAGCAGGCTTTCGATACAAGGACAAGCAAGCAGCAGTGCCAATATCTGCCCTTGCCCCTCTACTCTGAAGGGCTAGATTGCAGGAGAGTGTAGTTGCAAGTACCTATTATGAAAGAACCCATACCTTCAAATAGTTCCAGTGCACAGCTGAAAGCCCAGGAGCCGTCTCTTAGTAAGGAGTTCCAAGCTACAATCAAGGTTACGTTCACTGCATCATGCCCACACATTTGCAAAATCCAGGGCAGTATCCTGTTAGACCCAAGTGCCTGATGCCACAAGGGAGCTCCAATAACCTGTGCCAACCTGGAAGTTAGCATCCCCATTTTTTCTGGGGTTACTTTTAGCACTGCACACTCCCTATTGTACCAGCAGTTACTCCTGTTGGTACAAAACCAACAACAAGAGCACAGCAGCAGTATTTTCTGCACTCCTGTTCTCACTTTTCAGTGAATAAGTCCCACTGAAATCAGTCAAACGTATTTCTCTGTAAACATACATAGGATAGTAGAGTAAATACATGTATATAAATGTATATGAAGAGGCCTGGGGTAACACAGAATACAAGATTTTTTTTGGCACCAGGTAAAAACCTTTTTATTGTCCCAGCATTTAAACACTCTGACTTTTAAACTTTGTTTTTATATCTATCCCATTTTATTCTGCACTGCTGCTGTGCTTCTGTGCTGAATAATTGCAATTAAGGTTTGGTTCTTTTAAATTAATTTTGTGTGTGGTTTTTTCCAACTTTTGTGAACCACCCAGAGAGCTATTGGGTGGTATAGAAATGAATTAAATAATAAATAAATAAGACTTAAACATACATTTACTGCCAGGATATAGTGGGAACTGCTCCAGTAACAGAAACACATGCTGGAAAAAATTTGTATTATAAAATTAAAAATATATTTCTTTGGTTATAACTTATTGAACATGTATGGCTTCTAGAAAATGAAAGACATGTTTCCTTCTAATTTTGCATTACAAGATAACTAGCTAACTTGCCTCTGTAGTTTTGGGGCCTATTAAAGGGCAGTTCTACTCTGAAACCTTTCTCTATGGAAGCAGGCACTTTGATCTCTGGTGGTGAACGACATGACACAGAGGTAGGCTACAAAGCTACCTCTGCCAGACACCCACCTCCTTACCTGGCTATGCTTACAGATGTCTGTGCTTTAGTATGAACTCACTGTCGTGCTTAAGAGTCACCATCTACACAAAATCTCTCTGCATCACAAAGTCTTAAGTTTCCTGTCTAAACCAACTTCCCGTGGTTCATTAACCGCAGACACGGAAAGGCGCCGTCATTTATTTCCTGAATTATAGGACAGGGCGGTATTCAGAGTCTGGGGCAGGAGCAAGGCATTTTGGGTAAGCACACTGACTTCTTGGCTTGAAATGCCTTTCTGCCCTGCCAGAAAGTGATGCCAGAGGCAATACCTGAAAGCACCTGGGCAGGTTCTTCCCAAGAACGCACTAGAGAATTCAAGGTGAAACTGGATTGTCATCTGAGTGGGATGGTGTGACATGGCATCCTGCATCAGCAGAGGGTTGGACTTGATGGCCTTCATGGCCCCTTCCAACTCTACTCTTCTATGATTCTAAGTTGGATCAATTCTCAGTCAGGGACGAGAACCTGGGCAAACCCATTATGAGCAGGTTCAGGAATTATGATCAGTCACACTTAGATCAAACGTAAGACCCTTGATTGATCAGCAATATGAGCCTAGGAATGAACAGCCTGTGGCAAAGGGTTTCATTGATCTTGGCCACGTTCTGTCTCCACCTTCTCTTATGAGGAACAGACCAAATGTAACATCTCCAATGCCCTCATGCCAAAGGGGAAACGTGTGCCTTTAACCTAGAAGCTCCTGGTTAACAATGGTTTGGAGAACTATTACTGTTTTGGACTGTTCTCAGGTGGACTTCATGTGGTGGGAGTTTTTTTGCCTAAATCCTACATTTACTCCTCCAGCCTCCCCCTGCCCCATGATCTCTGCCTGCACCAGGAAGCAAGAACTGGGATACCCATCAGGGCTGGTGCCAAGAGTCGGCATGGCCAAGGCCCACACCCCAGATGCCTGCTGTCACCTCCTGACAACTCATCTGTTCATATGTCTCTTTTTCTGGCCCAAATAATGGTGGACATGAAGAGAAGCAGTAAATACTACTACCTCCTTACTCACAGATTAAGAGGGGAGGGAATATTAACAGCTGGTGTCAATAGCAATGTGAGAGCAGACTTACTGAGCAAGGAAGCCCGTTGCAGGTGTCTTGTCCAGTGGCCCCCTAAAATCTAAAACAGAAAGCACAGATACTTCTGCAAAGGTCCTGATCAGCTGTGCAGGCAGAAAGGAGGCAGTTGCTGCGGCAATATTTGCCCAAGCAGTATACTCAGCCCACAACTGCTGCAAGGTTCATGAGCATGAAAACGAGCCATCTGGTCCAACCCACGTGTGAGAACCATGTCAGCATTGCTTGGGAAGTGCGCTGGGTTCAAATCTTTGCCTGGCCCTCAACACACCTCAGCTGTCACTGAAATAATCTCAGAAGACCAGAGAGAGATGAGATAAGGCTGTAAAGGAACTTCACTTGTGAAAAGTACAATACAAATTATCATAAAATTACCAAAATAATTTGATTATGTAAACTGCTCAGAGAATTGTTTTAACTAGCAGGCAGTATCGAAATCAAATCAATAAAATATATTTTGGTAAAAGTGCTAAAGCTAGGATCTAATTCTGAGCCATCAATATGCCAGAAACAAGCTTGGCAGTGGGGGAGGAATTCTCATTCACAGCAAACAAAGTAATTCTATAGAGGGATATTGGGGAAGATAAAAGAGACAGATCTAGAAGGATTGCTAGATAAAATTGATTAGCTTCAAAATCAAAATAAAACTGTTTCAAATTCATGTCAGAGGTACATAACTTCCTACAAGCAAAATGTTGGCATAATGCCATTAAGATCTCTGTTGATGCTGGTTTTATGCTTTTGTTTTGAGAGTATCTGATAGCTGACACATTTCAAAAGCAAGATAAACAAGAGGAATTATTGAATATTTTAATTTTCTTTTATGTGAAAGAAATACTGCTGAGCTATCTGAGAGGAATAGATGCTGATGGGCTCTCAGGACTGACTTTGAGCAAATCGGTGCAAAAGTCGCTAGGTAAGGACTGCATACTTCCCAGCTTTCATGAAATGGGTGTTGGGGTGATGGCCATTAGCACCGATAGCTAACTTGACACATTTTATGAGACGCCCCTCAAAGGAAGACAGCAACTTTGCTATTTTTAATGAATGTTTTATTATGTATTGAAACGATAGTGATGGCATTAACCCACATTCTCTCTTTACAGCATTGTAAAGTACTAGACTCGTGCTTTTCTTATAAAATGTGGAAGTGTTAGAAGTATAAATAACCAAGCAGTCATTTGTTGGCAATGGAAGCAAGAAGTGAAAGGCTAGTTCTAGACATAAGGTCATTTGTTGCTTCAGTTCCAGTGTTATAATAACTAGAAATTGTATCCAGTGTTTTATCTGGTGCTAAAGTAAATGAATGGGATTCACATTAAAGTAACACTGGTTATAAGCATAGGACAGGAAGTAATGGCACATACCCTGGATGAAACCTGAGCAAGGTTGCAAAATGGGCGACATTCCTGTCATGTATTGGCAATTAGTTAAAGCAGTGTCATATAATGTCACATTGTTTTTTAGAATGAAACCATTACAGCTGATTTCAAGATGGCAGATGAAGATCCAGTCATCACCTAATTCAGAGGCTTAGTATGAGCAGCAGCCTAGGCAGAATAGCATGGATGTCTCTCCATTGGTCCTCTGCCTTCAGTTTTTCACAGTAAAACATGTTTACGCTGCTGAATACTGTTTTATGGGCAAGGAAAAAATTAAGACATGGGACTGTGGCCAGCACTAGTTAACAAATTGGTCTATTTTGTTCAACACCTTCAGAGCAGGAAGTAGGAACCTGATCGTAGGACCGGGGAATTTTTAGCTCGAGTACCAGTAACAGTCCACAGCTCTTCTTAATTTTATTTATTTATTTATTTAGAAAATTTCTATGCCGCCCCATTCACCGAAGCCTCGGGGCGGCTCACAAAACATCAATTAAAATATAATACATTAAAAATATAAAACGAATTAACAATATAAAATAAGTCGCCCTGGCCAAAGAATAAAATAAGCAAATAATATTAGCAATTAAAATGACGTTTGAATAAAAAGGTCTTCGCCTGGTGCTGAAAAACAAATAACGACGGCGCCAGGCGGACCTCTCTGGGGAGCGCATTCCATAGATGGGGCGCCACCGCAGAGAAAGCCCTCCTCCGAGTACCTACCCTCCTAATTTCCTTCAGGGAGGGTTCCCGGAGAAGGGCCTCTCCCGCAGATCTCAGGGGGCAGGCGGGCGTATATGGACATAAGCACTCTTTCAGGTAGTCAGATTTTATCTGTCACTCCCCAAAGTCGTCAGCCCAGGAATAACTATTGTTATAAACCTTGTACATCTCTTGCTTGCTTCTTGTAACATCTCTCCATTGATCACTTTGATCACTCCAGATACATTTTAAAAAATAAACCTGGTGCCTTCTGGGTGTGTTGGACAGGACCTAAGGAGGATGGGAGTTGTGTTCCAAGACATCTGGGGGGTGCTGGTTTGCAGAAGGATGCTCTAAGCCGTGGCAGTGTGGGTTAGGGAACATCACATTCACTTGCTGATGTGGGCATGACTGGGACCCCACCCTTTTCTGGAGCTTGACTATGGAGAGGACCAAGCTTTCAACAGGAGCAAACAGCCAGGTGCCAAGCAGGGTAACGGCAAAGCCTCTTTTCATGCCCACACTGGGAAGGAGAGGGTTCAACAGGCCTTTGTCAGCTCAAGGGGCCCATGGTGGAAACAGGAGCCACGGGGAGAGCCAATGGCAACCCAGCCTACCCTAACCCGACACCTTCTGGAGGTTTCAGACTTTAGTTCCAATCAGCCCAACAATCATGGTGAATGTTGGGCTGATCAGCCCTCCTTATGCCTGAGCATAAGGAGGGCTGGAGTCAAAATCAGCTGGAGAGTCCCAGGCTGAGGAGGGCTGCCAACCATTACCTATCCCTACAACAAGGCACAGCACCCCGAGCGTGTGCCGGAGCAGTGCAGCCCACATATCTTCACCCCACATGCTTCTGAGGTCGTGTGAATCAGCCCTGAGCAGCGTGGGTGACACATTCTTCAGAACTGGCCCTACAACCATTCTTAGGCAGACTTTCTGCAGAGGTTCAGGCAGCTGATGACTATAATATTTTCCCGACAGAGTTAAGAACCGGCCACTAGAGTCAGAGCAAGTTGAAAAGGAAAAGGAATGCCAACAAAGTTCTTTCGAGTTCAGCTATCTTTTTTTATAATCAGCAGAAATGTACAGCACTTTCAGGCACGAGTTGTTTGTATTTTTTAAGTTCCATTGAAGACGGGGGGGGGGGAGCGTGTAAGGAGAGGAAAAACAAAAACAGAACAGCAGATGGTAGCTTTTTTCCAGCATGTTTTTTTTTTAAAGTGGGATTGGGGAGAATATTCCCATTAAGCAAAGACAGAAAAGGCATTGTTACAAAACTATGCTGCCCAAGAGGTAACAAAAAGACACTGGCTGCTCAGCTGACATTGGGAGATAAGGAGCTGGTTTTTACGGAAGAAAAGATAGGAAAATTCTTTATATTTTTAGCTGCATAAAATCAGTTTCTCACACCATGGAGCTCTGTTGATACAGATGCCTGCCTGCCTGCCTGCCTGCCTGCCGCAAATCTGAAACAAAAGGCAAAAATGCTCTCAGGCAGCATTACCAAGCCCTCTCCCCACACCCTCTGGAAGCAAGGAAGAGCAACATATGGGCAGATGAAAAGGGCTCTCAGCCTGGCCAAAACACACATACACTAGTGCTTAACAAACCGGAACTGATCCGATTTGGAGCACCTCCCAGGGGACAGAGAGGCACACCCTACATTAGGAGGCACAGCAGGCAAGCCGGGCAGGGTTTCTGAAAAGGTGGTACAAGAAGGAATGGCTTCCATGTGATTCCCAAAAGCCATCCCCCAAACCTGCTGTCCAGAGGCCAGAACCAAGGGACCTAGAGCAGCTGCAATTGAGGGACCCATGGATTTTGTCACAATCACTTCCCCAAATGTGTTAAGCCTGGTACACGTTAATATGAGATGAGACAGTAAAACTGTACCTGGGTTGTTCCACAACTGATCCCTCCTTCATGGGGAAAAAACCCTCACTGCAAAGAGAAATCTAGAACATCAGGAAGGAGTCTAGCCTTTTATTCAATGTGTAACACTTACTTTTACATGCCGTGATTTTGCTTTCTGAATGCAGGTTAGGGAAGAGTTTGAGCACTTTACTGTTCCTGATCCAGTGACACCATCCATAACTGGGTTCAGCAACTTACCTGCTTTTCCTGTAGACCAGTCACTAGTGAGAGACATAAGCTGAACTGGAACAAAGGCAGCACTGCCAGTAAAATCTATGAAAAGTTACAGCCAGATCTATGTGGCTTTCAGTAGTAACAGTTAACATTAGAGAATGTTCTTTAGGTGTTCAGGAAGCTTCCTGTCTTACCAGCCCTATATTTTAGCAACTCCTAGTGCTGTACTTCTGTGCTATTTAAGCAAAATCAGCTAAGTTATTATTACTTCTATCAATTTTATAACTACAGTTTTGACTTAATAATACTTGGTTATTACAAAAGGCAAAACTCTAACATAGGTATCAAGTAAGTAGTAATTCATTTTATGAAATGGAATTTTCTTAAAACATGTTGTGTGTCTATGTGTAGAGATGACCAGCTGGTGACGATGACCAAACCTAGCAAGCGATGGTTAGAACAGAATTCCTTCTAAAAGGAGAGGGAAGCAGCATCCTAGCACAGCCTTCCCCAACCTGTTACTCCCACCATATATGTTGAACTACAACTCCCATCATTCCCATTATGGGACTTGCATTTTAGCACATCTGCATTATACCAAGGTGGGCAAGGGGCTCCAGCCCTCAGAGTCCTCTGGCTAGTGGTTGGAACCAGGCAAATGATTTATATATTTGGGGCGCAATATGATGGCAATGAGTGTAAGCCCCCAAACTTGCTCATCTTTCCCTCCCCACTCCTCACACTCTGCATTTTCACTAGATGAACTTTTCTGACTATCTGGACAGCCTGTTGGATGAGGAGGCTGTGGCAGCTTCAGGATTCCTTGTATCCTGGATGCTCCACCCACCACCCCACAGAACACTCCCTTTTACCTCTCTCAGAGTTTGCTTTCCCAGCCTCAAGCTGTTTCCATGCCAGCTACAAAGGGAAGGGACAGAAGCTCCAATGTCCAGCTCCCACAGAGCTAAGAATCTGAACTAGCTTATGACTCCTCAAACAATGTCTAAGGGCCAAAGGATCCTTCCCATATTTATTTAAACTGTTGCTAATGAATTCCAAGGTGGTATACAATACTCATTAAATCAACATTCAGATTGAAATAAATATCTAAAATAACACAGGAACAAAGCTAAGTATTAAAATCAACAATTACTTGGTTAAACAAACGGGTTCAGAAAAAATTCCAATAAATTCCCCAGGGTGGGTACCTGCTGTAATTCCGGAGCAGTGGGAGAATTCCAGAGACAGGGCAGTGCAAGCTAAACGGCTCTCCCCAGTCGCTGTCATTTGAGTAAGTGGCAGAACAATCCTGAGTCCTTGTTCTGCAAATCAGCTCCCTCAGGTAGCTTGCTCCTGAGATGTTACGAGACTTGCACATCAAGAACAGCACCTGAAGCTTGATCCAGCAGGATACTGCAGTACTTTGTAATAACCTTGCTGCCAGTATGCAAACTGCCAAATGCTGTATTAGTTGCTGAACCTGGACCGGTGTAAGGGAAGCCCCACAGAAAGCTCACTGAAACAGTCCAATCCTGAGGCTGCCAATGCATGGATGAGTGCCACCAGACCATGTCTAGGATATGCCATGCCTGGAATACCAAATAAAGCTAGTAAAAGGTGCTCCAGTCACCAAGTCCACCAGCAATGGGTCAAGCAAGCTACAAACATTATCTTTCAGGGGAGTGAAACCCATCCAGAACGGGCAACCTAATTCCCAGACTGAAGTAATGCAGAGCCTGGGGGCCCCTATCTTGTTAGGACTGAGTCTTTCCCTGCTGGTGTTTTGTTCATGCTTAGTGCAACAACAGGCTCTTCATAACTACTTCTTCATGAAACTAGTGAGATGAATAGTCTAGACTTTCTCCCAGACATGCATTTTTCAATGTAAAGGGATTTATTTTTTTGTGCAGAGAAATCCATCAGGTGTGAATATCGCTGGAGCTATAGGGAGTAGACACATTTTTGTGGTCCTGTCTTCTTGGAATTAGGATTGCATGAAGAATTGGAAGGTGAAGCTCACAGCTTCCTGTGCCCATCAGTTTTGCAGAACAGCTGTGTTAGGTGTGGCAAAGCAGCTGCTTCCCACAAACAGCTCTCCCCAAACCTTGCACTGGATGTCAATGACGTGCGCAACACACTTATTTGAAGGGATAAATCTGCTCATCCAACCTCCAGTCCCTCTGCACTTAGGACTCTGACATATTCTGCCCATCACACCAGAACCAGCTCTAGGTTCTTGGGCCACTGGGTCAATTTAATTGACCTTCTCAACTGACCTTCTCAATGGCATTGTCACCCACTGTGCTTGTTTCTCATCCATCTTACCACTTCCTTGCTCTACAGACAGGCAGAAAGCCCATGGGCAAGGAGACAGCCTTTGCCACTCCTGACCGCCACCACCATTGTCCGGCCCAAAGCGAAAGGCAGGTGAGCAAGCTGGTCCCAGTGGAGGTGCAATTCAAGGACCAACCCTTCTTGTGACCAACCCTCTGCTGAGGGATGGGCCCTTGGCAGGTGCCTGACCAACCTATCCTTGATGCCCGCTCTAGGAACCAAGGAGGCTGCCTCCCTGCACCATCTGTTTCCCTTGCTTTTGGATCACACTTTTATCTGAGGTGGAAATATATCAATGTTTCCAAGCAATACTTCCCACACTTCCACTTGTTCAATGCCAAACTGTTAGCAGACCATGCTCAACGCCAGCTACTGTGTAAGCAGAAAAGTCCTTGTAAAATTGCAAAGTCTGTTCTTGCTGGAGACAAAAGTCTGAGCATGCAAAACAGAAAGAAAAGTGGGATGCAGTGTGTGAATCAGTGTATGCAGCTGGTCAGAGAAAATGATCTTTACCCCTTTAACCTGAAGACTACTGGTCTGAGCAATAGCCTCTCTCACTGGGCCTAAGCATACATTATATTAAAAATAAATACAACCCAAATTCTGTGTGCAATTCTGCAACTGGGATATACAGTGTGGAAACTAAATGAATTTTCATATATATTTTTCTTGCACGGAAAAGACCAAGGAAGGACACAGGTCACTGGACACACACACTCCTAAGCCACTGGAATGCTTGCTTATTCTCTTTCTGGCCTCCAAACCTTTTCAAGGTTTCAAGCCTATTTGTCCAGTGATGAGGGCTAAAAACTTTTAAAAACAAGCAGGCAAGCAAAGGTGGGATTCTCTGCAAACTGAACTCAGGACCAGATACCAAACTCTCTGCACAGCCTGCACACAGCCTCAGATTTTATTCCAGCCAGAATTCGGAGAACAAGAAAACAGGCGTAGGGAGGAAATGATCCCCCGCCCCCCTCCCTGCACATGTGTTTGGGGCAAGCGCACACACTGCATTTGAAGCTCAAACACACACGCCCTCGCTTCCACGTGCTGCTTGGCTGGAACGCTGGATCTGAAACTTCACCTCCAAAAAGCTCAGACAATGAAAGAGCACGTTAACTCAAGCCAGATGGATTCCGAGTGCCCCACCATCCGCCTGCCACATACAACCTCATTTGTTTACCTCCTGCTCGCCTCATTTTAGCTCTTCCTGAATCAGATCGGCTTTCAAGAAGCTAAAATTACATCCCACTCCCTCTCTTGTACTCCTCCCCACTCAAAGCCCTGCGGGGGCGCGCGGGCGCGCGCACAACACACGAGCAAAGCGAATCCGGGCGTTTGCTCCTTCTGCCCCTCCTCACGTCAAGCAGGAAAACGGCCTGCAGGAAAGGAAATCGTGCTTATCTCGCCTTCCAGATCTGCCAGCCCCGTTAGCAACGCCTAGCTGCCATTTCCAGTTTCTGTGCAACGTCTCCCCTCGCCCCGCTTCTCCAGGCTTTGGTCATTCCGTGCTGAGGAATGAGGTATTCCTGCGCCAGGTAAATGAATGTGGAATTGCTTGCACTTGGCTGAGCAATGCATCGAGTAACGCTTTCCACAGCCATGTGTCTGTCGTGGAGCCCTTTCAGCAACTACTATGGAACCCACGTGTTGCAGAGTTCTTGGGACACACTGGGAATCATAGAATGACGATAGAGTTGGAAGGGGCCATGAAGAATGGCCTTCATGAAGGCCATGAAGAATCCCCTGCTGTTGCAGGACACCAATTTACACCATCCCACTCAGGCAGCTGTCCAGTTTTGCGTCGAATGTCTCTGGTGTGGGAGAGCCCACCACCTCTCTAGGCAGCTGGTTCCATTGTCCTATTGCTCTGACAGTGAGGAAGCTTTTCCTGATGTCCAGCCTGAATCTGGATTGTTGCAGCTTCACTTGGTTATTCCATGGCCTACACTCTGGCATCAGCGAGAAGAGATCTTGACCTTCCTCTTTGTGACAGCCTTTGAGGTACTTATAGAGGGATATCATGTGTGTGTGTGTGTGTGTGTGTGTGTCCCCTCCCATCTTTTCTTTTTCTCCCTGGAGATTCTGTTAGCAGCAGAAGGGAAAACATACTTGGCTGCTTGTGTGTTTCCCTTCAGGGAAGGAGAGCAATTTGTAGTGCAGAATTTGCATTAGCCAATCAAAACTGGGGGACCCTTGATCAAATTTGGGAATGTTTTTAATAGGGAAAATATGCTTTGTGAGAACCTGTCATAGATAACCCATGTAACTTCTAGTTAAGCCCTAAATGCCATATGATACATTTTATACATACACTAGTGACATATTGATGTTTTGATTGGCCATACCAAGGAAACCAGATCAGGTTAGGGGGTCTTCTTTTGCACCCCATCCCCAAGTATAGCTTGGAGTGCAGATTTTGATGCTATAGCTGCTCCATACATACCATATATACCTTTGCAAACCCTTCCAGAGTTACATTTTTAGATACAGACTTAAAACATCTTTGGAGGACACCGATATTTTCTCTATATCCTCATCAGTTTCAGTCTGAGTGATCAATCATGGAGGTCCCTTGGATGCTTCTGCTTTAAAGCAGCCACCAACTTAAAGTAGCATAGGTAATATAAATTTTGTTGCATCTTAAAGACTCAGGCTATATTTCAGCTACAAAACTAGATTAGATTTAGCCATTGTGACTTCCAGTACAGGATCATTGAAGAAGTAGATCTTCTCTGCTGGAGATCCCAATTTTCTCCTTTCACCAAGAACATCAGCTCCCAAAGTAAAGCTGCAAGCCACTCCCCTGCCTCTCTTCTCCAAGGGGATGGAGGCTTGGAGATTGGCTTTTCTGGACATGGACCTCACCAGGAGTCTCAGTGGGTCACATGGGAAGGTCTTGGCAATCCTATGCAGGTTTAGATAATGAAGAGTCCATGCTGGTTTAGGCTTATGGGAGCTGTAGGCCTTTTTTCTGCCTAAGCCTGCATAGGATTGCACTGAAATCCAGTCTGATCCAGGAACTCTGCATACCACACTGCTTGTGGTTCTGCTGCCACCATTTAAGATGAATGCCTTCAGGTTTTCTGAGACAGGGTTCCTGCCCAGAAGAAGCTGATAAATCCCAAGCATATAATAGAGCCAAGTTCTTGTGCTGATATCAGAAACCCACCTTGTACAGCAAAACCCTTCTGTTGATATCAGAATGGAGTGGGGAGGGAGGAGACTAAGATCAAAAGACCAAAAAGATCCACTTAGTTTGGGTTCTTTCCAACTCATTGGGTTTCCCAGATACTGGAAAATCCTCAAACAGAAAAAAAAAAACCCAAGACAGATACCCCTTACAAATGTAGTTACCACCTCTTAAGAGATGTTGCTCATTTGATATTGTTTGTATGCATGTTAATTCATTTATAAAATCATCCATTACCAATAACTGAAGCAAAGGGAAGAAAAGAGAAAGTGTATTTACAAGTCAACATCTTGGGGCAATTCCAGACAAGTTTTTTCTGCAACTGTCTACCTTATTCATGGAATTTTAAGGAGGGCCCAGACAACACCATGTCCCACTCATAACCCTTCCATGTTCGCCCACCATTTCTTCCATCTTCTTTCTTTGCCCACAAAATTTTTCAGGATGAATAAAACAAGAGAGCTAAACAATGCCCTTTTCATGGTAGTATTTGGAGCCTGCAATCTGGAAGCAGCCTAATTCAGGCACATAGGATAAAGGAAGAGGAGGCAACGCTGCAGAAACAAAGACCCTCTAAGGTGCACAAAATTCTGATTTATTCCACTGAACATGTCTCAGTTAAAATCTTTGTCAACACTGTGGTCTCTCTGTGTACACTACAACTCCTTGGAATTATAAATGTGTGTACCTAAAAGATGCTCTCTTCTTTTTTCCCAGCCACTTTCTCAGGGCTAATTAAAAGCAGCTGGCTGGCAACCCTGGCTGCATGGGTAGTGGCCAGATCTGACAGGTCACCCTGTTGTCCACACAGCTGATTCTGTAGCAGGACATATCAATATGGCTGAGAAGAGGTAAAAGGCTCACAGACTGTAACTGGTTGACCCTTGCCCCATTGATTCTGTACTATACACCGTGGCAGCTGGATAATCTCTGAGGCAGACACATCCTTTGGAAAAAGCAGATGTGATGCAGTTTCCCAGGGAGAATCAACCATGTGCCGGTTCCTTTTGCCTGGGCTGCTGCTATTCCCCAGTCACAGTTTTTGCCCCAGTTACCCTGTTGTTTTGACAGTAGTCACCTGGACAGCACTGATGTGTTTATCATTTATAATTCACTGAAAATTGCTAGGGGCTGCACAGGAACAGAAGAATCAAGAAGGCATTGACAACAAGCTTAGAACCTGACGAGCAGCTGATTGCTAAGTACATTATGCTACTCCTTCTCCAGCCTAACAAAATGGCTAGCCAGGAGCCAAGATAGAACTTGGTTTGTGGTCCCGCTCAGTAGCCATCTGCTAAGGAGAAAGGCAGAAAGAGAGAGGCAGTGTGAGGTGAATGCAAAGCTTAATTTAAGCCAGGGTGACTGGCACCATAACCTTTCTGAGGATGGCTTCAATCACAGAACGTCTGAGGTTTTCTAAAAAAGTTATTCCAGTATGTGCTAAGTGCCACATTCAGCCAATGCTTTGTGACCACTGAGCATGCTCAGACTTCACTGGGCTCTCTGGGTCCCCCTTCACCTTTGGAATTCTCTCCTTTCTGATATCTCCCTCCTGTGCATTGATGCTGCCATTTTGGCTATGTAAGGATTGGGACACAGACGACAGAGTATGTTCTCTGTATTAATTCACTATTTGGATTAGTAAGCCTTGCCCTGCCTTCCAAGCTCCCTGTACAAGAGGGGATTTCTGCTGCTGTGCTTGAGACCAGAGGGGGAAGTACACCTGGGGCCAGTCCTACCATTAGGCAGAGTGCGGCACAGGAAATGCCGGACTGGAGAGCTCCGCTACCTGCCTGCCACTCTGTGCCCCCTAATCAGCCTGCTGCTTCAGCTGCACAGAAGGTGCTCCTCCATCCTCTGTATAACTGCAGATTCATCTGCCAATCCAGCTGGGTTTTGCACTTATTTATTTAACATTATTTCTTGGCTGCCTTTCAAGGCAGGAATTTAGAAAGGGAGAGGATGCCATCTGGTTCTTTGCCTCAGGCAACAAAATGTCTGGAGGAAGCCCTGAATATACTGAGGGCAGGCACAACATAGATGAGATCTGGTAAATCCATGGGCGGTTCATAACAGACCAGTAAGGAGTTCAGACTGCAATAGTTTTAATAGCAGCAATGAAAAAAAAATTCTTCTAATAAGACTGTCGATGTTTGTGTGGAAGGGCTGTGAACCTTATTCAGCCTCTGTAAACAATTTCCTGCTTTAAGCTAGAGGTCATAAGCACCATGTATATCCCCCTACTAAATTCACCTGTTTTGGGCCTCATGGTTCTGGTAAGAACCAAGCAGAAATCACAAGTCTTAGGCCTGCTGGTGTGTGGAGCATGTAATTCCCTTGCCACATCTAGACTTTAAAATCCTTGCTACCTGTGTGGCTTTGGTCATCACAGTATCAGGGACCTAATCAGTGTTAGGTTTGTTGCTTCCATTGTTTTTTTTCCTTCGGGGAACCCTTTCCACTTTGACTTGCCTCTCACATGGCAACCTCTGCATGCTGTACAGGATTCTGGGACATCTTCTAGGGCAGCTGTGGTCAGAGGAGAGGGCTGTAAATGTTTCGGGTTGTCGTTCCCATAAGTCCCTGCCATCATAGCCAATATTTGGGAATGCTGGGAGATTTAAGTCCAGGCTGTCTGGAGACCTGCCATCTGTCCTCTCTTGCTGTAGGGTAGAAAGGTTGTTTCCTGCTGGAAATCAGTCTAGTCTCCTTTATAGAGGATGATCCAGAACAGAGGACAAGCTCTTTTCAGTTTAACTAGGCCCTAAGTTCAAGTGTTAAAGGCAAACATGCAGTGGTGGTGAGATGACTTTCTCCATATGATGCAACTCATTTTGGTCTCCAGCAGGCACAGCCATGCAGAGCTAAATATAGGTTACTCTTAATTAAAAACCCTGTCTTGCACAATGGCTACTTTCTGCCCTAGTTATAGAAGACTCCTATTTATTTTTGTAACAAGTAGGGCCACAAATTACCATGTCAGAAGAAACTGTAAAGCCTAAGCTAGGCCAGGTCTCATGCCCTTCCCTTCAGCAAGGGAATTAACAGGCAAAAACCTTGGGGCAAGGAGCTAGTGAGAATGCAGCATTTCTCAGCACCAGTGCTGGATAGCTGATGGGGAGCTATTTAATACTTCACAGCAAGGGTCGAACATAGCTAGCTTGTTTTCCTGCTGTGATTACTGTATACAATGCCAAGAGACGTATTCATCCCCTTGCCCCCGCAAGAAATTGTTTGTCCCTCATGGGATTCTATTCTTTTGTTTGCTTGTTTTTAATCGCCATTTTTCCACAGTTCAAAATGTGGACTCAAAAATAATCCCATCTAGCCTGGCATTCAGCATGTCAGTATTACAGAGCTTTTAGAAAGCAGTTGTCAGGCCTGAGGTAACCTATGAGTTGAACAGGAGGGTAAGAGCCAACAAACACCACAAGCAGGAAGGTGCTTACTCAGGCAAGGTCCCAACCCAAACAGGAAGCCTTTTATAGCCTTTCCTGCCCACCAAGGCCCAGTGCATGGCCTGAGTAGGCCCAGCCAGCCCAGAGCCTGAGAAAACTTTGCTGTTCTGGTTGCAATTCTGATAGTGCAATTCAGACACGGGGAAGCTGCATGTAGGACAAAGTTTCCTGGTTCTAGCCCATGCAGCTTCTGAGAGTGTTGGGGAATGCCAGCTCATCTAGCTGCTGCCCTGCCTTTATCCCACACCTGCAGCGAGGTCATGGAGGCTGTTGGTGTCCCAATGCCCTCTGTCAAGGTTGACCTAGGAAACTGTAGCCACATAATGGGCAAAAGCAGCCATCCCAGAAAGGTTTGAAAGAGGAGGAAGTTTTGAAGATGAGATGAAACAACTACACTGTGGACCTGATGTGACCTGGATGGATGGTACCTATCCCACCACAGCTTTTCCAGCAGGCTGTGCAGTGGGAGAAGGGAGTACCCCATCAGCCCCGCTAAAAGACTACTCATTCTATTGCTCTTTTCTTCCTATCCCTTTTTCTTTATGTGCTGTATCTTTTCAGATCGTAAGCCCACAAGCATGTAAGCAACTTCAGGAACCTTTTTCACAGAGCAAAGGGATCAACATGCTTCAATTAGATAAATAAACATTCAGAGGAATATGGCTAAACATAGATGGAGTGAGTCCTTGCTTCCTGTTTGAAGAAGACACCATTCTTTGGGTGAAAAAGTGAGAAGGGGGTAAAAAAGCAAGCTGCTGAATGTTTTCATATGAGACATGCTCTCAAAAGACTTGGATGGCTGTCTCATATGCAGTGCATACGTGTGTGCCCATCTTATTCTGAATGTCCACAGGGGAGGAAGCAGAGGCTCTCCTCAGTACACAACCGCACACAATGAAAAGTAGGCTTCACACTTCATGGTACATTGTGGGCACAGTCTGTAACATGCAACTTGCGATGGATGCATGAAAGTCCTTTTGCTTCATACCGTCAGGCAGAGCCCTGCTAACCCACAGATCTGTTGGCCAAAAAAGTTAGGGCAGGACAGACAAGCCTCTTCACCATCGGAAAAAGTACTTTGCCAGGAGGGGTGTCCAAACCTGCCTTGGAGGCTTCTCTTATTTGTATGGAGAGTTTCTGTGGACACAAAAACAATTTAAAGGGGGTGATGAACCACACAAATCCCTTCAATGAGCTGCTTGGGCATTACAGAGGAGCTGTCAGTGGCTGTCAAACAGAGATGGAGGGAATATAAAGAAGGGGGAGAAATGGGGTAAGCCAAATAACTCTTGATCATGGGTGCCATATTGGTGAAGCAGGTCACTGTGCATGTGTATCTGCATGCACAACATATGAACAATTTGCTTTAAGGCAGGCATGGGCAATTGCTGGACTACAACCCCCATCATCCCACTCAACTAAACTGGCTGTGGGTGAGGGGAGTGGCAGACCAGCAACACCTGCTGCATGTTCCCCTCCCCTCTTTGCAGGTGTTGCATCTTAGGCAATGGTTCCCCACCACCCATCTCCTCGATAGAGAACGCTTCAATTTTTTTAGAAAACAGGAGTGCCACTCCAAAGTCCTCTTTGGAAATGGTGTATCCTCAGTTGTGAGCCATCCAGTGCCTTAAAGAAGCAGAATCTGCCCTTCACCAAGGCTGTGCTCCATGGAGAAAGCCACACAGTTTTTCTGTACTTGAGACACACTCCTTTCTTAAGGAGGAAGCAGATCCTGAACTAGACAGGTCTGGCAGCTTCCAACAAAAAGGTGATGACCGTTCCTGAATCCCCAGAGCTAGGCCTTGTTCCCCAGGTTGGAATGGAGTCTTTCATGACTAAATGTACAGCATGGATGGTTGCAACTGAGGCATTTACATGTCACCAAGAAAAGAAAAAATGAAAAAGGGGCAGCACACATGCTGTTATTAACTAATCAAAAGCTCTAATGGCAAATGGCTACTCTGGTAGGCCTGGTCACATTTGCTTCCCAGTATGGTATCCCAGGATGCACTGCTCTAATGGGTCCCATGTTTACTCTGCCTTATTCATTGCCTTTGTGCCTTATGCATTGCTGTATTCTTCTTGTATGCATCGTTTCCAGAAAGCATTTATACATGTGGTACTAGTGAACTTATGTATACCCTCTGCTAAAAATATAAACATTTTGTAGCAGGTAGCAATGGGATCACTCACTTTCTGCACCAAGAAAACCCAATTTTTCCAAGCTGTAAAAAAAAGTTAAGCTGAGTGAACTAATTTGCAAATATTTCCTTACGTTGTATAATTTATTGATCTTTTGTTGGTTGAAAAAGAGAAAGGGGAAAAACTGAGTATAGCATAACTCACTGTGCCTCCCACCTTCTATTTCAAACGATTTACCCACATGCTTTCAAGCCTATCTTTGCATCCTTAAGGGCTAGAAACTTGCACTTAGAATGAAAAGTGAAAACAGTGCAGCCCAGCGATGAGCTCAGACCAGCTACTTCACACTCTGTAGGGTGTGAAATTATGATATGTTGGTTGGCATGTGTAGTGTCTCGTCCCCCCACTCCCCAGGGTCACCTGCGGGAAGCAGAATGCACGAATCGAGAGGCGAGGCCACATGGTGGTGCAGCAGAGGCAGCTGTGAGGAATGCTCTCCCACCCCCTTTCCTGTGTGGCGGAAGAGAATGAACTTAAACTGCAGGAGGAAAGATTTAGCTTAAAAATGTCAGCAGAAATTTTCCAACCATAATAATAGTCAAGCAGTGGAACAAATTACTGAGGGAACTTGTGGAGTCCCTGTGATGGGAAGCTCTGGAAAATGGTCACATCAGCTTCTGTCTGGAATGGTTTAACTGTAATTCATTCTGGCCATGGGGCAAATGGGAGGGCTTTCATTCATGCATCGGTTCATGTGGAGACTTATTAGCCATCTCCTCCACCAAAGGTACTTGGAAGCATCGCGAACAGGAAGTTTTTAAAACACCCATTTTTATCAGCCTAAAACAAGCTAAGAACAGCCTAAAATGCGCAGGAAGCAGGAAAAATGTTTGGATGAAGTGATACCTGTACACAGCTGATATAAAAAGATGGACAGATATCAGCCTTCCCCACTCTGGTGCTCTCCTTATGTTTTGGACTACAGCTCCCAACTACCATGGGTCAGGCTGGCCGGGCTTGATCAGAACCTAGAAGGTGCCAGCTTGGGGAAGGATGATACAGATTTTAGAACGAGGTACGGACTGATGACAGCAGGCAGGCAGGCAGAACATAAACAACGGGGATAACACCCCATCCTTGGAAATACATTAGCCTGGGTGCCAATATTAAAAAGGCCCTGTTCCACACTTTGAGTTTGGTTCAGTGAAAGAAGGTACAAAGAACAAGCCTTCTTCTCCTACATAATTCCTAAAGCAAGTACATATTAGAAGAGATACTCTCTTAGGATAGCTAGGGCTCAGGACGGTTAGTGCTTTAAATTGGTTCTTGGAAGCTTACATAGCCATGTGAAAATAGATTTAACAGGTTAGCCATCCTTACTGAAAGGTAAGCTGAGGTAATTCTTCATTGGCTGCAGCTTCTAAAACATTTCAAAGGGCATCTTTGTGTGAATCAAATCAAAAGTAGGGATGTAAAGTCTAGGAGGGAAAACAGAGAAAGATAAGGAAAAATCCTTTTTCTAAGAATGTGTTTTTGTTTTTTCCCCCAACATTGAAAAAAATTAAACAAGTTTGGATTTTGAAATATTTTATTCTAGAATTTAAGACAAAATATTCTTATCTAGTTTTCATTTCCTCTAAAATGGTTAGAGCCATCTAGATGGGGCACCGCAGCGGAGGAAGGCAGGCAGGTACCGTACCATTTGGATATGGCATAAGTCATCCCTCCCAACTTCCTGCCATCGCTGCCATGCCCCTTTCCCTCTCTCCAAGTCTGATTTCCAACCTCTCTGGGGCAGCTGGCACAGTTCTTTTCATGCAGGCTGCAAGGGGGATGACAGAGGGCTCTCTGCTTGGAGTCCTGGCTCCAATGTCGCAGGACCCTGGACTAGGACTCCAAAAAATCCCGTGGCCCCTCCCAGACCATGTTGGGCCACTCACACCAGATGCAATGGAACAGCATGCCTGTTATTCCACCTATTTTCCTTTCTTACAAATTATCTGGATCCAAAGAACTCACTGCCACAGTTTTTAATAAAGTTCTCTATTAGCTCTCACCACTACCTTGCTTCACCTGCAGAGCCTTTAAGCTGCTAATATTAAAATAGACCCTCTCTACCTCAGGAAGCTCAGCTGCCTTGTTCCTATGGTGTGTACACAGGATTGACACAACTGCTAGAGACAACATTTCAAAATGAACAAAAAAATAAGATGTTCCCTAAAATGTCACTCTTCAATAAACTGGTTGAGATAAAATTGCAATAGTTTTTCCTTTGGATCAGATTTTCCTAAGCTCTGCCACACAAACAGGGACAGGTTTAGGAATGTCTCTAATCTTCCTTACAGGTACGGACAGCTGCTGTACACCAGTCTTCCTTTGCCTCCAAGTCTTCCTGCTTCTTCTGGCTTCTAGGATGAGTCAAGAATTACTTGCTGATGTTCCCTCTGATCAGACATTAAGTTGGAGCCAAAAATATGTGCATATCTTGATCTGAGTGAATCAGAGTATTATATTTGGTATACTAAAATTACATTAGTATATTAAATTTTGGTTTGGTATATTAAATTTAAAAATCTGATTTATTCAGGCAATAATTGAAATTTACTGAGTTTGCTTTTAAACATTTTTAAATATGATGATAATTTTATGAGCAAACCAAGTTATGCATAATATAATTTTAGGGCCATAAAGCCTGTTCTGTGTTCCTCTAGCAAGCCTCGCTAACTTGGTACTCTCCAGAGGTACTGGACTACAGCACTTAGCATTTGTGGCTATTGACCATGCTGCCTGAGGCTGATGAGGACTGAAACCCAAAAGGGTTAGGGAAGGCAACCTGAAGCAACAACCTAAGGCAAAAAAGTGACTTTAGGTCTGCAAAGACTGCTTTTAAAATGCCTATTTTTTAATTCTCCTGCAAATTTCCTCAAGCCCAGCCTTTTCTATAGCTTCAAAATGTCCAGGAATTTTACATCTCCAGTCAAAATGAAAATTTGGTGGCTGAGGTAGGAGCATGATCAGAAAGCGCAACCTGTCAGAAGACATTCCAGCCAAAAGCCATTCTGATACTCCAAGACTCGGACCGCAAGAGCATCAGCATCTACGTGTTTGAACAGCTCAGTGGGAGGCAGGCTGGGGTTTCCGTCACTGGGCCAGGACTCGTGTCTATCCACTGTGCCACATGCTGAAGGACAGCATTCTCCATCCTTCTCCAGGAATTCAGTACCACTCCAATTATTCCTAGCTGTTGGCAATGCTGCCTGGAGCTCCTGTGAGTTATTAATTACATTTATATCCAGCCTTTCTTCCTGCAAGGAACTCAAAGCAGCTTATGTATTAAACCTCTTTTTCCTCTGCATTTTATCCTTGCAACATCCCTGTGTAGCACGCTAGACTGAAAGTGAGTAGGTGGCCCAGAGTCACTCAGCAAACTTCATGGCTGAGTGGAGACTATAACCCAGATCTCCCAAATCCCAGTCTGGCACTCTGACCAGTATGCTACACTGGATCTCAGTGCCAAAGCCCAAACTATCTGGAGGGCACCACGTTGGGAAGGCTGAACTGAGATGTCCTCCTACAGAACTTCCAAATAGGACGATGAGTGCAATTCAGCAAGTCCCCCTTTACTTTTCTGCCAGGCTAAATCACAAGATAGGGCTTCGCATAGCAATGCTTCTCACAGACTTTTGTTGGCACACCTCCATATCCACTGCCTGGCCTGTTGTGTGGTACCTGCGCAGGCCTGTTGATTGCAAGTCTGAGTCCAGCAGCAAATTTAAAAGGTTACCAGCAGAGGGGAGGAGGAATCTTGAGTTTCAACTGGGCAACCCCAGTGTCGATTCCCTGCATTGTTAATGCACAATATGCGAACTAGCTCCAAGATGCTCGGAGATCAGCTGATGGGGATGCAGATTCAGACGAGAGAGGCTCCATCACACTGCTGTGTTGTCTGAGGTCCAGTGCTGAATTAGTGACAATGTTTTACTGAAGTTCATTGGCCCCTGTAAGCCAGAGCCAGTGTGGTGTAGTGGTTAAGAATGTGGGACTGGGACTCAGGAGATCGAGGTTCTAATCCCCACTCAGCCACGGAACTCACTGGGTGACTCTGGGCCATCTCACAGGGTTGTTGTTGTGGGATTAAGATTGAGAGCAGGAGGAGAATTATGCAAACTGCCTTGAGTTCCCGGGAAGGAAAAAAAAGGCAGGATATAAATATAATAGATAACATAAAAATAGTTTGACTGATGACAGAAGTTCTCCAAGGTGTTGTGCAAGGGGGATCCTTCCTGGGTCTCCTAGCCAAAATCCTAACTTGAGATGCCAGAGGCTGACCTTGGGCTTGACCCATGTGGAGCATCTCTTCTAGCACTGACCTAACACTCTATAGCAGCATATTATTGTGTAATGCTCTTTCTGCCAGTCCCCGCAGAGGAGCTCAGCAAGCAGCATGTTGAAAATCAAAGAGAGCATCTTTGTGCCATCAGGGATGAACTACACATTATATGCAGGGGTGTACTAGTAAATTTGGAAGTGCAGGCACTCATCCTGACCATCCCCAGAGCTGTGCCATCAAGAAGAATCTAAAATGCAAGCTGCTGTGGTGTTCCTTATCAATAAACCACTTCTAACCATTTCTACAAGCAACAAATCTTTGGATCTTCGTTGCCTGTGTGAGACCTGCCAGTCCCAAATAGTTTGCATTATAACAGAGAACAATTCACTGTTGGGAAAATTCATTTCCCTCCAGCTGCAGTGAGAATTGTAGGTAAGCTCAGAAAGAAAATGGAGGGAGGGAGCGGGGGGGGGAGCTGTAGAAACTGTCAGCATCACTGTTAGCCCTGGCTTTTTTAGACCACTGCTTATTATGTGCACACATAACCGCTTGCAGGATTTAAAGGCCATAATCCTATGTGTGTTTAGAAAGAAAATAAAGACTGCAAGTCTCAGTGTTCTCCAGCCAGCCCTCTTTCCCATCTTGCTATCAGCAGAGGGGTGTTGCCATACCAGCTGGTTCCTGATATCAGTACAAGACTTGGCTCTGGGTTGGTCCCTGAGAACCTGAAGGCATTCTTCTCGGATGGCAGCTGTGACACCACTCACAGCTTAAGATGCCGTGCTTCAAACTATGATGAATTACGATGACACCCTGTGTGTATTTAGGCAGGAAAAAAGCCCTACAGCTCCCAGCATGCCCAGCTGGTTTCGCTGCCTGGGGCATGCTGGGAGTTGCCGGACTTTTTTCAGTTTAAACCTGAATAGGATTGGACCTCATGAGGAGAAACTGCTTGGGAAGAGAGTGATTTTCAGTGAAGAAGTGGTGGGTGGAAAAGTATTATGCAAATGCATGTGTACACACACCTGTCTCTCAACTCAAAATCTTCCCCTCCTGGAACTGTTTGCTTGCTTGCCTGCTTGCTTGTTTTGTTTTACAAACAACAAAAAAGTCAGGGCTCTATGATATACCTTTGCATATAAGTTGCAGTAGTCTCTTAGAAAACAGCTTTGAAATGAATTTATTTGCCTTCAGTTATAGCAACAAAGCTTGTGTTTCAGAAATCATAAGCAAGCAAAAACTGGCCTTTGGGATTTTCAGGGAAAAAGAAAGAAACACTTTTATCCAGTGCAGATGTTAGGTTGTGAAATGACATTTTCTGGTCTCCTTGTCCTCTCCATACCTCCCAAACTTCTTCCTGAGGAAGCAGCATGCGAGCCTGAGGTTCTCTCAGCTCTGATTGGGCATCATTCTGTCCCACTTAAAGATACCCCAAAAGCTGCCACGGGGGGGGGGGGGATTCATTCCTGGAAAAGGGAAGGAAAAGCTACATGTGTCCCTCAAGCAAGCATATCCCACTGAAAGAGCACTGCAATGCGTAGCTCAGCTCCTGGAGCATAATGCAAGCCTTTTGATCCTCAAGCATCCTGATACAGCAGGGATGCCAAGCCTCTTTCAGCCCAAGAGCCAGCTTTGACTGCAGAGAAGCTGGAGTGGGCAGCAGTGGGCAGGGCTGAAGGAAAAAGGGGGCAGGACCCAAACTAGCAGCCTGTTTCAGAGTATAGCTCTTACTGCCTAAGCTGCAGGAGAAGCATGTTAACATTTTAAAACGGGGGAAAACTGCAAAAGCCAGGAAACCACCCAACACTAAAGAAACACCAACGGTAAGGAAAAAGGGGTCAGGGCCAGGCGAAAGGCGCTGAGCTGTCCGAGGAACTCCAGAGGACCAGATTTACTTCCCTTTCCCCAGTTCTCAGGTTCTGTAGCCTTGCAATACAGACACAGCCATAGTCTGCCTGGTAAACTGATCTGCTTGCATCTTCTTTCTTAATGCTCTTCTCCAACATTCACCATTTTTGACTCTCTATGTTCTGGTGGTTCCATCTGGCTGCATCCTGGATTCCTGAATCCTACACCACATTCTTGGCCCATCCATCCCTGAGAATGTACTTTATGGAGAGATTTTCAAGGTAATAACACCTGTGTGGCTTCATTCAGTAGTGCCTTTAGCTGTCTCCCATTGCTTCTCCTCCCACTGCCAACAGACCATAAAACATATCCATTTATTTTGCAGCAGAGAAACAATGGCAATCAATTAGCAGACAAGGCTGGATGGCAACAAACTGGGCTCTGTAGCAGTACCCAACTGCTCATGGTGAACATGAGCAGCAGTTCATGTTCACCACACAGATGTTATCTGTGTGGTGAACATGAACATCAACAGCGGTCGATTCAAGAAGGCAGGTGAAAGGCCCGTGCTAATGCATTCCTTGCATCTTTTCAGTTCTTCCTATCCTGGGTATATTCACACACGTTTATAGACAGGAGATGGGTAAGCTCCTTCTCCAGGCTTATTCATCATTTATGCAACATATATGAACAGAAACATGGTAGCCCAGGGTGGCTAGAAACTACATGCAGGGGGAGAACAGGTTGAATGTGTCCATCCTCTGCACACAATGTAGAAACCAAGGCAGCTCTTAGAGGAGGGAAGCCTCTCTTTTGTACTGAACGCAGAAAAGCAGTTCATGGTCCTCTCTTTCACCTCCCAGCATACTAGCAAAAATCTGTGCAGGCCGGCGACATCTGTGTGCTAATTTGCAAGGCTGGTTTCATAAATCTGTTCTCTCAAGTAGTCTTCTACTCAGATGCTAACCACAGTCAGGCCAACTGAGCTCTAGCATGTTTGCAACACGACATGCCCTCAGACCATATCCTGCAATCCACAAGTGATATTCATATCCACTACACAGCTACCAGTTTGGAGCATGGACAGGTTTGCACAATCACGGAGCAGAAATAAGCCATGATGACTTGTTTTATCTGATTATTAGAGTTATATCCCACTTTTTCCTTAGAGCAAACTCAAAGTGGCTTATATAATTCTCCTGCTCTCAATCTTATCCCTATGACAACAACCCTGTGAGGTAGATTGGGCCGAGAATTTGTTGTGACTGGCCCAACGTCAGCCAGTTGGCTCTATGGCCAAACAGGACTAGAACCCAGAACACCTGAGTCCCAGTCCTATGCTCTTAATCACTACACCACACTGGCTCTCTCCCCACCTCCCTGCATATGCTAATTGCATGCTGAGAGATAAGCATAATTACTCCTGCCAACACAGTTTGTCCTGTCATATGAACCAAGTCGGATGGCCTGTTACTGTGAGTAACAAGCCAGCACAGTTCTGGACAGCTTTATACCCATGGCAACAACACATCTTGTCCAGGACCACATGATACTACCAGCCATGCCACTGGGGTAATTACAGTAATCTCCAGCATGCAAATAGAGTGGGAATGGGAAATAAATACTGCTCCTACCTTTTTCCCTAGGATAGTTTGTATACCAGAACTGAATGGCATGGGTGAAGAATTTAGTACCCAACACACAATTCTAGATACCAGCAATCTCAACTTTTCGATAACACAAATGTCTGTCCTCTGATTTGCGTGTGTATGGGGACTCCCAATGAAATCTGAGGACACATAGAGAAAACCAGGCAGAATTTCCCATGGCCAGGAAGTCACATGTCAGCGACATGTATAATTATTTGCTTCTTCCTGTGGTTAGTTGAAACAAACTATTCAAAATCACCAAATACATGCAGAATTGTATGATCTATATAGGGTGTAGATGCAGAATTTTTAATTTTTGGAGCAGCACAGAGCATTCAGACCCCTGTGTAAGGCAGCTAGCCACTGGTCAGTCCTTAAAGTGTTTGTATACCAAATTTCCAAATTCTTCTTTTCAAATAATTACAAAATAAAATCTCTACCTTAGTCCTGAAAAAAAAAATCTTTAAAACTAGATCTTGGAAACCATGTGTACTGCAAAGGCATGCAAACACTCTGCATTTGTATCCTCTACCAAGTGATGTGTGCATTTAGAAAGCACAGATGCTATCAAGGAAAAGGATTGTATTTCTTGCAAACCAGAGTTAGGATTAGAATGGAGGAAGAGTAGCTTTTCCTGTATACCTGCACAGATGCAATATAGCTTACAGGTTAAGAATATGATGGGCCAACTACAGTGCAATTCCACATAGAATTTTGTTGCAAAAGTGCCATATTAGGGGGTTGCCACCATTCTTTTGGACAGAATATTTGTACATTTAAACAGATGCATGACAAACAAACATTCAACAGCCTACACACTCCTAATCACCACATCTTTAAACTGGGAAAATGCTGCACCTACTGAATTTCTGCCTGTCACACAACAGCAGAAGCTAACTGGAGTTCTGCCAGAAACCAGTGGCAACCCTACTAGGCAGGTGAGGTCAGTCTGACTCAGGATGGAAGTCAGGATTTTGTTCTTAGCTCCGCCTAGTTTTAAATCCCAACTTGGGTGGAGAGGGCAAGGGTGCTCTGGCAATTATTACAAGTCAAATCTGCACAGTTTTATTTTATTTTCATGACTTTACATCCCACCCTGTATTATAAGTATTTCCAGAGCCAGTGATTAAAATACTACAAAACTTTAACTGTGGCTGCATTGCTCAGATTATAGATAAAAATATATATTCTGAAAAGAACAAGCAGTGATTAGATTGAACTGCCTTTCAGAGACCAGCTCATTTCCCCATCCCAAAATGGCTTGAAATGTCTTCACCAAAGATCCAATGTCACTTGGCAACATACCAGGCAAAGCATTGCAAGTCTTGAATTGGTTGCAGCTGGTATCTAGTTATTCCTCAATTACTGTTTTCACTTGTTAATTACAAGCTCAGGACATGTTGGTAACACATTTGAGGCATTTAGGGATGGCATGCTGGAGGAGACATTTGTAAAAGCTACAGCCAGGCTTTCTCAACTCCCATCCTCCATTCCAGATCTTGTTCCCAGTTCTTGCCGCAATCCACTTTGGCCTAGGCACAAGTGGCCATTTTGCCAGATCCACCAGGGCAGGAAGGAGATAGACTGTGGTTGCTAAGCAACCACACAGTATATTTTCCCCTACATCCTCCAGAAACATGACCAGAGAATCCATTTTCCTACATCAGCCTAACCCATTTTCCTGTTGAGGTCCTAGGACCTCAGGATCCCTGCCTATTTCCTGAGCCCTTTATCTAACAAGTAATTCAACCTTTTCAGAAATGAAGTTTCCTGAGCTTTCCTTTCCTTTCTCTGACAAGATGCCGTTTCCGGGAAAGTGATGCAATGCCACTGCAATCCTGTTGCCATAGTGTGGCCCGACAGTCCAGGTCTGCTTGAAACTTGGAAACCCATTCTGCCAGGCAGAACTTCCAAACTGCTTCCCCCGCTGGAAGGTTCCCCATGTGTTGTGGGGAATCTCTCTGGGTTGCTTGCTGGGTTGTGGAGTGGTGTGTTTGTTCCCCTCAACACCAGTTTCTGTTCCTCCTCTGGATAGGAAGGAATTCAAATTCTCTCTGCCAGAATAAAGCCTTGGGTGTTTCTTCCAGATGGGACGTTGCAAAGATGTACAAGTTTCTTTCTGCTACTGGAAAAGAGCCCAGAGGAAACCAATAGCTATTTCCACCCTTTTCTACCCAATGTTGTATGGAATTAACTGCACGGGGAGGGATGCCATATGCTTCTATAACGTCATCCCGTTAGTAATTGTGTCTATGGCTGTGTGGGAAATTCAGTCCCTTGCCAGAGACAGCTCCCTTTGAAATCTCAAACCGGAAGTCCAAATTCTGAAACACAACCCAGCCAGGCAGCTGGATTCCATTGAATAAGGTTTCTTCTCCTGGGTTCTTTTCCTTTAAAAAAGAAAAGGGCAAGAAAGAGGGGGAAGAGAGACTAGATCTTGCACCTACTTCTTAAAATGTAGGTTTGAGACTAACATTAAAAAAGTGACTGTTTTAAGCAAGGGATTTTCCATCTAATCAAGTATAAAGCAATTTGCACTCTTCATTTTGAAGTTCCTTGGTCTTTTGCAGAAAAAGGCCACTCATAGTTTTAGTTTTTTAATGGCAGTTCAAATGACTTGCAAATGGGAGCCTGCCTGAATCTGGTCAAGACTCAAATGAATGTTCCAAGAAATATCAATCAGCCCATTCTATTTTAATCCAAATCTTTGGAGATTTCAGATCTGTGATTCTAACAATTTTAGTACCAGTATGGTGAAAGCCAAATGATGTTTCCCATCCTTCACCAATTAAGGAGGAACACAAGTCAAAGAGAACATCTGTGTGTGCTTCACTCAGAATGCAACACATGTTCCTTTCCACGGAGCTCTTGGGTCTGATCTGTCTGCCATGCGACGTGGCCCCTTCCCCTTGCCTTGCAAAAGGGTTGCCCTTTGCTGTTGTCACCTGAGAAACTAACCTGATCATTTGATTAATGGGAATGGTGCAGATCATACAAACAAACAGATTGGCTCAGCTCAGAGGTGGGCAACTTGGCACATTCCAAATGCTTTGGCCTACAGCTCCGGTCAGTCTTTGTCACAGGCTATGCTGACAAGGGCTGGTGGGAGTTGTAGGCCAAAATGTGTGGAGAGCCACAAATTGCCCATCCCAGCCTAGTCCATCATCATTTGAGGACAGCAATTAATGCTTGCTTACTTAAACATGTAAAGACCGTTGCAATCAATTGATTATGGATCATGGTTTCTTACTGCTCAAAACAATGACATAAAAGAGCAGAACAGAGACATGAAAAACTCACAATGAATCCCAAGCTATTACTTTTGCTTAAAGTGAACATGTGAATTCAATGAAGATAAATTTACATTAAAATCACATACTAGAAAAAACATACATACACAGAGACCAGGACAAAAATATCTGAGTGAGTAAACAACCAGAATACATTCAAGGCTGATTTTTTTTGCCTCTTGATGCAAAATGTTTATGGTTGTTTCCCTCTTTCCTAGGAGATTTCTGCAGAAGTAACCTGCTCTTCTGCCAGGAAAGCACCTCAAAGACGGGACGGGACACGTACATGGCATGAAGCTTTTCTAGGCCAAGGATGCATAAACCTGTCAGTCCTGGAGCCAGTATCCAGTGCCCAGTGCGGTGGCCAAGACCACACATGTTCAGTATGCACAGACCACACATGCGCATAAGCACACATTCAAGTAGAACTCCTATCACAGTCAAGACACTCTTCCTCTCCACTGTGGGCAGCATCAGTGGCAAATACCAGTTTGGGCTGGCTACCCTACATGAGCAAACTTATCAGAAATCTGGTGAAGTAGAGAGAACCACCAAGGTGTGATGAGCTCAAGATACAAGGTCTCTAGGAAGGACAAGGAAGGGGGTTCTGTATATTTACTGTTGCTCCGCACCTGAAGGAGGACCTTGAGCTGGAATCCAACAAGCTAGAAATCTCAGATGGGGAAGACTCCCCCACAAGATCACTGTGGGGGAGGGCACTGCGAGCCCCCAAAGTAATTTGGTAGCAGGAAAATATTCTCACACATCTCACAAAAATGTTCAGAGCATCCTTGGGACAAAGAATGAAAGCAGGGAGACACCCAAGGAAGAAAGGGGTTCGGTGACGGCTGACTTCAACTGCCCTCATGTAAACCGGGTAAATGCATTCCCACGGTGGCCAGCTAGATGTCTAGGCACCTTACAGGCAGCACTTGAGGATAGCAGCCTCCTTTCCTGCCATTCCTTTCCATTGTGGGGCACACGGTGTGTGATTCAGGAAGGCCCATATAACCAGCAGTCATTGACAGCCATATCCTCCACGAATTTGTCTAATCTGCTTTCAGAGCCATCTAAGTTGGTAGCCTTTACCACATCTTGACACAACAAATTCCGTATGTGCTGCGTCAAGAAACACTTTTGTCTGTCTTGACTCTCCCACCAGTCAGCCTGGTTAGATAACCCTGGACTCTGCTATTATGAGAAAGGGGGAAATGTATCTCTATCCATGTTTTTTAAACTCTGTGCATATTTTTATAGATCTTATTCACCTTCCCCCCAAAAACTATTTTATTGTTATATTTATATCCCAACTTTTTTCAAGAATCTGAAGCTGGCTTACATAATTCTCCTCCTCTCTATCTTACCCCCCAACAACAACCCTGTGAGGAAGGTTGGACTGAGAGTCTGTGACTGGCCCAGAGTCACCCAGTTGGCTCCATGGCTGAGTGGGGACTAGAGCCCTGATTTCCTCGGCCCTAGTCTCACACTGCCCCAAATGTAACTTTTCCTCATAGGGAAGATGTTCCAGCCCCCTGATTTTTCCAGTTCAACCTTTTCTATACCTTTTTCTATCTCCTTTTTGAAATTCTGTGACCAAACCTGCACACAGTATTCCAGGTGTGGCTGCACTATAAAGGTGTATGAAGGCATTATAATGTTGTCAATTTTATTTTTAATCCCTTTCCTAAGGACTCCGAGTATATGAAATTCACCATTTTCACAGCTACTCTACCTACATATTTTCATCAAGGTGAAATGACTGCAGGATTCCTTCCCAGTCAATTACCACCAGAGGACTACCAGGTCAGATCGTACCAGTGTACATATGAAAATAGGTTAATTCTGCTGCAAATGTATATCACTTTACATTTATCACCACCACTGCTTTTATATCCCACCCTTTTTCTGACTTGTGAGGAACTCAAAGCAGCTTACATAGGCCTCCTTTATTCCATTTTATCCTCACAACAACAACCCTATGAGGTAGGTTGGGATGAGAGTCAGTGACTGGCCCAAAGTCATCCTGTGAGCTTCATGGCCAAGTGGGGATTAGAAGCCAGAACTCCAAGGTCCCCAAGTTCAGCACATGAACCACCACACCATACTGACTGTCCTGGATTTAAAATCTAGCTACATTAACCTGCATTTACCATTTTATTGGTCATTTGCCCATTTTGGACAAATCCTTTTAAAGTTCTTCTCAGCCTCCAATGCAAACTGGATGGCCCTTTGGTCTTGATCCGCACGCCTTTTCTTATGCTCCACACCGCTCCAAAACCAGTGAGTGATGATGCCACTAGTGCAGCAGGTCCCAGCCTTAGATGGGGTTTCAAGCCCCATCACCCCAACCACTGTGCATGCTGACCGGAATGACAGAATTCACAGTCCAAAAACATCTGGGTGCCCAAGGTTAACAGCAGCTGTTTGGGTCTATTCTTGCTACAATGGCAAGCCTTTATCTGGATTGTATCACTTTAGACCATCGGTAGGAGGAGTTCATATAATGGTATATTCCTCCCCACAATGCTTTCCCTAATGTAGAAAATTAGCATGTTGGGAAGGAAAATCCTCTCTTTCTAGTTGGATGGAACTTTTGGTGCACATCAGCATTCAATCAATGGGCCCACATCTGCAGCCTGAAGTCACAAGGCCCACACACAGAGCAAGGTTTGCCACCACAGTGAGGACTGGATCTCAAGGGCAGCCCAAATCCATGCAGGCAAAGGCCTTTGGCCCTTCCCACGTCACAGTAACCTGAAACAGACACCTCTAAATAATCTAAGCAGTACAATTGGAGGAGATCTATTTAATAAAAAGAGGTGTGTTCTGAGCTCTCTGAAGTAAATGTGTTTTTAACTGCTTTCTAAAAATGGATAAAAACATTTTGCAGGTCTCACAAGGGAATGCCAGAGGTCAGGCCATGACAAACTGAGCCCTCCTCCAGGCCTAGCAAACACCAGGCAGGCTGACATTTGCCAATCAGAGGGTGGGCAAGCTTGTGCTGGGAAGGTTGCGCCCTTAGGAAGGGCTTTACTTGCCAGCTCTGCCAAGCTGAACTGCACCTAAAGACAATGCCATCTAATCACTTGCAGACTGCCCAGAGCCTATGGGAATGGGGCGGTATCTAAAAATAAAAGCATGCATCAGCCAAACACACTGATGTGTATACTGATGTCCCTGCCCCTCAGCAATGTGACTCTTTTCGTTCAACTTACAACGTAGGGATCTGTGACGGGAAGCCAGGTGCCCTTCCAACTCGTATCAACGTCCACCTGGCATGGCCAGTAGTCGGACATGCCGGGAGTTGTAGGTCACAATTTCTGGAGAGCAGGGGCTTGAGCAAAGCCTGCTCACGGATCATCAGCTGGCCTCTCTGCTGTCCCCAGAGGCAAGGGTGGAGAAAATGGCAGCTGCTGCACCAAAGGGCCCGCTGGCAGTAAGTTTTAAGAGCCTGGAGAAGAACGCTGCCCCACAGGAACTGAGGCTTCCTCCTCCAAAAGAAGCCACTGATCAAGTGTGAAGTAGGTATTCATGGACTCCGGGGGATGGTGGAGGACAGGAAGGCCTGGAGGAATGTTGTCCATGGGGTCACGATGGGTCGGACACAACTTCACAACTAACAACCACAACAACAAGGTATTCATACCTGCCTGATGCTTTGTAAATGCTTCTGTGTGTTCAGCTCGTAACCCAACACATGTTTGGTAATCTTGTAATATGAAAGCCCTACTACCTGAACTGTTGTGGGAATACAATGTATCTGGTTACCGGCCATGAAGCAGCAAAGAAAGTGTCCAGCTGGAGAAGGAGAAGGATGACAGGTGTAGAGATAATACGAATGCAAAGCAGAACTCAACCAACTCAGAATGATTCAAGATATAAAGAAATGTGAGATTTTGAATTTGTAGTTGTGGACTTTCAAAATGGGATTTTCAAGTTTTTGTCAACTATGCAAGGACCTGTTTACTGAGTGGTTCAATACATGAGTGATGTGAGACTGAAACTATACAAACATTTAAGTTTGTGTGCATTATCAGCACTCGCAACTTAAGCATCACCCACTAGAGCAAGTGACTACCCAGCATTCCTGGTTGGCACTGTCCTGTGATGTGACCTGGATCCAATCTCAGTACAACAACATTGGTGAAAGTCTAACAGTGAATTGCACTCCATCACCCCCTGCTCTGCCCATGATGATCTACCCACCTTTGTTAGTACCATTTCCTCTCCCTTCCTCTTAGCTCTGGTCTCTTCTTGAAACTGACAAAGTAAAGGAATATCCTTGTCAATTTCAGCAATGGCTCACAGGGGCTTGTTATTATTTTTAACTCAGAAGGAATACCTGCACAAGTGCATGCAGTACATTCCTGAAAACTTTCCAAATTTCTTCATCAACAGGATGGAAAGGAAAGAATTTGAGATCTGGGAGAAGGCAAAACTGACAGATTCATTCATCTCTATTACCTGCCTCAAAACAAATGAAGAAAGCAAAAGAGGATGATAAAGTTTCCATCCCCTTTCACCTCCAAGCACTGCCCTCCAAATTTGGAAGAACTGTCAGCCTAGCACTAGACTTTCTAGTACCAAAGCAAGACTTGGATGTGGAACATTGTGGAGGGAAAGCTATTCCCAACTCTATTACTGATGTGGGGATCTGTGGATTAAGAACTAAAAAAGTCACTTCTGATATAATGCATTGGTTCATAGGTGACAGAATAACACACATAGGTTGAAGTGGGATTGTATATCCCACTTTTTTGCATAGCCACCAAAGCCTTTTAGAGCACATTTAAAACCACAGTCCCATCTTTCTACACATAAACACCAACAGCAGGAGGGAGGCTCAGTTGTACATTTGGCGACTTTTAAAAAATCTGACTCAAGGTAAAAGCTAGAATGTGGCAGAAGCTACTGCATAACAAGATAAAATGCTGGCTATACTCTTAGTTTGCAATCCTATGAACTCTAACCTTGGAGTAAGCGCTAAAGAACACAGTGGGTTTACTTCTGAGTAGACATGCACAGTGAGAGTGTTGCATTACTGTCAAGCGGCAATAAGAAAGCTAGCTGGCTCTACGCTTGGAACAATGCATTTGAATGGTATCCAGAGCAGAGCAAATGGAGCCAGAAGGAAGAGCTGATCACTCTGAGTTGGCATCAGCTACTTCTGTTCAGCACTGTAGCATTAGAGGAAAGCAGTGCTGTTTGCAGGTACAGACTCAGCTGGGAATGCACTCTCAAATTACATCTCAGAGAGAGATCCAATACCCATCTTCCTTTATAATACACTTAGCATAATGCTTAATCTTGCCCCAAGGAAGACAAAAATATATCTGCCTGAGTCATGAATCACTGGAACCAAAATGATGCATATTTGCTATTGAGAATATTTATAGTACATTAGCATTTCTTCTTCAGGTCCTTGGATATTAAAACTGAGAGTTTCATGAATGTAGACTGTTTTGCCTTTGTCCAGGGCTGCAGGTATTGTAAATATTAGATGGAATATATAAATATTGAATAAATGTGCTACAATTGTGCATGCAGGGGATTTAAATTCTGCAACAGAAAAAAATGTGACCAATAATATCTTTGCAAATTGAGCACATCTGTATCCATTTCACCTATTTCACATAACTGTGAAATAGCTCTCACGCTCTCCCCCCCCCCCCATTTTGTCCAGCCCCATGACCAACAGATTACTCTTGCTGGAGAGTCAGCAGACATTGCCCATATGCTTCAGAGAATATCCTCACAACCATAAAAACAATACACTTGCCCTTTAAAAAAAGTAAGTAAATCTGAAAAGTCAAGAGAATGAATTCTATGCCCACACCTTGCATTCTCCTTCTGCTTGCACTAAACTGCAACGTAATACACCCCTACTTACAGGTTTTTCCAAATGCACAAGTACCACTAAAAGAGACCAGACTAGGCAACCCATTAAATTGATTTCCCACCTGTCTGCCAGCATAAAAAGGACTACATTACTAGAGCCTGGTTTTGGCGAATATGGGCTGTAGGTCAGAGGGAGTGCACATGCTTTCAATCAGAAGGCTTCTTGTTCAATCCCCAGTTAAAAGGATAGCCTGGAAAAACTGCTGCCAGTCAGAGTAGACTACTGGAGAGGGATGGACCAATGGAGTGACTCAGTCTACAGCAGCTTCATATATTAATATATTTTTAGCAAACCAATATCATGTGCTTTTTACCACCACCACCTTTTTTTTTACAAATCGGAGTGCAAATGGAATCATTCAAACAATAATCTCCCACTGAAGGCAGGGTAGATAAAGAAGGGAACTGTGTGTCACACGTCAGTTTCCTGTCATTCTGACAAGGCTGGAGTGGAATTTTTTTAAACAAACACATAGGCAAACAAACAAGCAAATCCCAGTCATGAACAAAAATCCCAGAAGAATCCCGCTCGTATTCAAGCATACTAGAACAGGCATCCACAATGGCTCATCAGCAGTCTCCGAGTCTCAAACATTCACATCTCGTGTGTCAGAATCTTGTCATGAAAGGTCAGGGAGCAAAGGGGAAAGTCCCTGGAAACTCCAGGGGTGAGGCAGAACTTCGCTTGGCAAGGACAGCCATGACCCCAGAATGGCTCTTTTTGTGCCCAAGACAGCCCTAACCACTGGCAATCTTGGCTGGGGCTGATAGGCATTAGACTCCCAAACATCTGGAGTGCAGCAGGCTGGGGAAGGCTGCTTGAAGCTGACAGCATCAAGCAGAATTTGCTGGTAGAATTCCAGAGCACATGAGGTGAGACTGCAGACGAGAAGGGAAAAGACATTTCGGAAGGTTGCCCCCCACCCCCATAAGAGGCATCTTGCACAACTCACCCACTGGAGAGCAAGGCTTAGGATCTCTCCTACATGTACCAGAGGAAGCTTTATTACAAGGAGCAGTTTTCAACAGAATGACACACCCACCCATACACAGCCTAAAGTGGTACAGTCCAGCTCATACCACAGCATAAAAGCCAGTTGGGGGTGGTGCAACCCTTTGCCAACTTGGCACTGTGCAGACATGCTGGGCTATAAGCTGGCTGGGCAATGATGAGAGTTGTAGTCCAGCACTCCCCGGTGAAGGCTGATGCAGCAGTTGGGAGGGGTGAACTAACAACAGCGACTAGGGACCCACTGTTCACTGGGTGAAATTAGGCCAGTGCCTACAGGGGCTTGCCTGTAATCATAACAAAATTCCACACTCTGAACTGGAGGGGGGAAGGGGGCCATGCATCAGACCTCTGCCCATTAACAGAAGGTCTGAGAGGGACTCCTTCAGTTGTCAGCTGAATGCAGTGAGAAGCCTCAGTGCAGTCTGCGACCCTCACCAATCAGGACTCGCAGCTGCAGTTGCACGGATGGTCCTGCATGCATTGAGCTGGAGGCATGAAATTCCACCTTCTGGCCTGCTAGTCAAAGCATGAAGGTCCAAAGTGACACAGGGACATGGGGCCAGAGGGAGGGGTGTGCATTCTCAGAGACTATCTGGACAAGGCTTATCTCTCAGCCTCATCTCCCTCACATTTCCCTCCCTTTATGAGGGAAAAAAGATGCAGGAAGATGTATGTTGTCCCATGAGCCTTGGAGGAAGGATGGGATATAAAGGTCATAAAACCATTTTTTAAAGAAGAGGATGCAGATTAGCTCCCATACTTCATCCTACTTCCATGCCATCATATTGCCTCCTCCCCGTCTTTCAAGGAGCAGCCTCCCTAACCTTTGGGATCTGGAATGAATTCTGCCACACTGTTTCCGTCATTGCAATCTTTGATATATACAGTATTAAGGGCACAACAAAGTCCTACAACTCCCAGCATTCCTCAATAAACCATGCTGGCTGAGGAATGCTGGGAGTTGTAGGACTTTTTTCCCCCTGTTTAACATGGGAGTAAGCCCTATTAAATTCAACAGGACTTATATCTGTGTTGCATTATAAAACAAGTTTACCACACTTTGGGCTAAAAATTCCACACATGTATAACATTGTTACAATCCTGGGTTAATCTGGTTTCCCTTGCTCTGAATTAATCAATCTCTGGTCATCTTCACTCAAGATTGTGTAAAATTGCAACCATTATCTTAATCCTTATACCACCTACTACAAAGGCAAGACTTCCACAGCTCTATGTAGATAAAAAAGAGTACGTCACATGGATTCAGTGATCAAATAAACCCTATTGATCATAAAAATGCATCTGTCAGATTTACCAAAGTCATCCTATGGCATTCAGCCAGGCAGTCTATCCCCAGGTCCACACATGCCTCCCACATAAGCATGGAACATTTGCCCATTTAAAATGCAGGAGAACCCCATTTACTATAACCTTATACTCTAGTCCTCTATGCTTCCTCCACCTCTGGGCACTTCCCCAACACTAGCGCTTTTCACTTCTCTATCCCTTTCACTGGCACACCAGCAGTGGCTCTCACGCTCAAGGGCCTTTCCTTTACAAACACATGACAGTGTAAAGAAGTGGCAATTCCCCAAATTTCCACACCAAGGTCCTTGCCTTTCCCTCCAGAGACTGACCTGAAGAAAAGAGAACTATTTAATGCTCACCCACCCCCGCTCATCAGAGCCCTGCTGGGTCAGACCAATGTCTCCCTAGGCCAGCAGCCCATTCACACAAGCAGGGAAGGACTGCTACAGCCGCACCCTCCTGCTCATGTTCCCCAGCAGCTTGCCTCTGCTCCTGAGCACCCCACACTGGTTGCACACCAACACAGCCATAGAGGGCAATTCAGAGCTTCCACGCCCTTCCCAGTGCCACTCCTCACAAGCCTGGCTCACAACTCAAGCAAATGACAAAGGGATAAACCACAACATCCTGGATGGAGGGCGCTAGGGAAGGACAGAGACAAGAAATATTATCATTCAAAGGAAAGGGATGGATCTAGCAGCAGTCAAAGGCGAGGAGAGTGGACATCCGTTAATGTGGATGTAGGAAGATTTGAGGGGTAGCAGGGTTTTACCACATGGATCCTAAGAATGTGTGGAAACGAATGCAGTCAAAGGATCTGAGAAAGCAGGAGGAATCAGTTGCCTGAAATCTGGCTGAAAAGGAAAAAAGATTAAAGGTAGCTCATGGAAATGGGAAGGACAGGAGAAGAGGACTGGGCGAAGCAGCATGCTGGTTCGAATGGGTCAGATGGTCATGATAGTGCAGGGATCTTGAAGGGAAACACAAGTGGGGCGGGGGGGGGGGACAGAAGAGATGTTTGAATTTTTGAGTCCTGCTGGTCTAGATCCCAATTTGGCCAGATGGGGGATCTTAGAAAGAAGACAGGTTCTATCATGAAGGCAAAGGACTTGGGATCTGTCACAGCCAAAATTAGTAGGATCTGAGAGGGCAAAATACCCAAAACACCTACTGAGGAATCTCCAGGGAAAATGGGAAATATGTTCTGGGGCGAGGGATATCACGCAATAAATCTGAGATCAGTTCAAGCATCTAGCAAAAACAGGCAGATTTAGCAATCTTTGAGGAGAGTGGGAATAAAGGAAAGAAGGCCAACTTGTTGAAAAACTTCGGGAAGAGGGGAGTCACGGGAACACATCCGCAACGGTAATTCGAGTGACAGATCAACTCGCGGAGTCTTGGAAGATCTGCGGAACGCAACCACCAGGGCGAAGGTCCCATGGAAGAAAGGGATCGAGGGTGGTGATGGGGCCAGGAAACGAGTCTGGAAAAGTTAGGAAGGAGGGAAGAGGAGAGAAGGGAGCGATGTATCCCTCGCTCTTCCTGTGGAGAGGGTGGGTTAGGAATCCCTCGCGCAAAGCGATGGGGATCGTGAAGATTTACTCGGAGAAGCCTGCAGCGGAGCTGCGCGTCTCCGCGCGGAAGCGGGGGGCGAGACCTACGGCGGGGGATCGGTCGGCGGGGACGGGAGGTGGGTCGAAGGAGGGGTCTCTCACCAGCACCATCGCGAATCTCTCCTCGAGCTCCCCCTGGTCCGGCATGGGCACCTTCCCGGGCGGGGGCGGCAGCAGCCCGGACCCCCCGCCCGGCTCCCCGCTCTCCGTGTTCCCCATCCCCGGCCCAGGCGGCTCCCGGGGAGGCGGGGACGGCTCAGCCCTCCTTGGGTGTCCGTATGGAGCGGAGCCGCCGCGGACGGCAGCCTCCCAGTCCCTCCTCCCGCGCTGCCCGGCCTGGGACAGGACGGGGCTTTCGGCCCGCCCCCAGCGCCGCCCGCTCGAAGGCATCGCCCGCCCAGTAGTTAGAAAGCGCAGCGAGAGCGGCTGCTTTCCTCCCGCCACACCCCCCGCGAAGAAATCTTTCCCGCGTGGGGCACCCCCTGGTCAGAATCGCGTTAGCCCCAAAAGGGGGCGCTTCGCGGCCCCCTCGAGGCTGCCGCGCTCTGCAAACTTAGCTCGGGGGCCGGCGAGGCGACGCGCCTTGGGCAACCGGCGCCCGAGTTAAAAGTCGTAAGGGTCGTGCAGTCGCAACTCCGCAGAGCCGGCGGTACGGCCTTTTCCCTGCGAAAGGCCCAGCTCCATGCGTGCTCACTGAGGAATAAACCCCACGGATGATTTCACGGGGACTCGTAAAGGAAGAGAGGTTTGTGAGAAGCGCCCTACGCGTAGAACACCCGCGCCCCCGCAGAAAAATGACATGCGATCGTTTACACTGGAGAAAAGCAACTTAGATCTGGCACGGTTTGCTTCCACAAGAAGAGACTCCCGCAGCTCATTAATCTAGCTATAGCTCTATTGAGCTATATACAAGTGCGCCTATTCGGGATCGGTTGAGGCTCAGCCGTAAGCAGTGATGCAGAGTATTCCCGCTTGTTCTAGAACTTCACAAATGTCCAAACAGGAGCGGTGCACCGCCAATATTCCCCTACCCGTGTTTACTCTCAAACAAATCCTCATGGAGCTCAAGGACGCTTACTCCCAAGTAAGAGTGTGACTAGCTAGGATCTTAGCCTTAAGTGCTGTCTTCCCGGGCATCGCCTGGGTCGCTGCGATCTATCAGAAATAGACCTCCTGCCCATCCAGTTCAACGGAAGGAAGTGCATGACTATTGGGATGCAGGCCACGAGTACTGCAGCTGCAGTCCTACGTACACAGGACTTCGCGCGGGATGGATCTGAGACATATTTACTTAGAGGTGAGCCCATGGATTGCTGCGCTCTTAGTGTATCTAAGACGGCAGCTCCGTGGAGCCACAGCCAGGCCTGTGCACAGATCTGAGTTGCACAGTTACACGTCTGGCGGCGAATCCCTGAATCGAGCGGAACTGACTTCCGAGTAAATATGGTTGGGATCTGCGGTAAGCCGCGGCGGCGGCAGCTCTTCTAGGCATGTTTATTTGGAAATCATTCCCAGTAAAATTCGTGGGGCTAACTCCACGGGTTGTAGGATCGGCGCGAAATAAAGCCAATAGCGGACTGGAGAAGAGGAACAGTCTGGCGCCCTCGCTGGAACTGACTCCCGCTCCCCCGAGAAAGCTCGTGTGCTTGCAGCAAACGGAGTCAAGAAGGACACAAAGGAAGCCGTTACTCAGCCGTGCCCAGCCCACTTCGAGGCACCCGAACGGTGGCTGCAAAGAAAAGGACGGCTGCCCCCCAGTGGAGGAGCTCGGAGTAGGCGTAGTGGATCCTCATCAGCCATTTCTTCCTTTGAGCCCCTTGGTTGCAAAGGAAGCTGTGGGCGGATCGAGAAAAGGAAAGACGCCGTTTGAGGCACACGACCTGAATTTCTCCATGTAGGCGATGGGTTGTGGCGTAAAGAGTACGCGCTGATGGTCGGGCTGCAAACGGGTTCCAAAACACGTGTATCCCAAAGGTACACGGCTCCCCACATTACCATGATGGATGGCAGCTGCTGCAAGGGAATGTTGGAAACTGTGGCCCGACACATCTGGAGAGCACCAGGCTGGCGAGAGAGAGTCTCTCTCCCACTCGCTTTGCAGAGCACAGCCATCGAATCTACCATTGTGGAGGAGAGGAAGCCAATCCAGCCCTCCTAGGTTTCCACTCTGGCCTCTGGTGTTCCCCTGAAGGCTGTTTCCCTCTTTTCCTCTCTGCCAGCCACCTCATGTGGTGGCCTCCCAGTTTTGCAGCACGCTTTATCCCCCGTTATCTAACATCACTTGAGGGTTTCTTACAGGCATTAAGAGCTTGTAGCACAAACAGCCTATATTTTTGCTCTGTCTGCCTGCCCCTAGTGGGAGCTTCCCCAAAATGGAACCGGGCCTTCTGCACCCTGGTCTGTAATCTGATGCTTTAATGAATGAGTGCGTGCTGGGGGGTGGGCGCTGATCCCATTCCCCACTTGATGCATATCCATTGTGCACACTCCAGGGCAAATCCTTGCTTTGCAGCTGCCCGCAGGTTGAAGTAGCCCTCTCATAATATGTCATTAGCAGGCGTCTATAAAAGCGACATTTAGTGCTGACAAGTCCTTTGAAATTACATGCTTGATGCACGCACAAGCAGTAATGATAAGGCAGCTGGTACGAAGTAGAATAGGACAGCCCTATCCTGTAGAAGAGGTGCAGCCCTGCATGTCCGGCTACACCTGCCACCATCCTCTCCTTTATGCTGTTAATGGTCAGGAGTCCATTAACAGTCCATCCCCTTTTTGTATCTGATCAGCCTACTCAGGGACTTTCTGATTATAACAAATAGCTTCCATGTAGCTTGAAGGGCCTGATCACGCCTCATCTTGGAAGTTATGTAGGGTCAGGCCTGGTTGGAATCTGGATGGGGGACTTCAATGTTGTGAACCACCCAGAGAGCTTCGGCTATGGGTGGTATACAAATATAATTAGTAATAATCCTCATTTTTGTGGCAGGGCTATTGTGTCTTGAAGAGCTGCATTTATCTAACCCCTACCTTCCTTACTATTGACTCTGCTGGCTAAGGCAGGTGGGATTTTCTGACCAAGACATCAAGAAGGTCACAAGTTGCCAACCCTGGGCATATCAGGAATTCACATAAGGAAATCCTTGCTGGATCAGACCAAGGTACATCTAGTCCAGCCTTCTGTTCACACAGTGGCCAGCCAACTGCCCACAAGCAGGACATGAGTGCAACAGCACCCCCCCACCCATGTTCCCCAGCATGTGGTGTTCTTAGCCATATGCCCTCCTTACGGAGGCTCAAGAGTCAGCCCAGGACATACAAACGATCTTCAGCTTTATAGAATCATAGAATAGTAGCGTTGGAAGGGGCCAGAGGTCCATCAAGTCCAACTCCTTGCGGACTCCAGGTCAAGCCATCCCTCTCAGCTGGCTGCCCTGTTGCATCTTGAATGTCTTCAGTGTGGGAGAGCTCACTATCTCCCTAGGTAACTGGCTCCACTGTTGTACTGCTCGCACAGTCAGGAAGTTCTTTTTGATGTTCAGCCAGAACCTGGTTTCCTGTAACTAGACTCTGTTATTCCATGTCCTGCATTCAGGGGTGACCCAGAAAAGATCCTGGCCTTCCTCTTTGTGACAGATTTTCAAGTACTTGAAGAGTGCTATGATATTTCCCTTAAGTCTTCTCAAGGCTAAACATGCCCAATTCTTTCAATCTTTCCTCATAGGGCTTGGTTTCCACTCCCTGGATCATCTTTGTTGCCCTTCTCTGAACACTTTTCTGCTTGTCTGCATCTTTCTTAAACTCTGGTGCCTAAAACTAAGCACAGTACTCAAAATGAGGTCTAAGCAATGTTGAGTAAAGGGGAACTAGTACTTCACGTGATTTGGAAATGATACTTTTACTAATGCAGCTTAAAATAGCAATTACCGTTTTTGCAACCACATCACATTGTTTGTCATATATTCAGCTTGTGATCTATAACAATTCCAAGATCCTTCCCACTTGTAACAATGCATTAGGTTTCTTTTTCCTAGCTGCAGAACTTGGCATTTGCCTTATTGAATTTTGTTCTGTTGTTTTCAGCTCAGTGCTCCAACCTATCAAGACTACCTTGAATCTTATTTCAGCCTTCCAGGGTATTAGTTATCCCACACAGTTTTGTGTCATATGCCTGAAGATGCCAGATAGTTAGCATTTCAGTTTGGTACCACCTGTTCCACTGTCTTTCCACAACCTTCAAGGTGCAGAAATTAGTAGAGTACCTCTTGTGCTCCCTGCCTTGAAAATCTTGCAGATTTCTGTAGCAACATAGAAACCAGTCCATGGGGCCATCTAGTCCAGGATTCTTGGCAGTACTGACCAGGCAATGCCAAAGAACGTTCAAACTGCCACACCATTGCACTCATTTCACATGCTAGCAAAGTTATGCTCAAAATCCTACAAGCTAGGCTCCAGCAGTATGTGGACCGAGAACTACCAGAAGTACAGGCAGGATTTCGAAGAGAAGAGGAACTAGAGATCAAATTGCCAACATATGCTGGATCATGCAAAAAGCTAGGGAGTTCCAGAAAAATATCTACTTTTGCTTCATTGACTATGCTAAGCCTTTGATTGTGTGTATCACAACAAATTGTGGCAAGTCCTTAAAGAGATGGGAGTACTAGACCATCTTATTTGTCTCTTGAGAAACCTGGATGTGGGTCAAGAAGCAACAGTGAGAACTTGACACAGAACCACTGATTGGTTCAAAATTGGGAAAGGAGTTCGGCAAGGCTGCATACTGTCGCCCTGCCTGTTTAGCTTATATGCAGAGCATATCATGAGAAAGGCGGGGCTAGATGAAGCACCAGTTGGAATTAAGGTTGCTGGGAGAAATATCAACAACCTCAGATATGCAGATAATACCACTCTAATGGCAGAAAGTGAGGAGGAACTAAAGAGCTGCTTGATGCGGGTGAAGGAGGAGAGCACAAAAATTGGCTTGAAACTCAACATTAAGAAAACTATGATAATGGCATCCAGTCTTATCCAGGGAAGGAACATGTTAGTAAACTACAGAGATCAATGCAACAGGACTAAACATTTTATTTGGTCTGGTGTTGCTTTCCAGGTCCCAGAATTAGAAGAATTACCAACTGTGGATGTGGCTGTCGTCTTCCTAAAGAAACAGGTTTGTGATTTAGGGGTACATCTGGATCCATCTATGTCATTGAAGCTCCAAATGATCCCCATGGCTTAGGCTGGTGTGCTGACAGTGTCTGTTCTTGGACAGATGTAGCCTGGCCACTGTGATCTATGCACTGGAAACCTCAAGATGGGATTACTGTAATGTCCTTTTTATGTGGCTTCCCCTAAGGTTGGTTGGTTCACACACAGCACTGAGCCATACCACACAGTAACTACATGGCATGATATCTTAGCTTATGTTCCACGGTCAGATATGTGCCTGGCTTCCAGGCTTCTCCACCTTTTCTTTCTAATGGTAGCACATATCCCATCAGCCACCATAGCTGAACCTTCATTTCAGGGTGGCCTGCTCCCGCCTGCATCATTTGCCTCTCCCTCATTGGCCCACACATTCCCTTGAGTGTGGCCGCAGCCTGCTAGGTTTTTGGTCTGTTTGTGTTTTTCCCCTGCTGCCAGCAAAGCAACTTACCGTATTTTTCTGTGTATAAGATACTTTTTCTTTAAAATATTTATCTAAAAATGGAGGGTCTTCTTATACACAGGGGGCTAAGAGGAGAACACGCGGGCGGGGGGATACTGGCGCGATCATGGGCACACTTGGGGGGAGGCAGGCGCAGGCGCGATGGGGGAGACTGGCGCAGGCACACGTGTGCGAGGAGATGGTGAGTGTGTGCGCACGGCAGCAGCTCGCTTGCTCAGAGATCGGTAAGAAAAGTGGGGGGTGTCCTATAATGGGGGTGTCTTCTAGTCAAAAAATACAGTACCTACTTGTCAGAATACCACTGTTGCTCTAGAAGAGCACTACAGTGGTGCTTCCTTGCTCACACCCACACACCTCTCCCCACTCTTTTGCTGCAAGTGTATCCTCTGTGCGCAGGACTTGCACATGTTACCGGGGGCCATCTCCCCGCCTGTGTGCCCCTCTCGTGTAGGGCAACTTTCCCAGGAGAAAGTCACTGGCTCTAAGAGTTGAGCAAAGGCACCACAACTTGAAGGCACTGCTTGAGCACACAGACCAGAGGGCAGCACTCCAAGTGCAACCGTCTCCAGGCTGCTGCTGGAGGTGGCATGGCACAATGCCCCACTGCTGCCGAGATTCCAAACTGCACCTGGGCGTTGCGACGGCAGTGTGCGTGCGGACAAAAAGGAGCATAGATCAGCCAGGCAAGGTATGGCAGGCTCCAACACAACAGTTGCTAGACAGAACAGTTTAATGGGAAATGCAGCCTCGGCCTCCTTAGAGTGGAAACTCTTATGGTGGCCCCGTAATGGTGGAAACGGCACAGAAACATGGCAGCTGGGTTCAGGTAGGAAAACAGGCCATGGTGAAGCACAGAAACCTTACAACGAGCTTATGTTTCCATGTGATTCCACGTAGACTAAATGTGCTATACTTTGAAAAGGATGCTGGGTTCAGACACAACAAGTTATGCCGCTGTGTTTTCCCCTGAGGCTTGCCATTATGTGCGAACCCACCCAGCGAGTGCAGAATGCAGCAGCAAGGTCACTGGGGGGGCCTTACCGCACAAGTATTCCGATTCTGCTAAAGGATCCGCAATGGCTTCTGGCCTGCTACTCAGCCAGATTTAAGGTGCTGTGTTAGTTTAGAACGTCCTACTCAATTTAGAACTAGGTTACCTCAAGGAAGGGCTCCCCCTATACCAACCTCCCAAACTATAAGGGGCTCTGCAGTTTTTAGCAGGGACACAGAGACAGGTTTTCTCTATAGTGGCACACACCCTGTATAATCATCATCTCCCCTCCCTCCCAAGGTATGTCATGCCTCAACACTTGCCCATTTTAGGCATGTTTTGAGAATTTACTTGTTTGCTCTGGCTTTCTCACAGCCATGAGCTAGATTCCTAGCAACCTCATGTTACCAGGGTGTGTGTGTAGTCTTTTGTTTTCATCCTTTCATAAAGCATTTCCAGATTCATGTCAAATAATAAGCAGTATACGAATAGTGCTAGTAAGGAAATACTAAATTTTGTATATTCCTACTTTGGATTTCTGACAGTGTTTCGTTTTTATATAGAAGAATCACCCCTATAACGCTTCTAATTTATAATGCATGCTACCACAGGGTCTACCCTTATACACATTATCTTTAGTTATCATGGACGAGCCTGCAGTGCGGCATGGGATCACGTGACTTTCGGAAATGCCATAGGTTGCAATGCACTGGATAAGAGATTACACAAGCACTTGCAAGAAAGAGATGAGCATCGTCCAGCCTAGCACGCTTTACCGCGGAGAGGAACGTATCAACGAACTGCATGGGTGCCCACGCTTCCCACACGACCGCAATGAGCGGGATTCATCAGTAGATGGCACTCCCGGATTGGATGTACGAAACGTTAAACTCCCCACCCAGCCTCTAAAGCAATCTCGTCGCAGGACGTGCTGCGCAACCCCCAGCTGTGCACCTCGCGCTCCTGCCACGAGGGGGCCGCGTGCCCTTACTGTTAAACGGGGGCTACGAAGAATGTAGCAATCGGGTAGTAATCCAGCTGGAGCGCTTCCTATTGGTCCGGCAGCGGGAGCCAATGAACATCTTCACAAGGGTTTGTGTTCCTCCGACATTGAACCAATGGCAGTAGCTTGGGCGCGGCCGCATAACCAATAGAAAGGAATAGGTGTAATCACTCAGTCAATCAGGATTGAGGGACGTACCGGAGTCAGGAAAACCAATGGTAAGCTAAGGCGGGATCTTGACGTGCAAGGTCCAATGGAGTGATAGGAAGGAGATAAGGGGAGGGGTGAAAGCGTCCGAGGTTAGAGACACGTACGGCTCGGAAAAGGACGGTGGCAGCTGTTGTAACTGCGACGGGAACAGCCTCCGCAGTTGGTAAGACCCGCGGTCGGTAGTCGGTCCCTGAGGCCTACTTCCGGTTCCGTGTCTAAAGCTATCGTGGCTGTCTCGGGTCTGGGGTCCTCATCCTCTTTTATGGGATCGCTTCGGGGGCTCCGTCCGCGTTCTGGATTTGCCCCTCCCACCATGGAATCCCCCTTCCCGTCTCCCTGCGTCGAGCGCCTGAAAATCTATGTATATGTATGCGGAGGGGTGGGGTGCTCCCCTTCGCCTAGTTCGCTCAGCCAGATCGGTCGCCCTTCTGTGGCTGGGAGTTGCGGGAGCTAACGTCATAGGGATCCCCCAATCCCTTTCTCCCGCTCCCCGGGGTGGGTCGAGGGCGGGGTCTTCCCCGATGGCCAGGAGCAGGAACGGCGAGCTGATTTTAGAAACGGATTCCAGTCTCGGCTTCATGCAGGGGTACGTCTTCCGCGAGGTAGCGTCGGGTCCGTTCAAGACGCCGTCGAGGTTTGCGGCTGAATTCGCAATCCTGACTGTCCTTTATTCTCTTTGTTCTGTTATTCGCTTACTATGTGCCTAATACTGTTTTAAGCGCACACAGTAGATGGTCGCTGTTTTGCGGTTTCGCCTAAGTGAAACTAGTTTCGCTTTCTGTAAGTAGGGTAAAATTCGTTTAAAAATAGGCGTCATCTCATCTTTTTCTGTTTCGCTTGCGTGTTGAACGTTGTGAATGTGTTATTACTTCTCTTACTTGCAGTGACCGGGGGCGTGGAGGGAAGAAAGGAGGTGAGGAAACGGTGCCGTCACTTCTCTTGACGCGAGTAGCTTTGGTAGAATTACTTGGCTCAAGTCAGGGTTTAAGTTTAGAGTTGGCTTCAGTTGCCGCTCTGCTACTTCCTTACCAAAGAGAGTCAGCGGAAAAACGTTGTCTTGATGTAAAGCATGTATCGAAAAGGGGCGGGCTTGGGAGGTAGCCAGGGGGACGTCTGTTCTTCTGGACTTGCAGCGGGTTATTTTCTCCTTCCAAGTGGGCCTTTTTGTCTGCTGTCACCTAGCTGTGATTCACACCTGTGCACTGATCACTTGCTCCCATCAAGTTCTTTTTTGAAACTAAAGCACTAGGCCTCAAATCCAGAGAGGCCCTTCCTGCAACTGCTGCCGGGGTTGGACTTTCCTGCAGATTCAAACTTTAGGGTTTCTGCTAATGCATTAGCAGTAATGTGCTGTGTTCTAGTAATAAAAGTGGTTCAGTCCCAGAGCTGAGTCCTGGGGTATGTTAAAATAAAATATGCTTAAGAAGTGTCTTTAGGTTTATTTGCCTTCTCTAAGGAGTACCTGCAGCCTGTCCCCATGCATTTAATGTGAAGGGGTGTGGGTTCTTGCACAGAAAGTGGGCAAGATTTGATCCTCAGCACTACATGTGGGTTTGCTCTGCAGCACCTCTGCCTAGAAACTATGCTAGTGAATCTTGTTCCCATGGTAACTTGTTCCAGAGCAAAGGTATCTGGATTCATTGACATTTTAGGTGATTGGCCTGGAAGCTTGCTTTGTGTGCAGATTGCTACAAGTTCTGGAACATGGCACTGACGTAGCTTAGCTTTTGAATTCCAGTTGCTTAATGAGGTATGTGAGCTCATCAGAGGAAGTGTTTTATGCTTATGAGAAGCGGAGTAATAATCTAGGACCTGAATGTTAATTCAACTATCCTGGACCAATCACTAGCATTTGGTTCTATTGACTTGAGTTTTCTGAGGCTCGGATCTAAAGGCCCTTCTTCCTGAGCTTGGATCAATTGGAGTAATGCCCCCTGTCATTTCAACAGAAGCCTGTGCTTGAGAATAGAAGGCTGCACATCTGGGTTGTCAAATGTCCTATGCATAGATGGCACTTTTAGTGTCGCTAATTACTCAGATGTCTATGCTAACTTTCCCTGAACTGTTTGGTATGAGCCCTTCAGAGCTGGTACACTGGACTAGATGGATTTGGAAAGTTAGCATGCCCCACTAGCTTTTTAAAGAGGAAGTTACCTTCTCTAAGGTTTTCTGTATGGCTGTCATGCCTCACAGTGTAGAACATCAGCAATGATTGACTGGCTTTCTGATGTCACAGTGATCGCTTGAGTTTATGATGGAATGGGTCATTGTGTGACATCATTTTTCTCTTCTGCCCCCTGGCTGTGTGAGGATCAGCCTGCTGTTTGGGGAGTGTGGGGCTCACCCCGCTGCCTCCATCCCTCTTCCCTTCCTTGATAGTAAGTCCCTTTGTGAGAATAATGGTGGGCAGAACGTGGACTGTCTTGGAGCTGGCATGCAAGGCTAGCATTCTGTAGTTAAAGGTTATAGGAATGATTCAGTGTTATCTGGTTGCTTATTGATAGAAGACCATGGGTTCCTCACTTAGAAGCAGGGTCATTCTTTAATCTGGGTTGGGCACAGGCTGTCAAGTCATACTTTTTGGTTCTCTGCTGGAAGTTCTTTTTTCCATTTTCAGTTTAAGTTGGTGGTGTTAGCATAGATCCAAGTGACAACAAAGACTGTCACTTGGGTGTTCAGGATTGCAAAATGTGGAAATGTAATTGTGAATATGAGTCATTGGACAAAACTGGATTTCAACATGAAGTGAAAACTTGACTCTTCACCCACAAAGTTCATCGGCTGTTTGGTAAGGCTACTGTTCCATTTAATCTGTCTCTCATATTGTTCCTGGGGATGTAAAAGGATAGTAAGTGTTTGCTGTAGAGAAAATTGAATGTTAGCCTCAGAATTCCACAATGTGCAGCTTACAAAATCTGGTATTCGTGCTTCTTTGTTTACTGAGCACAAAAAAAAAAAAGTTTGATGAGATGGTTATGCAAAGTGTTTAATGTTACTTACCAGTCTGTACTAAACAAGAAGGTGGGAGGTCTTTTGGATACCTCTCTGTTTCATATAGGCCTAAATGAAAGTGTTGTCCAGCCAGATGCTTCCAAACAGGTAGGGCTTTGTCTATCAAGCCCAGTGTTTCCCTATCTAGTACCCTTCAGATGTGTGAGACTATGACTTCCAGCATTTCTATGAGTTTCACTCTGGTTGGGGAAGGCTGCTCCTAACCCAGGGTTGCCTCCTGATGGCAGGGCATGGGTCTAGGTCTGTCCAATTACTTGCAGTCTGATCTGTTTGGGTGGACTTGACAAACATTGAACCTGGGAGTTTATGTATGCCATCTTTCACTGAACTGTGGCCTTTCCCCAGAAGCAATGGTGGGGGGGGGGGGGGTGACCATCAAAAACATCAGGCCTGCTGCTCATAGTTGATGCTGGGGAAATGTTGGCCTTTTAAGAGACTCTGGTATCTGGCCAATTTAGTAAAACCTGCAATTCTTAAAGAATCATGGCTATTTCATATGTAAAAATTGCAGTTGTCCACTCTTTGCACTGTTGGATTAGCCTCTGTCAAGTAACTATTATAACAGACTTTTGATGTTCATATACAGAATGATTTATTCATTGCCTATTGTTCTTAAAAGTGTTTAAGCAGCAGCATTGCTTGAATGCTTAAATTTCTAGGCTCCTCAAGCCAGGGAAGACTGTATGTGCTTTCAATGTTTCTATAAGTCTACTCGTAATAGCTTTAAAACCAAATATAAGGCTATACAGTGGCTTTCAACCATTTCTGCCCTATCAAAGGTTCTCAGACCATGTCTGCAGTCCACTGGTGCTCTGCTAACCCCATTGAAATAGTGTTTGAAGGTTGTGGAACTTCTTTGTTAACAATGGGGAGTGAAGTTATTTTGACTCGGGTTGCATTATTGAACCAGCTAACAAGGCCCTTGCCCAGGGCTTGTAATTCTCCTAATATGATGCTGGTTTTGCTACCATTGAAGTAAAAGTTACTTAAATATGAGTTTTATATGTGCCTTGATTTGTAAAAGAAATACAAATTTAAGTGGTCTGCTAAGACCACCACCAATTTTCAAGTGGTCCACAAAGAGAGAGACAGACTACACAATGTGAATCTACTTTATTTCTAGCACTCAATATCAGTTGGGTGTTCTGCTTGTTGGAGGATCAAATTAGACAATACTGATTAGCATGACAAGTTTATTAACTGGATGGAGCTATTTGTGACTTGCCAGGAAATTCTAGATCTAAGCAAAAATCAAAAGTGAAAGTGTTTGGAGGGTTCTGCATGATGTAATGGTGGCCTCCAAGTTAGCTTTTAAAGAGGTTTGGATAAAGTCATGGAGAGAAAAAAGACAACTAGTGGCTATTAGTCCTAATGGGCTGTATGCTGTCCCCAGTACCAGAAGCTGCACACCTGTGTACACCACTTGCTGTGCAATTTAAATGGGTGGGAGGGTGCAATTGCACTCATGTCCTGCACCCATCTGGCCATTGTGAAAACCGAATGCTGGGCCAAAGAAGCCCTTGGTCTGATCTAATATGTCTTGTGTACTTAGGGTTTCTTTGTTTTTTAAAGTCACAGAGTTAGTAGATTTATAATGGAATTCTTTGTAGTCTTAATACTCTATAATTTAGATATCCTTACTTTGCTTTGTACTGGCAGTTTCATTAGTTCCTCTTGTTTGCTCAGAACGAAGTGACAACAAGGGTGGACATTTGGGTGCTCAAGATCACAAAACCTAGTTTTCTAGTCTCAAACTTAATTCCAGTTTGGCTTGGTGCCCAACCCAGTGAAGAATTGATGCTTAGTAATTAACAAAATGTGATCCACTGGAGAAGAAAATGGCAACCCACTCCACTATCCATGCCATAAAAAGCCTGTGGACAGTATCCAAAGGCTCAAAGATATGACGCCGGAAGATGAGCCCCTCAGGTCAGAAGGTGTCCAGTGTACTACTGGGGAAGAGTGGAGGGCTAGTACTAATAACGCCAGAAAGAATGAAGTGAGTGGGTCAAACCTGAAAGGACATTCAGTTGTGGATGTATCTGGTGGTGAAAGGAAAGTCCAATCCTGTAAAGAACAATACTGCATAGGAACCTGGAATGTAAGATCTATCAATCAAGGTAAGTTGGATGTGGTCAAACATGAGATGAC